GTAGACGGCCGGTAGTCGCTGCGTTAGTAAGATACCAGGTTTGATACTAGTGGTACATACGTGATGGGTAGTAAGGTTGAACTTTGAAAAAATTGCAAGGACTATCATCTTCGGGCTGAAAAAGTGGCATTTCTTCATGCAAGCCACGTTTATGTAATTCCGATTGATTGCTCGCAAACATCGTTTGGGTTGCTATCGCGATGCAAAAACCAATTACTGGTATGATTTGCCACCTCATTGTTTGGATTTTTTGTGGGACATGCAGGGGATATATATATACCCTGAGTTTTGCAGCCATGGCTGCAAAATTATTTTTTTTTTTTGGCCATGCAGAGTCACGTGTTGGGTGTGTATAGTACATTTAGTATTCACTACTTGTAAATTAACATTAATGGTCAATGCATCGTAAAATCATAAATATCTAGGTACTCATTCGTGCTGTGACCTGCACGGGAGTTACCACGCTGACTGAAGGGGCCGATGAATTTGCTTCGGAGTCGAGTTGGGACTGGGCGGAAGATTTTCTGATGGTCTCGGAGGGTAACGATCTTGTAGCTATTGACATCTGGTGCTTAGTTGAAATATAATCCGTAACCAGCTGATTAGTTAGGTTTTGATTTGGAGAAAGCGGAGATGAGGGAATTTGGTAAGTCGAGGAAGATGCAATACTTCCTACATCTACCAGGGTGATAGTAGCTGGCAGTGCGAGTGATGAGGGAGGAGGAGATTGGGCAACTGATTGTGAAAGGTCGTAAATCCGTCGATGAGATTTGTCAGATTGAAGTAATGGGTGCAGAATTTTGTTCAATTCTTCTCTCAAAGTATCAAGAGAACCTCCTGCAAGACTGGACGAAACCAGCTGTGAACTATTGCGATTACTTTTCGGTTCGATTCCCATGAATTGGGCCATCTTTTGGTTGGATCCTTCGGCGTCAAGTAGCAATGCGCTTTCAAAGTACCCAGGTCTTGAATCATCAATTTTGACAGTATTTTTCCATCTTGCTCCGTTTAAAAGATTAAAGACTTCGATGCGATAGCCTTTAGGAAGTGGATTAGCCATCAAGCAAACATTGTCAAAAGTAGATTGGGGAAAGTTGAGAAAGTGAGAAATGAGTGGTTTCAAGTCCTCAATTTCTTGCAATTTGTTTTTGCGCAAATCCACACTTCCAAGTGAGGGCATTAATTCAAGGCCATCCAAGTTGGTGATCTGGTTATGATTGAGGTTGAGGGTGGTGAGGTGGGTCAAATTATGAGGAATATTCGTCAAGTTGGTGATAAAATTGTTCGCAAGATTGAGGTAACGAAGGTTGGTCAATTGGTCCAAGCCCAGAGGAATGGCCTCGAGTAGATTATTGGACAAATTGATCTTGACCAAATTGGCAAGTGGTTTGAACACGTACGGGTCGATAGACTTGATTGAGGTCTCCGTGACCGAAAGCTGCTTCAATAATTCCCATTTACCATCGGGGAGGGTATGGTAGTCTCTAGTGGTGTCGATGGCTGGGAGCAAGAACCTACTTTCAAACTTCAAGTCTTTGGGCAATGATCCCGGTCCAGTAGACATGGCAGCGGTAGTTGATGCTCGCTGGCGAGTAGGGGCCTTGTACTGACTCAAAGATGAATCATCCTGTGCCCTTCTCTTAATGGTAGAGCTTCTTCCACAAGCATCTTCAATGACCAAATGGAACAACAACTGCCCCAAGTCATCTATGCGACTGTTTCTCACAGTGAGAATGCGAAGCTTTTCACTGAGTAGATCCCACCCAAAGAGTTCGTTGGGGTCATAGTCACAAATTTCAAGCACTTGCAAGTTCTTGAACATGAGCAAAGGAACGGCAGTATCACACGGATACTCCTCATAGTCGGCAATGCTGTTGATTTTCGTCTGTGGTGAAACGATCAAGCAGGGAATTTTGGTGAAAGACGAGTATAAGTAACGAATGTCCTTTTGAATCACCTTGGGGTCGCGAGTCGTTGAGAAGCCTCGCCAATACATCGATGCTGTCAGCACTATAGACCGCATGGAGTTAATCGAGGAAATGGACCTAGTGTCACTTTCAAAGTTACGCAGTGATTTAGCGTTGTTGGCCATAAAAGAAATGAATGTTGGTTCATGATTGGGGTTTTCAAGGGTGATATTCAAAGGTCCCACATCGACGCCGAGCGACAGAGATTCGATTCTCTCGGCAATATAGTAGAGGTGGTGCAAGGTAAAGTTCAAACGAAGCGGTTTAGATCGTTGTTTTGACTTTTTCTTGGAAAAGAATAACAAACCATTGGCCAAATTTGCCTCATTTTGCTTGACATAAGAGGATAATCTCAGTACATAAAGGTCACCATCAATAGAATTGTCTGAGTTGCCGAGCCCCATTTTCGAAAGCTAGAGGTTGAGGCAAAGAAACCGCCACCACGAAAGGTTGGCAAAAGTGAAGAGGGGAGTTGTTTTGATTTGAATGTTCGGTGCAGGGAAGGGCGATATGGTGTCTGGGTGTGATAAAGACAAAGAGCATAGAAGAGCAAATACGACAAGAATACAGTAGTACATTAATTTGTTTTTTCATCAAATTTTTTCATTCTCTTCATCATTCTCTTCATCAATCTTTCTTTTCATCAGTCTCCGATTCCGCATCGATATGGCTATTTTGGGTGCTAGATGCGTACCCGCTAGTAGCATAGGCACTGGGTGCGTAGGCGCTGACGCAGCCGTAGGATGAACACTTAATCGTTCCATTATGCTTGCAGGAGCAATTCCCGTGGTACTGCTGTTGGTATCAAGACTTCTTCTACGTACGCGTCGGCTGGAACTCGCCAAAGTGACGATAGACTCCTGGTCACGGTCATTTACGGGGGTATTGGAAGCACTAGCAGCCGAGGTAGATGCAGTTTGAGCCGTGGTTTGCGGGCTAGGTAATCCCACGGTATGACCGCTGGGAGCAAGTGACGTTTCTGCCGTGGAAGCCATATACGAATTGTTATCTTTATCGCTCAATACCGATGGAGATTTGGTGGAAGGAATGGAGGTGATCGATTTCAATGGAATAGTGGAGATGTTATCGGAATGACCTTGGTCACTATCTGCTGCGCTTTCGGCGACGCTACGGGAGAACTCAGAACTACTGTCTGAATCGTAAGTATCTCGACCTTCTTGAGGATATTTACCCAACTCCCCATTGTGGTTTCTGTTATTCATTAGTCGTTTTGACCCAACCAAATCGTTGTTTGTGACGCTTATCGGTTTATGTCTGTGTTAGTGTGCATTCCAAAAGTCTCGAAAAGTCTCCCAAAAGTCTACTTTGCCCATTTTGTGGTGCCAGACTCATGATGGGATTTCCTGGTGAATTCAAGTAATCGCCGATGAACCGCGCCAAGGCTGGTTGAGATTCTGGTGCACGGCATGTGTGGGGCTGCTGCGGTTGCAACCTAAGGGTGAGGCTTAGAAAGAAACATCCCAATGGGTTCAACCAATGTGTTCAGAATTGCGGTTGATTTCTATTAAGCGGATAAAAGAATACCAATTAAAGATGAATCACATAAATAGAAGTTGACAAGAACCCACTTTAGGGTTGGTGGACCGTAGTACACTATTTGCTGATTTACTTTATTGATTTCGTGATTTATAACAGAAAACTATCCAAAACTATCCAAAACTATCTGGCTTACCGGACAACATCACCATGAGTCTGGTTTATCCACCAGGTTTTTTTCTTCACAACACTGGTTTATTCAATGTCTTACAACAAAACCACTGCAAGAGCTGCCAAACCCACGCCTGGCACCACCAATTTGCCTGCATTTCCGGTCGACTCGCTTGCGGAAACAGAGACAGAACTAGCAGTTGAGCTGGTTGAGCCATTTGTTTCGGTCAGCCCTGCGGAGTTTGAATCATCCAACAATCTGCTGCTGTACCATGGCAACCCCGTAGCAAACGCCAGAATTTCGCTTTTCTGGCTGCTGTCTAAGAGTGTCGTGAACGAATCGTCTGTGTACGTGCGTACTTGGAGAGCTAATGGGGTGAGATCTTCGGGAATAGAGGCAGTGGCAGTTTGAATGTAGCTAAGGTATTCCTGTGGATTGGCTTTAACGTCAGAAACCAACTTTGAAAGCAAGTCGTCTGCCATAACTGAAGTAGCAAAGATTGTGAAAAGAAGTAAGGAGTTCATTGGAATTGGTGAATTGGGGAAATTGACGTATTTTATATTACAAGTATTTTATATTACAAATATGGTACCTTGCGGCAACCTTGCGGATTACTGCGCCTGAAAAAACGCGGACCGATATGCGCGCCAAGCCGCAGCGAGGGTCCGAGACTATTCATAGAAGCTACTGAAGAATTCAGAAAGTTATCGAGATAAGTACTATCGGTGGCTCCATGTATCACGGAATGCCATATAGTGAACAATTTTCGTAATTGTGTTTTTATTGTCCTTTTTTTTCGTAATTGTTTCCCTTTTCGTTGTCTATTCTCGTATACTGCGCTATTTATAGTCACCATAGCCCGCTATAAGTTGGTCTTGCTGCAACACAGAGCATTAGCCAGACTCAATTGCACACTCTTGTTGAATGTATTGTTGGCCTGGGGAATGTCGAGCGCTGGATTCTTGTCATAAAAGTTGGCAGGAACCAATCCAATATTGTGGATTTCCACTGGCATAACTGGAAAATCTTCAACTCGAGGAATATGAGTGAATCCCATTGTAGCCCACACAACCACATCTTCGTTTCTAACATCATCTACTCCATTAGCCCATACTCCCAATCCTTGGTCCAGGTGCGACTGGTTGGTGAATTCGCCGGCTGCGAAAAGTTCATGGTCTCTGTATTTGGTTACCCAAATTTGCTCGGTAGCAAACTTGGCTCTCTTAACATTGAAAGAATCGTTGTCAGCCATGATCATTTGACGGGCAGGCATCACAACTTTGTATCCGACTGGAGTCTTGGCCACAGGGTTAATGACATTCTCATTGATGATCTTGTAAGTTCTATTGGTGAAAGGAGATTGTTCAATGTGGCCAGCTTTTTCCACATAACCTCTCTGGGTGACAAAACCAACACCATATGGGTTCAATTTGTTGTCCCGAGGCAATTTCACAGCATCGTCATAGACAACGGTATTCTTATGTCCATCAATAGCAGGGTCAATTCTAAACGAAAGAATGTGTTGGTGATAAGCTGCCATCACATTGGGTCCCACAATGGTTCCCCAAGGTACCTTGACGTTTTCATCGATAGGCATGGTGGAAAGAATACCGGTAGCTCTGGTTTCAATGTCGATCATACCATCAGTAACAAATTTGACATTGATGATATATTCGTAATTTGCAACCGTTGCAATGGTTTGCACAACAAATTCTCTTCTTCTGGCCACAACAGCATTATTGGTACGATAATTGACATGTTTGTACAATAATCCATTGTCTTGTTCATGCATACAGATGGTATTAGGAATGACAAATGGTTCACCACTAGCATCAATTCCCTTACCGTCCATGTAATGAATGACACCAAGACAATCACAGCCCAAATTTAAGTGATTACCATTAACTCCAAAGCCACAATCTCCCAAATCAAATGCCTGCTTTCTATGGTATGGAGCACGAGGATCACCATAAGGCACTGTCATTTCCGACAAAGAAAGACGGTACAACACTTGACGACCTTTAAAGTGAGCGTCGTAAATGACAAATCCCTCTCTGGCACTAGAAGCTACCCGGAACTCCCATCCTTGCCATTTGACCTTGGAGCCCTGCACCGTGAACGATGGACCTTCTGGCTGCGAAATTAAAAGTGGTTTCACATCACGAGGAACTGGTTCGTTGACCAAATCTGGGTGATACTCAACACAAGGAACCTCTTGCCATGGTAAAGTTGGAGTAATGGTTTCGTCAAATCCACCTGGCAAATAATCAATGCGAATGAATTTCTTGGTATAGGCTTCAAATACTGGTGAAAATTTCAATGGTAACGAGTAGTGGTTCAGCTCCGAGTGTCCGTTTCCAGCCAAAACGTACATGAAGAATTGAACCAATGGTCTTGATTCGTTGGCATCTTCAGTAGCATAAATCCATGGATCATTGCGAACCCGGTAGTTGGAAGGTAACTTTAATTTCTCAATTTCAGCTTTGACAGCAGGGTGTTGCATACACATTTCCTCCCACTCGATCATATCATTAGGAAGATATGGTCCAACAGTTCCCTTGGGAAGCTTGGTCTTGGTGATAACATGTCCCACAGTCACATTGACCAAAGCCTTGTTAAAGTCCAAAGTATGGGTATAATAGTATGCATACAACACACGAGGAATAGATGGCGTTGGAGTTCCATTTTTCTCGGCTTCCAAGTACTTAATCATATCTTTCTTTGGAGGATCAGTTCTCTCGATTTGAACAAAGTGAACATTTGCATCTGCTGGATAAGCATTCTTGATCAACTTGGATGCCAAGCGAATCTCAGCATCGGTAACAGAGTCGAATGGGTGAAGAACCATGTTTGGGATATTGAACGAGATGTTTGCGGCTATATATAAGAGATGAGATATCGGCTGTTCCAACTACCGAATCGAGAGGAGATAGTGGGTATCGCATGCACCTGCCCAATGCGGTAATACCGCTACCATGTTCCTAAACGGGCACCGGAATTGATATGGTTGCAATGGGGAGAGGAGAGAGAAAGGAATGAAAAGAAATTGAAAAGAGAAGAAAGTGCGGAAAGGAGGAGATAAGTATGAAAAGTGTCTAGAGAATTTGATATTTTCACCATCTGATCTTTACTGTAATTGCAGTAATTTCAAGTGGGTTATCACATCCTTACACCAGTTTATATCAGAGGAGTTCCGAGTCACCCAACACCTCTCTTCCTCTTTAATTATCCTACACTTCCTCTCTTCCTCTTCCTCTTCCTCTCTTGCCTACACCCATTACTCTCCTATCTTATTCTTATCTACTAATACATCCCGTATCGTTAATCGTTTCTAGTGAACCCTGCTCACTTGTTTTGCATGGCTGGTGACCCAACCCGCATCCGGGTCTGCGGATTGATGATCTCTAATGGTTTCTTCAACCTCGGCGTGGTCACACGAGGCGACTGTGGGTTATGCTGGTGATTGTTCATATTCTCCGCTTGAGTCGTTGGCGAAAAACTCATTGCCGTATGAGCATTGAATTTTTTCATAGGCGGACTATTGGTTGAGTATTGCTCGGGTATGTCCGGGCAGAACTCCATATCATCTTCAATATCAAAAGATTTTGAAAGATAACATCTCATACGAGCATTATGAAATGAATAATTCGACGACGATGTAAACAGTGACCCCAAGGAACTCATTCCTGACGAGCCCGTCGAATCCACCGATCCATACGATGTATTGTTGAAAGTGGGACTGGTATTGGCTCCATTTCCAACTCCCATAGTCATCGATCCATTTGATAAAGGTGGCGAGTATTGACTCGAATAATTGGTTGCGGAGGTACCGGAGTTATAAGCGTACTGATTTGACATGTTCTAGTATAGGTTCACTGGAAACTCAAAGGTTCTAGAAACGTTTCGTTCATATATGTGGGTTATGTTGTATGATTGTTCGGGCTGGTGCGGACCTGATTAAGGAGGAAATGTGGCCGGTTTATGGATGTTCCATGGTCATTCGGCTTATGTAAGCCAACAATCGGAAAAATTTTTAGTAGTGGGAGAAAAGAGAGGATGAACTAAGAGAAGAAAAGAAACATAATACATGGTAATGTTGTAGAGAATTGAGTGTTGTAGTGTTTTATTTGTGTTCGTTTCCGTCTGGATCACTTAGTCGCACACGTTACTTTTCATTACAGTTAATCCGATATGGTGTAATGGCTAGCACAGTTCGCTCTCACCGAGCAGATCGGGGTTCGATTCCCCGTATCGGAGCTTTCTTTTTTTTTTAAAATTAAACAAATGTGGGTTATACCACATCTCTTTCTTCCGGGTAGACCCTGACTTAATCACATTTTACTACTAACTCTTCCTTAAAAAGTTGCAACTTACAGAGCGTGGAAATATTCAATCTTTTTATCAATGACTCAATCGTTAGAGAACATTAAGTTTGCACCTGGACGAGGATATGCCAAGAAGAAAACCAAAAGTGCATTTCTCTCATAAATTCGGTCGAATTGTAAACCAAAGTTAATTCACAAAAATTTACAACTCTGAAAAATGAGTGAATCAGTGCCATTTTTAGCACTTGGCATGTCTTGTACATACTTTCTACGAGCACAAGATTCACCGAGATCATGAGATAATGCAAAAAATTTGTTATCTTTTCCGCTGTCCAAAATAGGAAGATAGCGAATAGGCTACCAATGGCTGCGAACAAGATTAGGCAATGAAGCCGAACGTCGAGTACACTCTCTAACTCTTGAATGTGCCCGGCGCAATTCAATCACCAATTATCCGATATGGTGTAATGGCTAGCACAGTTCGCTCTCACCGAGCAGATCGGGGTTCGATTCCCCGTATCGGAGTAAATTTTTTTCGGTTCCATTGCCGTGGCCCAAATAGGACATTTGCAACGACCATTGATAATTCAATGAACATTCACTTGACAGCATTATGGCAGAGTTCAGGCTTCCTCTAGGTCAAAGTAAAAATGAATATAAGCTCTCAGTGCTTCCTGATGGATTGAAAATACTATTTATATCGTCGCCTAATATTGAATATTTTTCTATGGCAGTTTCAATTCGTTCTGGTTCTCTCAATGATCCACCAGATTTACCAGGGTTAGCACACCTCTGTGAACACATGTTGTTTACTGGAACAAAGCAATATCCAAAAAGTGGACATTTCTATACAACTCTCGCAGAGGCAGGAGGAGATGCCAATGCATTTACTACTGGAATATTAACAAATTACTTTATGGAAATTCCTATAAACTCAATCAAACGAACACAATTAGTTGACAACTTTACCAGTTTCTTCGAGAATCCTCTTTTTAAAAAAAATGGAATGATGCTGGAAATAATTGCAATCGAAGAAGAACATGCTTTGAATCGTACATCGAAGCTGAAAATTCTCTATTATGGCATGAAACTTGTGGCAGATGATTCACATCCTTTTACACAATTTTACACTGGCAACATTGAGTCTCTTTATACAACACCCAAAAGAAATGGAATCCCTGTTCGCAAACGCTTGGAAGAGTATTTTTGCAACCATTACACACTGTCCAATATCAGCCTTGTAGTTCAAGGTCCCGAACCATTAGATTTGCTACAGAAGCAAGTGAAGACTAAATTCAGTTCCAAGAAACCAGTTATTTCATCAATTCATGATTTTGCATTTCCTAAGCATCAGCGTTCCAAATGTCTTTGGGTGCAAAATGATACTGCAAGTTGCATCAGGATATTTTATTCTGTTCACTGTGACGATAATAAGCCCAAGTTAAACCTCTTTTTGAGAGTTTGGACGACTCTATTAGGAGACGAAGCAAGAGGAACCGTCTGTGAGTATTTAATGCGGACGAATCTCATAGTGGGTTTGACATGCCATGTGCAAGCTTTGGACTATAATGAACAATTGTTGGTGGTTGACATAACTCCTTCTCACAGAGGCTACTTGAGAGTCAGCAACATCGCCCATATCATACTGGAGTATATCCTTTCCATAACAGACCATGATTTGAACAGTCTTGGAGTAGTGCTCGAAGAAAAGTCAAATCAAGAAAAAACATCGTATAACTTTCGAGAGTCCCAGGAAAGTTGCATGAACGAATTAAGTGGTATAGCCGAGACTTTAGCACTCTCTTTTGATACCATTAAAACAAAAAACATAATTCGTGGCTATGATGATTGGGATGATATTATGCTGGGAACCAGTTGGACTTCAAGAGCAAAAGAGTTTGTCACTTGTTCCGGAAAAATCTTGGAGCCTGGTAGAATGAACTTGATTATCATGGGAAAGAAGAACCCAAATATTCAAGATCTTTATGGAGACCATATTGATAGTGGAGTTCACCCTCAGTTTGACTTTGAGTATGAACGGCATTATTTGAACCCTAAACTTTTTCAAGAAAATACAACACTGGGCTTCAGGCGAGACTACAGTCGAGACTCCAGTCAAGACTCCAATCAAAGTTTGTTCAAACAAGTTCAACTCGAACAGTCCCAAAGTTCCAGTAAAATTTTAATGCCCAGTAGTCAGCCAGTTCAGTGCTTGAAGCTGCCGAATTTAGAGATGTGGACCGACTCTTACGAAGAAGTTTCCGGTTGCAAAGTCAGACTATCATTCCAGATATTATTCACAACGTTATCCCGTACAGCCAAAACCGACGTAATGCTTGATTTGTTGAGCAACATTATTGGAAATACATTGCGGCATGAATTATACAAGGTTGAAGAATTGGGAGTCGAATGGAGCATATGTCCAAATCTCAACTACCAAAACAGCTTATCCTTCAATGTTTCTGGCTTGAAGGATTTCATTCAAGATGCGTTAAAGTTGCTATTAGACGGCACTTTAAGCATAATCGAAATGGTTACCACCATTTCAAACACCGAGTTGCGAAGAGCCCGAACACAAGTAAGACATTGCTATGATGAGTTTGGTGATGTTTCTGGATTGAAACAGGTCTTATCTGTTTCATACTACTTGCTTGAACCAGCGATACATTCTCTTGATGAGAGAATTGAAATTTTGGAAGTGGTGGATATTTGCACAATTCAGAAATTTTGCAACCATTTGAAAAATTCCCTCAAATATTTGAAAGTGCTCATGAGTGGATTTGTAGATGAAGAATGTGTTCAGCAAACCTACAGAGCCCTAAAACCATTACTTACTGGCTCTCAACCCTTCAAGTCACTTGTGCAAAATGAATCAATATCTCTTGGCGGACGCTCGCTTAGCTTCAAGATACCGTCTCCTAACACATCCACCACTACCATGATTTTCTGCGAATTGGGTAACAAGACAGATCCAATTGCAGTAATGATGTCATATATGATAGGGTTTTTACTTGCCACAGCCGCTGATCGAGAATTACGCATGGAAAAATGTTTGGGTTATTATGTCGATGCAGCACCACAAATGTTCAGTACTAGCGTTGGAATCAGGTTGGCAATAACTAGCTCATTTCATAGCTCCACTTGTCTTGAGCAACATATAAGGGTCTTTTTAAAGGAATGGAGTACCCGATTGTCATCATATACTGCACAAGAATTCGATACCATCAAGAACAACTTTACGGTTTCTTATGTTGACAGTCCAAGAGATTCGACACTAACAGATCCACCGTCCTGTCCAGTATACAGGGTACCACACACTCAGGGGAGTTCCAACATAGGTGAGGGGAAAAATACAAAAAGGCATAGACATAACTGGGGTAAGATTGTCACTGGTAATTACCATTTTGGAGGCAAGTTTGGTGAAGAAGAAGTATCAAGAAACAAAGTTATAAATTTGGAGAGCTCTTATTTCATTGAATTTGTCAAGGACAAGCTCTTGCTGCCCTCAGCACTAACAGTTCTGGGAGAGTCTTCAAAAGAATGCAACATCAATTTACCCAAAAGGAGCTGGTTACGGCGGTCCTTTGACTTCAAGAAACACACTAGATGTTACCAAGAGTCTGAATCAAGTCCCCTTTCAAGCATTGTGCAGTTCAATGAGGTAATCAACGACGATGTGCTCAGTGACGTTTATGGCCTTTATACTGACTAAAATAAATTTCGCACCCATTCAAAATCTCATTGAATTTACATATGGACCTTAAAGATGTACCCGTAGCGAACGAGCCCAAAACCAACAAGACAAACCTTGCAGAAGTCCAGGGGGTACCTGAAGATGACGAAGAAGTTAAAAGGTTGCTCAGAAAGTTGGGAGAGCCTGTTACAAACTATGGAGAAGGACCAGGGCGAAGAAGAGAAAGACTCAAAAATGTACTTGAGATGAGATCGAAAAGTGAACCTGACGAGATGAGTGAAGAGGAAGACGACGATAACGAGGTGTTTTATACCCCAGGACCAGAAAGCTTGCTTATTTGCAGAAAAAATATTCTCCATGATTCACTCAAACGAGCGTCTCAGCGTATAAAGGCTCAATCAGAGGCGACTAAAGATCCCATTAAGCTACTTAAACATCGAAGAAATATTAACTCCCGACTCAAGACTTTCGAATTGTTAGGCTCTCAAGTGGTTCCTGGGGTTACCAGAACAATTTCGTCTATTCGAGCTTCGCCCTATGGTGGTATTCTAGCATGTGGTTCATGGGACGGCACAGTGAGTATTCTCAACCAAGAGGACCTCAAGACCAAAATTCAGAGGACTGGACACCTGGAAAAGGTGGGTTCCATAGACTGGGGCCCTGAAAATACTTTTGTTTCTGGGGGTCAAGAAGGTAATATAAATCAGTGGAAGTTGGATTTATCTGACGATACAATGGAAGCGGCCACTATAGAGCGTGCACATGGAGAGAGAATTACCAGCACGTTGTACCATCCCACGTTTGACTACATAGCATCTACGTCATTTGACCAAACCTGGAAGTTGTGGGACGCAAATACCCACGAAGAACTTCTTGTTCAAGAGGGCCATTCCAAGCTGGTTTTATGTGGAGCATTTCAACCGGATGGTAGCATTTTCTGTTCCGGTAGCCAGGACGCTATGGCACGCTTGTGGGACTTGCGAAGTGGAAGATGCATATCAACATTACAGGGCCATGCTCAAGCAATTCACAGTATCGATTTTTCTCCTAATGGGTACCATATGGCGACCGCGAGCGCTGACTGCCTGGTAAAAGTCTGGGATCTCCGGAAGATCACACCCAATAATTCAAACGAGATTTTCACCATACCTGCTCATACAAAGCTCGTTAGCTGTGTACGATTTTTCCATGGAACAAGGTTTCCCGGCGCACTTTCACAGGAGGTTACCGACGAAAATGATAATGCTGGTGAGATCCTTGACTCTAGTGGCTCATACTTGGTAACCAGCTCTTACGATGGACTCGTCAATGTTTGGTCGGCAGACAATTGGATCAAAGTGTGCAGTTTACGAGGACATACAGACAAGGTTATGAGTTGCGATGTTAATGGAGACGGTAGCAGTATATATAGTTGTGGCTGGGACAAGAATATCCGCGTATGGGGAAGTATAGACTAATCATAAAAGCACTACTACATTTAATTTGCACCCACCAGAACTCTACGGGAACCCTTACCGGAACCGTACCTGCACCTGTACCTTGCCTTGCCGATGCAGGGTCAACAGCCGCATTTCGCCAATTTTGCATTTCACCTCCACCATGAACCTCCACCACATTCTAGATGCTCCTCCGGAGCCTGACATCATCGATCTACATCTAGAACGAGTCAATGACTCCGGCGACTACCAACTAGCAACCCCAATGTTCGAATTCCAAAAAGAACTTACTGACCAAATTGTGTCTTTGCATTACCCCGATATCCTCAAATACTGTGAAACCGACGATTCCGGCCACTCCATTATAAAGTCGCTAGAGATATGTATACACAACTGCATGTTGGTCAGCAGTCATCCGTATCTTCTCATCGACCATTACATGCCGAAAAATTTGGGTCAGAGAGACATGGCAGGAAAACTAGCAGACACCAGTGGTAAGTTTAGTGTTCTAGGAGACTTGATAAATGTCTTGGTGCAGATAAAATCCAACGAGGTGAAGAATGTGGCAGTTGTGTGTAATAACAACCCTAAATATTTCGATTTGGTGGAGGCTTTGCTTCAGAGTTGTAATGGTCCAAAAGTAGTAAAACGGTATGTTGGAAACAAAATTAAGCGAGATAACCGAGGTGGAGGTGCTTCTGGTAATACTAATGTCTCATCCTACAATTCGTCTTCTGGTTATGGGAAAATTTCAAAGACTGTGATCCATTTACTTCCCGGAGATGGAGCTGTAACTAAAGATGCTGATCAGATTCCCAATATTAAGTTTGATCTTGTTATTGTTTTCGATAGTTTCGTCGACACAGACAGCGATTTCTTTGCCCGACTCAAATCACAAAACCGCTTGAACGATGCTATTGTTATTCGCCTAGTCCCATTGTTGACCATCGAACACTGTCTACTTTTCTACAAACTGGTGCGCAAACAACCAGACCACTTGTATAAGCTCATCTCATCGATAGTGTGCTTGCGTGACCAGATCGGTAATATTCCGCCTGATTTGGTGCCAATTTACAACCAACGACTCAACTATCTTTCCGGCACGTTTTTGGAGCATGTTTTGAAAACACAGTCTGCTCGAAAAAGAGTCGGCTGGCCATTCCCAGATCTTCCTAGAATACCCAAATTTAATCCCTCTGACGTTGAACGTTGTCTTCTCACAGAGGTATCGTTCCATTATACTCCATACGATTCATCCGAAGTGTCTGAATCAATGCCAAAGAACCAAGCACAACGTCTTACATACTACGAAACTAAGAGATTGCAGCTGAATTATGTTACGAATCCATTGAAAAATGACTACAACAAGTTGATAGGTATACTATCTCACGACTATAAGGATAACGGTAATCAGAGCAACTTCATGGTTACACATAAGGTGTTAATGCAACTCAACAATGCATACATGGCTTACGACTTGAAAAGAGATGAGTACAATACGTATGTCACATTCAACGAACCAGAGACCCAAGCCAAACAAGGAAGAAGACTTCACGAAACTAAAACGGCGCTCGCCAAATTGAGGGAAGAAATGAGCCACCATGAGTCGAGAATCGCTTCAGCTGAAAAACAAACCAGGTCCATGTCTGAAGAAGTTGAAAAGCTCAAAGACGAAAACCAGGTATTAGAAAATGGAATCTCTTCACTTGCGGACTCTGAAGAATACCAGGGAACAAAGAAAGAGTACTACTCAAACCAAATAAAAATTTGGGAACTTCAGGAAGCAGTCAAAACCACAATCGAAAAGGTCAAAGCTCGACAAGAAGAGAAGACGTACATGGCGAGAGAATACGAGAACTCACTTGCATCTACCGAGACTTCAAGAAAACAAATTGAAGAAATGAAAAATCTGAACGCCCTGTTGAAACAAGAGTTGGAACAACTTCGAGAGTCTAAAATTGATGCTTTTCAGCAGAGAGACACTGAGCGTCAAAAGCAACTTGAAAAGTTGCAGACAGCTAGAGAAAAGCACGACTCTCTCAAGAGAAAGTTGGGAAATACCTTCAAGTTTCTCAAAGATACGTCTCATTTGAAGAAAAGAAAAGTAAGAGGTCTCACTCCCAATGGAAAATAAGATTTCGTGTATCGACTATAATACATATATAGATATTTCGGACCTGAATGCATCAAGAATAAGACAATTATTAATGGGGCTCTCTTTTCCACTCAAGAATTGAATCACATCCTGTGCAAGAGCTCCACCGAGAATAGCTGCCGATGGAGTAAATTCCGTATAAGCTTGTTGCAGAACCGCTTCTATACTCAGGTCTGTGACCACTGTCTGTGGTATCCCAAATAAATCACAAATTCTGTTGGAGGTATCACGGAGGAGCGCTACTATTTCTTCAGTTTTCATATTTTCAAGCTGTTCCTTTTTGCATTCAAAAAGTGAAAAGATTAGTGGAAATGCAGCTGAAAGTCGCTTCATCTGGCGTCGGTTCAATTGCGTGGGAAGGTTCTTGGAAACGAAGAAATGTTGCAACTCTACAAACTCATCGCTGACAGTAACCAATTCTTTGTCTTTTGTCAGGTTGAGTTCAACCTTAGTTATGGTCTTGGATGGGCTCAACTTTGTCCCTGTCTCCCGAGGCTGGTTTCCAAGGTCCTTTTCGGACGTAGACTCATGTTTGATAAGATCGGTGAAAATATAACCCAACATTCCATGGACACCGGAAACATACAATGGAATATTCAATTTTCTTGTCACTTCGTTCAACTGAATCATTTCGTCTTTTTTTAATTCTGTAGCAATTACAAGGTCAAACTTACTCAAATAGCCCTCTGAGAGTATACTTTCCGATATGTTATGGGTATTAATCGAGAGATTAACTCTATTGTTCAAGTCTTTGATCCGATCTATGACTAAAGGAAGCTTTAGTTTCCCAACAACATTCTCGTTAGGTAGAAAGAACTGGCTCAGAAAGTCATCTTCCACAACACTAGAATCATCCAAAATTTCAAGAGAATTGATACCTCCAAGCACAAGATTTTTCACGACTTCGGTGCCAGCAGCACCAAGATTAATCACCAATATTTTGGCAGAGCGGAGCCGAAGCTGGGTAGCCATTCCCCAAAGACGGATCTGCCTATCATATAGGGCTATTTCGTCTGTATTAGTATAAGGGACGGTTAGATTTAATTGAAATGTACTTACCTGCTGTCAATTCATCCGTCATATTGGTTGTTCTGACGCTTTTTCGTTCCTATGAATAATCCTGCACACTCCTACAAGTACATACAACTAGAAGTAAAACTGCTTTAAAGATTCAGATTGTTCAGGTAGAACCCGAAACAACCAACTTTTGTAAGTGTGACATAAATACCTGCAAGGAAACGTCGTCAGTCAACACCACCGCACCATTGGCACCGATTGCACTTTGATTATTGTACGTGGTACTTGGGTTCAACTTGGAGTACAAGAATCTCGCCTGCGATCCACCCTCCTCAGTATCAATGAACCTGGGCAAGGGGAAACGGTCCACTAACAACTCAGCCGCCTCTTGCTTTGGTTCCTCTAACAATTGTTTCAAATTGGCATATTCTTCCTGATCCTGATATCCTGCCTTACGCCATTCCGCAATGGTCTTACCATGGAAAATTAAGATATGGAAGAATGTGTCGAGAAGAAGAATTCGATCATCCTTGATAGATACAGAATCCAATAACACAGGTTCAGGTTCGCTATCCAAAGAAAACGATGTCAATGTAGGCTGGATCATTATAAGCGAATTGTTACAATCTTCAGTCATCAAAACATGTCTGTAAAATGCTGTTTCATCGGGCGAGTTGTTGAACACCTGTAAAAATTGGGATCTTCTCAAGTAGTAGATAAATTGAGGGAACAATGAAAACTGAGGTCCCAATCTGAATGTTTCGTCTAAGTCTTTTCTATAGTCGGCAAACTTTTGGCAAAGTCTGATAAGCATCCTATCGACCCAACGTAAAACATCAGCGCCATCATCTTGTTCAGATTTGAATAATGTGATTCGAGACATCAAAACAGCTGCTGCCTCCTGGTCAAACGACTGAGTTAGTACCTGCTCATCACCAGTCAAGATGTTGGATACTGTAGTTACTCTCAAACGATATGTTCCGGATGCATGCTGGTAATGGGTGATGAATTGTATGTACGACTGTGCGTTTGGTGGTAATGGCAGAGTGTTGGCAACGTCAAAAAAGATAGCATAGGTATGCTGGGGTGTGACTGAACAAAGCTTGTATTGCGAGGTTCCACCAACTCCCACCTCGTTTTCAGAAACGTTGGGCGATTTGATGTGGAGAGACGAGGCATGTCCAATTAATCCACTGACCTTGAGTTCACGCGAGCATTTGATGTCTAATGTACCATTGAAGCCCATTAACAAGTACCCGTCATTATCCTTGTTGAATAATCTCAAAAAGGACTGCTTGAAGATGGAAGTGGTAAAAGCATCGGAGTATACCATGCATCCACCAGTCTGGTGACATAAGCTCTTCATTTCCAACATTCCGATTTCATCGAGACAACCGGCAAAGATGTCAATGGTATGACCATTTTTCACGGTTTTAGCAGCGATTCCATCGTAGAATTTCATTGCCTTTTTGTAATGTTTGGCATTGTCCTTGTCAATGTCAGAATGAGACCGTTTGGGCTCTTTCAACTTAGGACCCACTATCATACCTGGATTGAGGGTACATGGACCGGCGGCGAAAAGCATAATGCGACCACCAAAGCCAGCGTAGGTGAGTCCCAACAAATTGGAGGCGATGTTCAACGCAGAACCGGCAGATCTCAATGGACGATCACCATTAGCCACGGGCCAAGGGTCTCGAGTCAAATTCTCCAAGATATCAGTAAGTTGGTATTCGACTTCTTCGATTGGCAACAAGAAGCGGAATAACGAATTAGCAAACTGAGGGGTACCCTGAGGAGTCAACACTGGTTTATTCAACATGTCATTGATTTGTTTTTCATCGTAAGCCCTATCACCACGGAAAATATACGATTTTTTAATCGATTCCGATCCCAAGTCATGGACTTGAACCATGGCACCATAAGTAATTAACCCAATTAACGCGTTGGGTGGGAACAAAGACAATGAAACAATCAACGTATCTTTCAACGCTTGCAAAGTATCATCATCTTGACAAGTATCAATCACAAAGAGAAAGATGGGAGGGTTGGGAACAGGACGAGCCGTGATATATTCAATGGTGGAAGATGCCGGGTTCAATTCGATGGGCAAATTGTCCTGGGTTATGCCCTGATAATGAGGAGGTAAGGGACATCTTGTTCCACACAATGGACAAATCCATGATCCTGATGGGTCCACCGAGCAGTATGGATTCAACACACTTCTACAATTTTGATTCAAACAGAAATGAGGATCATAATCAGCGACTGGTAGATCTTGTCTAAACTTCAATGGAGTAAATAACGATCCTATTGGCACCACGGTCTTTCCCGCTTCAACTTTGGTTGATGGGAACGTATTCCACGAGAAGCGAACACCGTTGATGTCTTCAGCTTCCTCGAAATTCATGGTAGAACAGGGTGTTGTGCTCGAACGCCTACCGAGAGCATTTCGAAAAACTGATACGTGGACGTGGGTGTGCATACAAGACTCGCTTTCTCCGCGTGGCACAACCGACCGCGCACAAACGGCCGCGGGTTCGAGCCGAGGCACTGCCAAAACGCTGCATATAATCCCCGGGATGCAACTTCGCTTTTCCGAGATGGTTGCGCCCACGTGACAAGGCTTAGTTGCTACCGCAAACCTAATTGAGTAAGTGTTGCTCCATGACTAATTATTTTAAGGTTTCCGTGGAAGTATTTGGTTACTTTCCGATCGTTAGGTACGATGTCCGGTTGCGGGAGCGCAAGCGGCACCCAAGCGGGACGCAAGCGGCGCAAGTGGGACGCAAATGCGACGTAAGCGGGACTGCGCTTAAGCCCGAGAATGTGACTCGTGGCCGAAACAACGACAATTCGTGTGGGGGCGGAGATATGACCACCATTTATCGGACTTGGGTACTTATATAGCTCATGTAAGTTCCTTCGTTGTTGTAGTAATGATGATTTAGTAATTGGTGGATCTAAGAGGTCGAAAAGTTTTATTTTTTACCAGATTCCACCGCTCGGAGATACACCCATACCGGGTCGATGGCACCAAATATTTTCAGGGTAGTTGGAAAGTGGAGACACATGCAAAGCGTTGGCAATGAACAATATGACGCCAAACAAACGGTTGCAACAGAGCCCATCAAAACGTGACCCGCAGTGCATAAATTTTCATCTGCCCCACATTACTCGGTATTAAGTGACCCCGGATTTGCGGATGCAGAACACTCCGAAACCTGGGGCCGTGTAATGGGATCACACATGTAGGTAGATTCATCAACATCCTGTTTTTGAAAGTGTACCGAACAAGGGATGCCGAGAGCACTGCCATGGAAAAGTTCAAAGATCTTGGCGCTTATACATAGCTTTTTTTTTGTCATGTTTTTTAAGCTTTGTCGGGCTCCTATTTTCGTAAGTAGTGCCCCAATAAGGTGTGCGCGCTTAACACCGAGCATGCGGTTCCTATATATGAATATGGAACCAAGAAAAAAACCGCCTTTTTGTCGTACATTTGTAATACCATGTCAGTGAGCGTCGCTCCCCAAAATTACCTGTCTAAGGACATGAAGGTGCTTTCTAATGGAAAGATCATGAAGGTGCAAAAGGCCCGCCAAAGAAAAATCCTCAGCTGTGTTTACTGCCATCTGAAAAAAGTCAAGTGCTCGCGCCAACATCCAATGTGTGATAACTGCAATAAACTTGGAATCGAATGCAATTATTTCGTCAACGAGCGGGTCTCGCGAGGCGGAAAACGGTCCAGTAAAAGTCATCTCGACGTTAATGATCTTGAAATGAAACCTTCGAATTCTCAAAATTCCAACAACCTCACATCGTCGCCGCAAATGAGGCAGGAGTCGGTGTCTCTGAGCTCTGATTTGACCAGCTCGGCTTCACCAATGTCGGCTCACCAGCAGTTGTCTAGCATAGAAAGTACCAGCAGTACTTCTCACGATGAAGAAGAGGGAAACAAACCAAAAAATGAGCCGAATGGTCCGCAATCTCTGATAGTACCCGAACTAGCAATGAACTATTTGGGGTTGTCGATGCAATCTCCTCATGGAGCGTTGCAGTCGCCCCAGAGTACACAGAACAACCAGGCCGCAAACAGTTTACTTCAGACTCCAATCCTTAACAACTTGAACAATATCACCAACAACTACTTCAACACCAACTACTCCAATACTGGCCATAATCCAACCAATGATGAACTGTACTACTTCAACTTGTCATCTTTCACGTTTGCCAACCCGGCAGAGCAAATGGTAAACCAACAAAACTCCCATATCATGTCCCCTCAAGTTCACAGTCCTCAACACGAATCTCCTTCATTCAATTTTAAGCAACAAACAAATTTCGAAAATGTCGAACAAACTTCCACCGTCACCAATTTTCTCGATAGTAACCCACAATCGTTTACAAACCCAATGCCTGCTTCCAACGCTCCTACCCCAGGTATCCCCAATCCGGGATTAGCCACCCAGTTGGCAGGTTACCCATCCAATCCAGCTACCACCAAAAACTATTTATATGGTACCAATACCTACTATGAAAACGAAAACTTGCTTGATGACCTTATTAAACATTTACCTCCCACAAAGGAACGTTCATACGAATTGATTAATCGTTACGTTACTTCCGTTCATATTCTTCTTCCAGTTATGGTAAATTTGTCGGACTTTGTTAAAGAACATGACATTTATTGGGAACATCATAATCCCTATGCAACCCAGTCTCGGACCTCTTCCGTTTCTGCCACTGCCAATGACCGCCCTTCTCCCACCAACTCCCAGTCTTCTTCCGAAGGTGAGGACTTCAACAAGTTGCAATTTTACACCCTTTACTTTTCTGTATTATATGCTGCAACGATCTCCGAATTCGAAGAATATGACAATTTGCTATTGAATCAAGATATCGACAAATACTTGAAGGCTTTCAACAAAATTTGCCAATACTACAATTATCCTCATGGAATCAAAAAGGTGCCTTTGCTTTTGGGAAATGTCATCATTCAGTCCACATCTCCTAACCCCTCAACGATGGAAATGTCTCAGATCATAAGATACGCCAAGTTCTTGCAGTTTCATAAAGACCCCATATTCAGTCTCCGAATCAGCGATTGGGAGGTCATCAAGTTCAGACGTATGCTTTGGTGGGTAATATTTGGACTTGACGCTCTCACGAGTCACAATTTTTGCTTGCCTCCAGTTTGTCGCTTCGATGATTTTAACGTCTTGATGCCAGATGAAGAGGAACCTATTTTCAAAGAGAACGGGCAGTTGAAAGAAAAGAAATTGAATGTTTCAGTTCTTGCTTTGAACATCAAGTTTGGTTTCGACCGAATTTTGAGTGACTTAGTTTACCAGCTTCACAATGGACTTGCAAACAATATCACTCCTCAGGAAGTCGATGAAATTAAAGGCATGATTGTGAACTACTTTCATGAAAGCCACAAGTCAGTTTTGAAAATTACTGCGTTTTTCAAGAAAAACCCTCCTCAAACTGTCCACGAGATGAACTTGATCAACTTTGTGAAGAATCACTCTTCGAGTTTTGTCGATCGTGCCATTATGCTTCTTCACAAGAAAATATTGTTGAGTGACACAACCAAAGACTCACGGAAGGACCTCACTGTGAACGGCAAGCGTGATGCTGATTCGACCCTTTTGGATGAATCTGACTTTTTACCTAAAAAGCGGGATGGAGTATTGTCATTGAGTCAATTCGAGGATACATGTCGGCAGAATTCAGGAAGCAAACATTATCAGCAACTTTGACATTTCGTCCATCTCCCTGTTGAAATTCAACCAATTTGAAGACTTTACTTATGAGAACATGACCAAAAACTTGATTCCATCGATATTGCACAACTTGAATGATTTTTTGAAGTATAATGACTTTTTCAAGTTTGGAAAGTTCAATTGGTATGTCAAAAGGACCATTCCCTTGGATTCAATTATTTTGATGTTTGTTATCATCACCGTGAAATTCAAGTACGAGTTTATGGCCTTGAATGAGTTGGTTATCTATGTCAAGTTGATCAACAAGGCATTATTTATTCTTCATCGCAAGTGGTTCAAAAACGAAAAGTACAAGAGAATGTTGTCTCTTGCCAATATGACCTGGGAGTACATTCTCAAAAAGTTCAACATCATCAACCTTATCAACCAATATATGTCGTTGAACCTGAAGAGAAAGCAAGATTTCAACATGGAGTTCATTGATTTCCATGTTTCAGGTTACACGAACATGACTGAGTTGTTCAGCATTATGGATGTTCCTCAACCACTCTTGTTAGATCCACAAACAAGAAAACTTGTTCCTGTTACTTCAGACGCCCACAACTCCAATGCTGAGGAGTCGCCCAAAGGAACATCAATGTCAAGGTCAAGCTCTGGTCAGCTGAACGATCTGGCAGCTAGTTTCCTTCATGACAACTTGATGCAAGGAGTTGATATTGCTTCACCTGAGCTTAATGCTGAATCAATGCCTCATACAAGTAGAAGTGAACTTGTGCAAATGAAGGAAAAGTTGTATTATGACTTACGAAACAATTATGTGGATATTAACGACTACTGTGCTTTCTACTCGTCATTGGAGAACATTTTACATGAACTTCTTGACTACATCAATGATAATGAGTGATTCGGAAAGCGCATTTTTAAAGAAAAAGGTAGCCTAAACAAATAATAACTATGAATAACATTGAATAAATAACAGTACCGTTTAATAAAGATCGCTTATACTATTTAATTGGCTGCCATCTTGTTCAAAGCAGATCCGTACTTGAACCACTCAATTTGTTCAGCGTTGTAAGTGTGGGTCAACTCACACTCCCATGGCTCACCACCATCTTGAGGGTGGACTCTCAAGATAAGGTTCTTACCTGGGGCTAACTCAGTCAATCCAAGGATATCAACAGTGTCCTCAGGGTTGATTCTGTCGTAGTCAGCCACGTTCTTGAAGTTCAATGGCAACATACCTTGTTTCTTCAAGTTAGTTTCGTGAATACGAGCGAACGACTTGGTAATGATAGCGAAACCACCCAAGAATCTTGGCTCCAAAGCGGCGTGTTCTCTAGAAGAACCCTCACCAAAGTTTTCGTCACCAATGACAACCCATGGCTTACCAGCGTCTCTGTACTCAGCAGCGACCTCTGGAACACCCTTGTATTCACCAGTGAAACGGTTCTTAAGGTTGTTAGCCTCACCGTTCTCGGCATTAGTGGCACCAATCATGTAGTTGTTGGAAATGTTTTCCAAGTGACCTCTGTATTTCAACCAAGGACCGGCCATAGAGATGTGATCGGTGGTAGTCTTACCCAAAGCCTTAATCAAAATTGGCAAACCAACGGCGTCCTTACCGTTCCATGGCTTGAATGGAGACAACTTTTGCAATCTGTCAGAGGTTGGGGCAATCTCAACAGTGACTTGACTTCTGTCAGCTGGAGGAGCTTGGTAGGTGTTCTCACCCTTGTCGTAACCGTTTGGAGGCAAACCGACACCAGTTGGCTCCTTCAACTTGAACTCCTTACCATCAGCACCAACCAAGGTGTCAGTGATTGGGTTGAAACCCAAGTCACCAGCGATAGCGTATGCAGTAACCATTTCTGGAGAAGAAACGAAAGCATGGGTAGCTGGGTTACCGTCATTTCTGGAGGTGAAGTTTCTGTTGAAAGAAGAAACAATAGTGTTCTTGTCACCCTTCTTGATGTCCTGTCTGTCCCATTGACCGATACAAGGACCACAAGCGTTAGCCATGACGATACCACCAAAATCTTCGAAAGTCTTCAATTGACCATCTCTCTCGATGGTGGCTCTAACTTGCTCAGAACCAGGAGAGACAGTGTAGATGGTCTTAGCCTTCAATCCATGCTCAGCAGCATCCTTAATGATGGAAGCAGCTCTAGACATGTCCTCGTAGGAAGAGTTGGTACAAGAACCAATCAAACCGACCTTGACGTCCATTGGCCAGTCGTTGGCCTTAGCAGTCTCCTTCATCTTGGAGATTGGAGTAGCCAAGTCAGGGGTGAATGGACCGTTGACGTGAGGCTCCAAGGTGTTCAAATCAATCTCGATGATTTGGTCGTACTCACATCCTTCGTCAGCAGACAAGAAGTCTTTCTTGTAGAGTTGAGCGAATTCAGCAATTTGAGATCTACCAGTGGCATTCAAGTAGTCAACCATAGAGTTGTTGAATGGGAACACCGAGGTGGTAGCACCGATTTCAGCACCCATATTACAGATGGTACCCATACCAGTACAGGAGAAGGTCTCAACACCAGAACCAAAGTACTCAACAATGGCACCAGTTCCACCCTTGACGGTGGTGATACCAGCCAATTTCAAGATGATATCCTTTGGAGAAGTCCAACCCGACATCTTACCGGTCAACTTGACACCGATGATCTTAGGGGCCTTCAATTCCCATGGCAAACCAGCCATGACATCGACGGCATCAGCACCACCAACACCAATGGCCAATTGACCCAAACCACCAGCGTTAGGAGTGTGGGAGTCAGTACCAATCAACAAAGCACCGGGGAATGCATAGTTCTCCAACACAATTTGGTGAATAATACCCGAACCAGGCTTCCAGAAACCCAAGTTGTACTTGGCACAAGCAGAGGACAAAAAGTCAAACACCTCCTTGTTCAAGTCAATGGCTCTAGCCAAATCCTTCTTGGAACCAACTTGGGCTTGAATCAAGTGGTCACAGTGAACAGTGGATGGAGTGGCAACTTGTGGCATACCAGCAGACATAAATTGCAAAATAGCCATTTGAGCGGTAGCATCTTGACAAGCAACTCTGTCAGGTCTCAACTTCAAGTAAGACACACCTCTCTCAATGTCTTGTCCATGAGGATCATCCAAGTGTGCGTACAACAACTTTTCAGCGTAAGTCAATGGACGATTCAATCTCTTCTTGACAATGTCAACGGTTTCAACATTCTTTTTATAGTTGATGAACGAATGAGATTCCAACAAGTTTTGGTTAACCTGGGAGTCTCTAGTGATACCAGCAGTAGCCAATCCACGGATGGAGTGCGTACGTGGAGCCTTCAAAGCACCTCTAGTTGCTGACAACATTGTGTGACAAAATTTAGTGGTTTGCCGAAATATCTACCAACGAAAAAAAACTCCTCGTTTTGATCCTTTTTATATCAGATCCCACCGAGGGCACCGAAGCGGGTCGTGGAACCAATCAAACGCGCCAAGTTAATAATTGCTGGTACTTCCGAGGGTGGTACGGTGTATGGGTGTGAACATCACTGTCCATTCTTGGTGCCAAAAAGTTGACAGAAATAGCGAAAAAGCTGTATATGAGCTATACATCAGTAACCATTGGTGCTTGTTTGCTGCTGACTTGATTCTCTAGCTTCAATGGCTATTTCCGGCTTAGTGGTGTCACCTTTTCGTTGTTTGTGGGGTCCCATCCGGAAGTGTGCAATTCCGAGGGTGTGATCTCCAATTATGCAGCGCGTGATTGGCTTCTGGCAATTTCGGCTCCGGCGCGGGAAGATGTCCGAGAAAAAAAATTACATACTGACGAAAATCGTTAATTGCCATCATGTCTATGGTAACGGAGCAGGATACTGCTTATAAGAACAGCTCAATGCCAAGGGATGAAATATAGCTCTTTTGCAACCATATCAACCTGCTCGGAACTTGCTGTTGATTTATACAGTACCGCTCATAGCGATCATCCAGAATTAAAGGGTGCGGCTCGCTTAAAGCGCTATCAGGTGCAATTCAAATTTGAGACAAAATATAATATGAATTCATATCAATATGCTTCAATTAAAAAAAATTCAGGGAAACTGGGGTCATGCATAAGCCTGAGACCCGGAGACATTTCCTGAATTTGCGCCTCTCAGCTATGTCTTCCGTGAATGCCCGACAAATGCAACCTGCGATAAAGTTTGACGTATTAATTCTTCAAAGCCACTCTCTATCAGCCACCGAGAACATCCAGTACACCCGCACCATCAAATTAGCGCGCTAGGAGCCGTGCAGGGTGCGGTACCATCAAGCTCTTATATTAAGACACATGCTGACGGCACTTTCCCAACTATTATGATTCAAAATAGTTTGGATCGCGGGACCACCGCAACGTTTTGCGACTGGAGGTCTATCTTGAATGCTGTATCTTCAACCGATGAAAATGCCTTCAATCCTTGCTTCATATTGTGGCTCTTTACCTATATCAATGGCACCTTCTTTGTCATTTTAAGTGGTCGTTTGTGGACTAGCTATAAGAAACCAAAGCTAGGAAACTATGGGCCCAAAAGTACTGGACTCCTACACACCTTGCGGATATTTTTGGTGTCTTTCCATTGCATCTTGTGGTTTTATCTCTGTACGTTTGTGAATATTCACGAACGCAAAGCAGATGCAAAAGTTTTGTCGTTTGGTACAACTTTGGTTGCTCTCGCGACAGTGATCCTCCCATTACATGTAATTGAAGTGACTCGGTCACCAACGGCAGATCTGTTCTTGCTTTGCTACTGGCCCTTTATGGTTGCCGCGCATATCTTTCTTTGGTACCAGGACACTTTTACCAGGCAACATGTGGTGAAGGGTACTTCCTACAATGCTATCCATGTCGTGGAGCTTGTGCTTATTTTGAACTCGATTGTTGTGTGCGTTTTTGAAGGAGCGAGGACTTTCTGGAAACCCACACATGAACTTATCTTCAGCTATACAAAACGAGGACTTGAAGTCGATTTATTCAAGCCAAATTTGTACGAAAGAATTACTTTCACCTGGATGAATGACTTGATTGCAAATTCCTACAATAATGATACTGTCACCAACTTAGACTTACCAAATTCCCCGGCTAATTTGGAGTCTGCCGATGTATCGAAGAAGCTTGCGAAAAATTGGGATGCCGAAAGGCAGAACCACAAAGAACCTTCCTTATTGCGTACGTTATGGGTGAGCTTCTGGTTTGTGACCATACTCTCCTTTGTCTATGAGCTCTCCGAATCCATGTTGGACTTTGTACAGCCTCAATTATTGAGAATCTTCATCACGTTTTTCCAAAAAGATTCACCTTCAATATTACAAGGTGTACTTATCTGTTTCTCAATGGGTCTCTTGACTATAGTACAAACAGCTCTTTACAACCAATACGTTTTAAAGATAGCAGAGTTGGGTCTTGGATTGCGCTCATCTCTCAATGCATTGATATTTCAGAAGAGTTTGAAGCTTTCAGCAGAAGCTCGTCAGAAGAGCTCTGCTGGCGATATAATCAACTTGGTTTCCGTCGATGTCATAAAAATCCAAGGTGCTTCTCAAACGATGAGTATTATTGTACTCGCGCCAATTCAAATGGTTGTGGGAGTCCTCTCCTTGTGGAAACTCTTGGGTGGACCCGCAACGTGCACCGGGTTTCTCGTCATGGTTATTCTTTCACCTTTCACTGCCAGCCTCATCAAGTTACAGCGTTCGTTGGGAAAGACCCAAATGGCTCTCAAGGATCACAGAACTCGAGTTGTCAACGAAATATTTTCATCTATCAAAAGTATCAAGCTCTACGCTTGGGAAATTCCAATGTTGGCCAAGCTAAGCGAAGCTAGGAATGATCAAGAACTCAAGAACTCACGAAAGATCAGAGTAATCAGACAATTTATAATGGTCATTTGGAAATCTACTCCTTTCTTGATTTCTTTCGCTGCTCTCTCCACGTTCGCTTTGTTTCTGGGCCGGGAACTTACGTCGAATACCGTTTTCCCTGCCTTGACTCTTCTTCGGTTGCTTGCTACCCCGATTCTTGCCTTTCCGGCGGTGATGACCTCATTGGTAGAAACCTCCGTCTCATTGGGCAGAATAAGATCTTTCTTGATTCTCGATGAAATTGACGAAAAAATGATTCAAAGATTCAATTCCGATACCCCGTTAGAGCACGCCATCTCCATCAAGAATACCTCTTTCCTTCGTTCACCCCCTCCACCTGTACCTGAGAGAGATCTGGAAGAAGAAGCTTTGATTCCAGAGGTGAAGTATGCATTGAAAAAGATAGATTTCCAGGTCCCAGTTGGCAACATAATATGCGTGGTTGGTAAAGTCGGCAGTGGTAAATCGAGTTTCTTATCAGCAATCTTAGGAAATTTCAATGCTGTCAATGGTGACAATATTCACCAGCCTACCTCATTCGGTGTTTTTGGTTCCGTTGCATACTGTGCGCAAAATCCTTGGATTATGAATGCATCAGTAAAGGAGAACATCTTATTTGGATACGAGTATGACGAAGATTTTTATCAGCGAACTATTGAAGCGTGTGAATTGCTTCCAGATTTAGAGATTCTTCCTGATGGGGACGACACTCAAGTGGGCGAAAAGGGGGTATCGTTATCGGGCGGTCAAAAAGCAAGACTTGCATTAGCAAGAGCAGTGTACGCTAGAGCGGACGTCTATCTCTTGGACGATGTTTTGTCGGCAGTCGATGCTCATGTGGGTCAAAAAATCACTGATCAAGTGCTTTCCAAATCGACTGGCCTCCTTTCAGGCAAAACTGTTATCTTGGCTACTAATTCGATCCCTGTTTTGGACTTGGCTGACCATATTTACTTGCTTGAGCACGGTACAATTGTGGAACATGGAACTGTATTTCAAGTGTACGGAAAGGAAGAGAATTGTACGAAATTGTATGAGCTAGTTACCAAACTTGACAGTGGCTCTGAAAGTGGAACGCCTTCAATAAGGCCACAAAGCGGTCAAGTGACTACCACCGAGAGGCCAAAAAAGTACGAAAAGGCGAAAATAGCTGAGTTTAGTTGGAATTCGCTTGAGAAGCTTCTCCCAAATATCCGCACTGCCCAGTTGAAGGAAGATTCCGCCAAGGGAGCTGTGAAATGGGGTGTCTATTTAAAATATGCCAGAGCTTGTTCTGTGCCTGGATCAATTACTGCTATCGTGTTCGTTGCGTTGACAACTTTAGCTGAAGTTGCTGGCACTTATTGGCTCAAGTACTGGGCCGAACTGGGCTCTGAGAATAGTTCAAGAGAGGCCGTTTGGAAGTTCATTGCCATTTATGCTGCAATCGGAATAAGTCGAAGCATTCTAGGAGTTATAAAAGGTACCATGATTCAGGTTATCTTAGCATTGAGGGCTTCTCGAGTCACCCACGATCGGATGGCTGCCAGAGTCCTTCGTGCCCCAATGCTGTTCTTTGAACGAACTCCTTTGGGCCGCATAATGAATCGGTTCACTTCAGATATCAACAAAGTTGACGATGTATTGGCGGGAGTGTTCGATCTGCTCTTTACTTCTTTTGCAACGACTTTGATAACTTTGCTCATTGTTGGTCTTGCCATTCCACCTTTTACAATAATGATATTCGTGCTCTCGTTCGTGTATGGATATTATCAGAGATACTATATCTCCATCTCGCGTGAGCTCAAAAGATTGATATCTGTCTCGAGATCGCCCATTTACGCCCACTTGCAAGAGAGTTTGAACGGAGTTGATACATTGAGAGCATTTGATCAAATGGATCGTTTCTGTTATATCAACAGATCAAACATTGATGTGAACACAAAAAGTCTTTTCATGCTGCAGTCGATTAGCAGATGGCTTTCAACAAGGTTACACTTTCTCGGATCCATTCTGGTGTTGTCTTCCTCCATTTTGTCAGTTTTGACGCTCCTCTCTTCGAAGCCTCTTACAGCAGGAATGGCCGGTTTCTTAATGACTTATGCCTTGACAGTCACTGGCTCCCTCAGTTTACTCGTACAAACCTCTGCAATGGTGGAATCCAATATTGTATGCTTTGAGCGCTGTGTCGAGTATTGGGACTTGCCCATTGAGAATGAAACCGGTTTGGGCAGGACCGAAGTTGGAGAATCGTGGCCAGATAATGGAGCAATCGAGTTTAAAGACTACTCTACACGGTATCGTGCAAATCTTGACTTGGTATTGAAAAACATCAACCTTGACATCAAGCCACAAGAAAAGATTGGAGTAGTTGGGAGGACTGGAGCTGGTAAGAGTTCATTGGCGCTAGCTATCTTCCGCATCATCGAACCTGAAACCGGCCACATTAGTATCGACGGGTTAAACACTAGTGAACTCAATCTCTCTTTGTTGAGAGGTAGTCTTGCCATTATCCCACAGGACTCTCAAGCCTTTGAGGGTACTCTCCGTCAAAATTTGGACCCTCTTAATCAACATACCGACGAAGCATTATGGAAGGTACTTGAGCACTCACACTTGAAGGAGCATGTGTTGCGGTTCGAACTTCCTGAAGGTGAGGAAAATAGACTCAACTACAAGGTTTCTGAAGGAGGAGCCAATCTCTCGGCGGGACAGAAGCAACTCATGTGTCTTGCGAGAGCGCTTTTGAATCCTTCTAGAATTCTTGTTCTCGACGAAGCTACTGCTGCTGTTGACTCACAGACCGATAGTGTGGTACAAGAAACAATCAGGAGCGAATTTAAAGACAGAACCATTGTCACTATTGCCCATAGACTCGATACCGTGATGGACAGCGATCGTATCATCACATTAGACAATGGAACAGTCAAAGAATTTGATACGCCAGAGAAATTATTGGAAGATAAGAACAGCATATTCTACGGAATGTGCAAGAAAGGAGGATATATATAGACCAGATGCCATAGTAATACACTATCTTGAAACTAGCCGACTGCCCCACCCGACGGACTGCAGATAGCCCGAGGATTACAAAATCGGTGAGGATTTCGGAGTCCTGTCACCATGGCTTCCGCTGCTCAACATACCAGCAAATTTGCCCGCTATTTGAACTCGGAAACTGGACCCAAGACGGTCCATTTCTGGGCCCCAGTTATGAAGTGGTCTTTGGTTTTGGCTGGATTAAATGATATTCAGCGTCCTGTAGAAAAACTCAGTGGAACCCAGCAGATTGCTTTGTTCGCTACCGGTGCCATATGGACAAGGTGGGCAGGATTTGTGATACGTCCAAGAAACGCGCTTCTTGCTAGTGTCAATTTTTTCTTGGGAGGAGTTGCGGGATATCAATTGGTGAGAATTGTCAACTTCAGGAGGGAGAAGGGCGATTCGCCGGCACAAGTATTCCACTATCTTTTCAATGGTGAACAATAGTTATTCAACAATTATGCAATAAATACAGGTAAAGAAACCATACGTAGGCAACCGGTGATCCATTCATTCATTGAGATCCATCATTTCTGGCTTTGACGATGTTTCATCTTGAGCTTCTGCAGCTTCATCATTCTGCTCAGGAGCAGCCATATCTTCATCGTTGTTCTCTTGTTCGTCAAAGTCCGTTTCGTGTTCCATATCAACGTCTTTGTTGTCTTTTCTTTCTGCCTCTTGTCTTATTTCATTACGCACCTTTTCAATCTCTGTGAAGACCCCAGGAAGCGTCGCCTCAAGAAATTCTTGCAAACTAGTATCACGGGAACTCCACTTTCTATTCCTTGATGCCAATTGGTTTTTTGTATGGATCAATATCTCACACACAATTTTTTTCTGTAGTCTTATGCGTGCTTCGATGTTGATGAGACGATTGAACACTTCAAACTCTGGCTCTGCCAATTTTGAATTGACGTCAAGCAGAAAGATTTCTGAAGTTCTGACTTGTTTCTGGTAATGTCCATTTTCGTCTCGGGTCAAATACTTGAGGAATTCTCCGTCGTTATAGTTTTCGATTGTCAGTATTGAAAATGCAAAGTTGGGAAGTGTATTTTTTTTCCAAAGTCCGTTCGAGATTAGCTTCCAAAGCTTCGACCTCTGTATTCACCCTCGCTATCTCGCCGACTTGTTTGTTGTAACCTCTCGCTTCTGTCTCCAAATACGATTTTTTGTTGCGTTCTTCCCAGTCTTTAAACGCCTTTGTTAATCTATTGACATGAAAAGAATCCATTATGAATTGCCGATCCAGCAGTGGCGTCTTATTGGAGTCTTCTATCCTGGACAAAGCATCAAAGGCACTTTGAAACGTGGAAAGTGCTGTTTCTAGCATGTCACCGATGGGGGCATCAGATATCATTTTGGTAAATATGACTTGTTTGAAGGCTGATTTTTATGGAAGCTATAGTGTCAGGATACAACCTTACCGAGTTATGCTGAAGAAGTAAGATAGTAGCTACCTTATAAATTACAAGACTTATTCAGTACCGTCTTTTTTAAAAGTGTTTATCAGAATGCGCGACACTCATTTTCTTGGTTGATCTCGCGCAGTGAACCTACGTACTTGTTATGACTTCAGATAGTATTGAAACACTTAGAGGTGACCTTCGCCATGCGTGCCAGCTTCTTTCCAAAGTCAATCTCTATCAAGCAGCAAAATGGTGTGCTGAGGCACTCAATGGCCTAACACAAGGCACATCAACAACTTACTCCAATCCACAGTTAGATGCTCAAGAAGAGCACGAACAGGATAAGATCATGCTAGCAAGCACATATTTCAACTGCAAAGACTTTGAGCGAGCGGCACATACTTTATCAGGATGTAAGAGTGGGATAGCAGTGTTCATGAAGTTATACTCCATATATATCTCCATTGATAAGAGGGAAACTGAGGCAAGAGATAGCAGTATTAACGTTATATCAAGTTCTAGTGTGAGCAATGAAAAAGGTTCTACCAACTACAGATTGAGTCAAATAGCGGGCGAAGCCGATAGCTACAATTCGAATCCAGCAAATCAGCCCAATGGACTTCTCTATTTCCTCAATGGTATGATTTGCAACAAAAGGAAAAAACCCACTCTTGCTCAGACATATCTAGTCCAGTCGCTCGAGTTATTTCCCTATAATTGGTCGGCTTGGAAGGAACTTATATCATGTTTCACAGCTTATGATGAGGTGATCTCTTTCATCAACGAGACAAAGGCGAATAAACCTCATTTCGCTAGTCACATAATGTTCCAATTTTTTGAAGTGGTGGTGCTACAAGAATTCTACCAACAACTGCCGCTTCTAGTCGACACATTGATGTCTCTCATCGAAATTTTCCCGTCATTCACCTTTCTTAAAGTCCAGAAATTTCTCATCGCATATCACAGCTTGGACTACTATACCGCAGAAGGAATCTTTGACCAGGTACTTCTCGAAGATCCCTTTCGCCTTGATGACCTTGATACATTTTCAAATATGCTCTATGTTATGGAAAAAAAACCAAAGCTTTCATTTCTAGCTCAATTTGCATCTGCAATCGACAAGTATAGACCGGAAACTTGTTGCATAATTGCCAACTACCATTCAATGAAATGTGAACACGAGAAGGCAATAATGTACTACAAGCGTGCTCTTACGCTCAATAAAAACTGTCTTAGTGCTTGGACTTTGATGGGACACGAATTCGTGGAGCTTAAGAATTCACACGCTGCCATAGAATCTTACAGAAGAGCGGTTGATACAAACCCCAGAGACTTTCGTGCTTGGTATGGTCTTGGCCAGGCATATGAGGTATTGGATATGCATCTATATGCTCTATACTACTATCAGAGAGCCACCAGTTTGCAACCGCTCGACACCCGAATGTGGCAGGCTATAGGAAATTGTTATGAGAAGAATGAGAAATACGAAGAAGCGTTCAAGTCGTTTGAAAAAGCATTACAGATAGAAAGCTTCAACAAGAGTAACGAGGTCGAGAGCCATGAGCCTCACATCTCTTATCGACTTGCAACTCTTTCTGATAAGATTGGTAACCTTGGAGACACATACACATACATGAAGCTTTGCCTTGAGCTGGAACAGGATTGGGGTATCAGTGACGAAACGTCCAAGGCTCGTTTGTGGCTTGCTCGCCATGCTCTTAAAAACAAACGATACGAAGAGGCTCACAACTATGCAAAAGATCAAAATTACAACAACGCTCATGACATAGAAGAAGCTCGTGCCATAGCTAGAGAAGCTCGGAGCAGAATGACGGCATAAGAATTGACATCGAAGTAACTTATTAAATTAATTAATTAATGAATTTCTAATAGTTGATAAGTTCATTAGTAGATGACAAGAATGATGCTTCTGATGCATAGCGACTGCACACTTCGGGTACCACCGCGCTCAAAGCCTTGGATAATGCGTTTAATTCTTCTTGCTCCACTCCCACTTTGACCATTACCATCAAATGTGGAGGCGTCAAAGGCAAGTTTTCGTGCTTGAGAATGTTGTGGGATCTTGTGATAAGTATTCCATACTGCAGCAAACATCCGTCGATTATCTTTTGCAAAATGAAAGATTCCCAGTTGAGACTATGACTAAATTCGTTTAACGTGCGTGAGGGTTTCCCAGTGTTCAAAAATTCAGCACTACCGTAAAATAAGGGGAATCCCAACGACTCTCTGTATTTTTCATTTAATTGTAAATGAATGATCGGGGAAAGTTTCTCTGATACAATGGAAAGGTATTGGGTAGGAATAGACTTTGCCAAGGTAGCACGGACAAATGAGATATTGTCATGCAACTTCGACACCAACTTCGACTTACCGTCTTTATCCAAATCTTCTCCAATTTCACGAAGAGACTGGGAAGCAGCACGCGCAGAATAAGGAGGTAAAGAAGCACTGAAAACATAGGCGAGTGATGAGATTCTTTGATGGTGTACCATTGGATTAACTCCAACACAGAACCCACCAGATGAGGCAAGAGAGTTTGCCAATGAACCAATAGTGATAGATATTTCAGATCTTGGAATATCAAAGTGTTCAACCACACCTCTTCCAGATTTGCCCAATGAGCCAATAGACAAAGTTTCGTCAAGAAAGAGCCTATACTTGTACTTGTTCTTCAATCTCACAATCTCTGGCAATTTGGGCAAATCACCTGTGTTGGCAAAGAGTCCTTCTGTAACGATAAAACGTCTCTTTATTGGCTTTTGTTTATCGAGCACAGGCTTTATCTCCTTCAAAATTTGCTCCAAGTGCTCGGTATCATTATGATCAAACCACTCTATGTCACAGCGACTGACAATCAATGCTTTTTGGATCGCGATATTGACACCACTGTCCACAACACAAAGATCTCCACGTTTCAAGAAGGCGGGTATGACGGAACCTGCAGTAACAAAGTCCTGACCATATATGATCGCCTGCTCTCCACCAAAGTAATTTGCCAAGTCTTCTTCAAGTCGAACATGTACATCTTGAGTTCCGTAGAAATTTGGGGGCCCACAAGCACCAACACCAGTGCTAGATATAGTGTCCTTGGCAGCTTCCTTAACCCTTTCACTCTCATTTAAATTCAAAAAGTCGTAACTTGCAAGGTTGACGACTTGCCGTTGGGTACCTTTTGAATGCTGCAGAGAAACAGATATATGGGCTCCATTCTGTCCATGAATAACTGGGACACACTTGAGTTGCCATTTCTCCTCATCGGTGACAGGATCCAAAAGTGGTTCAGGTTTCCAGTCGGCACAAAGACCGTCAATCTCCCGCTTTGATAACTTGAGCACATCCTTGTTTTCCTTTCTTTTCGACATCAAGAAATAATGTACTGCGAACAAGAAGAGGGCCAACTCGAAGACAGACCGAATGGGATCGTTCTTGTACGACAGTCTGATGTACCTAAGAATGATAGGACCACCTGGAAGCCTATCTAAGAGGTTCAAGTACAGAACAAAAGACTCAGAGAAGACAGTGGCCAAAGCTCCCAAAGACGGTGGGAGTATCATGGTAGTTGTGGCGGTTGCCGTGGTAGTTGTTGTGACGACGGTCATTTGAGGCAATTTTTGTCGGTCCACTTAGTTGAAAAGTCTGCTCAGCACTCCCTTGAACTATAAAAAAAATGGGTACAATAGGATCCAACGTTGTTGTCACACTCCAACTCCTATGAATCTTCGCGCGCGACACGAGTTTTCAATGGGACCGCGGATTCCAGATGCAGTCGTTGGTCGGCCGGCTTATAAAGGGGCTGCAGGATTTCAAGCCTATTGCGGCAAGGTGAAGTAAAGTTGATGTAAAGCTATGTATAAATTTTTCTTGGCTGAAAGAACTAGCCCTGGTATTCTGGGCACTCTCTAGCAGCAATGCAATATTTCCCCAATTTTATTTTTCAAGGTATGTAGACCTTGGTAACTCCGTCAACATGTCTGCGGCAGCATACACATCCATCCATACCCTTTGTAGCAAGGTTAATCCGACATGATCCACATACGGAAAAGCACCGACATGGCCAGCTGATGAATTCACGAGGGTTGATTTGGCATACAACGCAAGGGTACGGAATATCATCGTCGAGGTCGTCGTCTCCGTTAGTGGCTTTCTTCAGCCTCTTGTCTCTCTCAATCTTTCTTTCCATTAATAATTCAATAAGCTTACTTCCGTCGTCTTTTTGCATGGTTTGCTTATTGAATCGTGAACGAGTCAAAATTCCATCGTATTCCAATCTGTAGCGAAAGATGTTGGCAAAGTCTGGCTGGGTCAAATCAGTCAAGAATTGCGTATCGACTATCTCACCAACATCTCCGGGGTCATCGGATTCAAAGTCGCTCTCCAATTCCGATTCAATACCAAGATAGTCACCAGATTTGTCGTTATCTGTCCAAGGTTGGTCAATAAATTCCAATAATTCATCTGCCGAGTACGCATTCGTGTCAACGATATTTTCTTCATCTGAGGTGCCCTCTTCATCAGAACCAATTTCAGGGTTCACTGCCCCTTGCAAGTAACGAGGCAACTTTGGTTCATTGTAATCTCTTCCCAAAACTTTCCGAAACACTGGCTGCATCAGCTTGTCAACTACCAAGCCATAGACGAGCTCCATTAAGTTTCCAACCAACTGTTTCATTCCAGAGTACTTTTTTCTTAGTGAAGAAACATCTTTCATATTGCGAGGAACTTGCTCACGGATCGTTACTCCTTCATCATACATCCATGTCGAAGAAGGATTTTCGATCATATTACCATACCCATGTTGCGTAGCATGTTCAAGTAGATGAATGATGTCTGAAGAACTCCTACTCTTTAATGCATTTACATGGTCCCCAAACTTTTCCCAGAGTGATTTTTCAATCCAAGTTTCCTTGCTAGCTGGAACACCACCAATTTCACTCACATAGCTGAGCTTTCCAGCCAGGATCAAAGCGAGCTCACCAAGCTTGAGAATGCCAGTGGTGAAATCGTCCTCGAGAGTGAGTCCTGCAAGTCCCCGTGTTGCCGAATTTTCCGAGTCTTCAGGGAATAAGAACGTAGTGTAATCCAAGTTGCGCCATTGGAAACCAGTACCAATGACGGCGACGAGAAAGATGGTTATGGATATAAGCAACACACCCACGATTATGACCTGGGGAATGAACGACAACCAGAGGATGCTGAAAAATGGAACACGAGCAACGAGGTATGCTAAAAAGGACAATGATATGATGGACAGTGGGATGAGTCTAGTGCGATTGTTATTAACAAGAGCTCCAATGTGGATATTAAGGTAGCTGAGGATCAGGAAAAATGAGAGCATGAGCAGTTGTTCTGTGGTGGGGACTGGGCGACGCATACCAAATACTCCATAACCGGAATCATCGCTGTGGAATGCAACTGAGAGCTCGAATAATGTGATGAGACTCTCACTATATGGTTTATTACCATTAGAAACGCTCACAAATGTTTCAACGAGTAGCAGGTAGCACACACCCAAAAAAATGGGCCAGTAGATCTCGCTTGATGGCCCCACCATCACTTTGGTGCTAGGTGTAGCCATAAACTGACTTTTGGCGTAAAACTGGGGATCATATGCGAAAAAGCGATCCAGAATAAGACGCAAAAACCACCATGATTTCCCTTCAGGAGTCCCAATCTGCCGCTGGACATTTAATGCCACAAGAACCCGATAGAGGTTAAACCCCAAGACGGCAATCGCAGTACAACGAAGAAATATCGAAAACCATCGCCGTACTTGCTGGCTCCAATCATGCAAAGAACCATCTAACTGATGTAAAGATGGCCCGTGTCTCCGTCTCTGACTCGGAGCTGCCAATACCAAGATTCTATTAAGCGTAAGTGCGGTCATAAAACATATTAAAGCATACAGGGAGCAGCAGTAGGCAGCTATGCGTCCATATCTGTCCCAAGATAGGCCCTTTTCTTCAGCCATTTGCATCTGCTCGTAGATCGCGGTCCCTAGAGCGCCGAAGAAGCTAGTTTCTCCCTCGGGTAACGCGTCCATGGTGCCGAATTTGTAGTTTAGGGATGTCTTAGGGATGTGGTAAATGTAATACGTCAGTGCGCTTGCAACCGGCCTACATGCAGATTCGCGAGAGATCGATTAGGCATGACATAAGCTAAACGATTGCAAATTGGTATGGTTGAGGTGATGTGGGATATGTGCTCTTGACTCCATACAAAACAATAGTGACCTACGGCCCATCCACATTTAATGGAATTTGGCTTAAACTTGTTATTAGCCATTGATGCTAAATTTGAAAATATGCTAATTTGGGGAAAACGTAAATCTATCAATCTTTCACGAATCACCCACCCATATCCAGAGTAATCCATTCACCATTCCACCATGCCACCATTCCATCCACTTCCATCTCTTATCTCAGCACCTTACTATTCGGCTGCCCATCTAGTCTCATCATCGAACCTGCATACAACACAATATCCTAGTGCGATGGCCATCTTTACACTGCTGTGTAAATAACCATGGTTAACAACGGTCGTCCCCCGCCTCCTGGGAAACCCCAAAGACATCATAATGATGGAGACACCAGAACGAATAACGGATCGGGAGCACGAGACCCTTCTAGACCTATTATACCCCCTCCACCACCAAGTAATAGAGCTCCTCCTCCACCACCTAGAACAGTAAATGGCCATCCTCCTCCTCCGCGAAGTACTGGAAGGCTTCCCCCACCACCTCCAGGTAGATCCACCACTACAGGAGCACCACCTCCTCCAAAACGACAAGCTGGACCACCACCTCCTCCACGAATTGCATCATCTCTTCAGATATCGGAGCGAGAATTGGCTGATAGGAAACGGGTCTGGCTTCAATTACAAAAGAAACGATACTTACACCAAGCCGTAAAGCAGAAGGGAACTTTGGTTCACCCAAAAAAGGTCGACATGCCTCCTGAGCATCTTCGTAAAATTATACACGATCATGGCGACCTCTCGTCCAAGAAAATAGCATCGGACAAACGGTCCCATCTTGGCTCCCTCAAGTATATGCCTCACGCTATTCTCAAGCTTTTGGAAAACATGCCTCAGCCCTGGGAGGAGGCGAAAGACGTAAAGGTTCTCTACCATATCACTGGAGCTATTACGTTTGTCAACGAGATTCCTCGAGTCATCGAACCAGTTTATACCGCTCAGTGGGCCACAACCTGGATAATGATGAGGCGAGAAAAGCGAAACCGTAAGCATTTCAAAAGAATGCGATTTCCACCTTTTGACGATGAAGAGCCTCCTCTAGATTGGATGGAAAATTTGGAAGACGCAGATCCCGCTGATGGCATAATTATGGAAAATAGCGACGTTCCAGAATGGCTATATGACCCCAAACCATTGATTGACGGAAAAGAAGTGAACGGAGACTCGTACAAGTGGTGGAACTTGGAAGTCAAAACGATGTACGACCTATACAAACTTTCCAAACCAGTCCTTCCCGAAATTACTGATTCAAATTACTTTTACCTTTACGACTCCAACTCACTACAAACTGCCAAAAGCTTAAACGTTGCTTTACCTGGAGGACCAAAGTTTGAACCGCTTTTCAAAGATAAAATCAATAATCCCGAGAGTGAAGATTTCACAGAGTTCAACTCGCTTGATAGGATCATTATAAGGATTCCTGTTCGATCCGAATACAAGGTTGCGTTCCCGTTCTTATACAACTCATTTGTGAAAGCAGTTAAGCCTTCGTGGTACCACCACCCTCTCCGCTGCAATCTCCACAACATTCACGAAAACATAGATATTCCATTCTATTTCAACTCCAAGTTCAACACGATTACACCTCACAAAAGAAGAAGTCGGGTAGCAAAAGAAAAAACAAGTATCGACTACAAATTACCTGAAAACTTCTCTCCATTCCTTGACGATACTGCGATTACTTCACCCGAAATTTCAGGCTCCATTGAACTTTTGTTTGCGCCTTATCCATTCAACCGTCGAAGCGGCCATAATGTTAGAGCAGAAGATTCTACCATTGTGAAGTCTTGGTATCAGCAACGGCCACCCAGGGGCTCTCCCTTGAAGGTGAGAATCTCTCATCAGAAATTGTTAAAGGGTAAAGTATTGAATGAGCTACACTCTCAGAAAGCTGAAAAAACACGCAGAAATGTAAAGCTCCTCAAGAGCTTAAAGGCAACAAAGTATTTTCAACAAACTACCATTGACTGGGTAGAGGTAGGCTTACAGATATGTCGCCAAGGTTTCAACATGCTCAATCTCCTTATCCACAAGAAGGGACTAACGTACTTGCACTTGGATTACAACTTCAACTTGAAGCCAACGAAAACGTTGACCACCAAGGAACGAAAAAAATCTCGTTTTGGTAACGCTTTTCACTTGATAAGAGAAATCTTGAGAGCCATCAAAAATCATCGTTGACTCACATGTACAGTTTCGTTTAGGCAATATCGATGCCTACCAGCTCGCAGACGGCTTATACTACATTTTCAATCACTTGGGTCAGTTGACAGGAATTTATCGTTACAAGTACAAAGTCATGCATCAGATTAGGGCGTGCAAGGACTTGAAGCACGTTGTTTATTCAAGGTTTAACAATGGTATTGGAAAGGGTCCTGGTGTTGGTTTCTGGCAACCAGCATGGCGTGTGTGGATATTCTTCTTGAGAGGTATCATTCCCTTGCTTGAAAGATGGTTAGGAAACCTTCTTGCTCGTCAATTCGAAGGACGCAGAAGTAACGATGTGGCCAAAACGATTACTAAACAAAGAGTGGATGCATACTATGACCTTGAGTTGAGAGCACAAGTTATGCATGATATCTTAGACATGATTCCCGAGGGAATGAAACAGAACAAATCACGAACAATTTTGCAGCACTTGAGCGAAGCCTGGAGATGCTGGAAAGCCAATATTCCTTGGAAAGTTCCCGGCTTGCCAGAACCAGTCGAAAAGATTATCGAGAGGTATATCAAAGCTAAAGCCGACGGATGGACGTCAATAGCGCACTATAACAGAGAACGTATACGTCGGGGAGCCACTGTGGAGAAGACTGTCGCCAAGAAGAATTTGGGAAGACTTACCAGGTTGTGGATCAAAAATGAACAAGAAAGACAAAAAAGCTTTGCAAAAGATGGCCCGTACGTGTCACCGGATGATGCAATTACTATCTTCCGCAACATGACCCATTGGCTTGAAGGTAGACGCTTTCAACCAATTCCATTCCCTCCTCTATCCTACAAGCACGATACCAAGTTATTAGTATTGGCTCTCGAGAATTTAAAAGAACAATTCAATGCCAATTCAAGACTAAACTCATCACAAAGAGAAGAATTAGCATTGATTGAACAAGCTTACGACAATCCACATGAATGTTTGGCCAGAATCAAGAAATTTTTGTTGACCCAAAGAATCTTCAAGGAAGTTGGTTTGGAATTGATGGACTATTACACTCATTTGGTTCCAACCTATACAATTGACCCCCTTGAAAAAATCACAGACACATACCTCGATCAATATTTGTGGTACGAAGCAGACAAGAGACAATTGTTCCCCAACTGGATAAAACCAAGTGATAATGAAATTCCGTCATTGTTGGTGTACAAGTGGTCCCAAGGAATCAACAACTTGACTGACGTATGGAATACATCAGGTGGAGAATGTAATGTTCTACTTGAGACAAAGCTCAGCAAGGTGTCAGAGAAGATAGATTTCACTTTACTTAATCGACTTCTCAGGCTCATCGTTGACCCAAATATTGCGGATTATCTTACATCAAAAAATAACGTCAGTTTGACGTACAAAGATATGAATCATGTCAACCAGTATGGGTTAATTCGAGGACTTCAATTTGCATCATTTTTGATCCAGTATTATGGTTTGGCACTTGATCTTTTGATATTGGGATTAGATCGTGCTAATGAACTTGCCGGTCCTCCTCAGCTGCCTAATGCGTTCTTGCAATTCAAGAACACAGAAGAAGAAACGACAAGCCCCATCAGACTTTATCTTCGTTATGTTGATAAAGTATATATATTCTTGCGGTTGAATCACAACGAAGCCGATGAGTTGATTCTGGATTATCTTTCGGAGAACCCAGATCCCGATTTCAAGAATATTGTTGGTTATAACAACCACCGCTGTTGGCCTCGAGACGCTCGTATGCGGTTAATGCGTCATGATGTCAACTTGGGACGAGCAGTGTTTTGGGAGATTGCCAACCGAGTTCCTTCCTCCGTGACTTCTATTGAATGGGAAGATACATTTGCTTCCGTATATTCAAAGGACAATCCTAATCTTTTGTTCAGTATGTGTGGCTTCGAAGTTAGAATTTTGCCCAAGATTCGCTCATCAGATGTAACATCGTCAAGTGAGGGTGTTTGGGACTTGATAGATCAGCAAACGAAGGAAAGAACGGCGAAGGCATACTTGCGTGTCAGCAATGAGGAGATTGAAAAGTTCAACAGTAGAATCCGCCAAATATTGATGTCGTCGGGATCTACGACTTTCACTAAGGTTACCTCCAAATGGAACACTGCGTTGATTGCGCTTTTTGCCTACTTTCGAGAAGCAGTTGTATCTACTGAAAACTTATTGGATATCCTAGTCAAGTGTGAGACAAAGATTCAAAATCGGGTTAAAATGGGCTTGAATTCGAAGATGCCAACGAGATTTCCTCCTGCTGTATTTTATACTCCCAAGGAATTAGGCGGTCTAGGCATGTTAAGTGCGTCACATATATTGATTCCTGCCTCTGACTTGCGATGGAGTAAGCAGACAGACACCGGTATTACCCATTTCAGAGCCGGTATGAGCCACCAGGAAGAAAAAATGATACCTACAATCTTTCGTTATATTCCAACGTGGGAAAACGAATTTTTAGACTCACAGAGAGTTTGGGCAGAATATGCCATTAAACGTCAAGAAGCAATGGAACAGAACAGACGTTTAACGTTTGAGGATATGGAGGAAAATTGGGACAGAGGTATTCCTAGAATAAGCACCCTTTTTCAAAAAGATCGCCATACACTTGCTTACGATAAGGGTCACCGTATAAGACGGGAGTTCAAACAGTATAGCATGGCTAGATTCAACCCATTTTGGTGGACTAGCAATCATCACGATGGTAAATTGTGGAATCTCAATGCTTACAGGACCGACGTTATTCAAGCATTGGGAGGTATTGAGACAATTCTAGAGCACACTTTGTTCAAAGGAACCGGGTTTGATTCCTGGGAGGGACTTTTTTGGGAAAAGTCGACTGGTTTCGAGGATTCCTTAAAGTTCAAAAAGTTGACAAATGCTCAGCGTTCAGGATTGAGTCAAATACCGAATCGTCGGTTCACGTTATGGTGGTCGCCCACAATTAATAGAGCAAACGTTTACGTTGGATTTCTCGTTCAGTTGGATCTTACTGGTATATTTCTCCATGGTAAGATACCAACCCTCAAGATTTCATTGATTCAGATTTTTAGGGCTCATTTATGGCAAAAGATTCATGAGAGTATAGTCCAAGATATCTGTCAGGTGCTTGATAAGGAGATCGATATGTTGCAGATTGATTCCGTGGAGAAACAAGCAATTCATCCAAGAAAGTCATACAAGATGAATTCTTCTTGTGCAGACATTGTTCTTTCAAGCTCATACAAGTGGAATGTCTCTCGTCCATCTTTACTCTTTGACGAAAATGACTCTTTTGATGCTGTGTCAGCCAAAAAATTCTGGATAGATGTTCAATTGCGGTACGGTGATTATGATTCCCATAATATTTCCAGATACACCAGAGCCAAATTTTTGGACTATACCACGGATAACACTAGTTCTTATCCATCCCCAACTGGAGCCATGGTTGGAATTGACTTGGCGTACAACATGTATGATGTTTTTGGAAACTGGTTTTCAGGCTTCAAGCCGTTGATGCAGAGCGCAATGAAAGAGATAATGAAGGCTAACCCGGCATTGTACGTGTTGCGTGAACGGTTGAGAAAAGGATTACAATTGTACCAGTCTCAACCTCAAGAGACTTTCTTGAATTCCAGCAACTACGCAGAACTATTCAGCAACGAAACTCAGTTCTTCATCGACGATACGAACGTCTACAGAGTTACCGTTCACAAGACTTTTGAAGGTAATCTTACTACGAAACCTGTCAATGGATGTCTTTTCATGTTGAATCCGAAAACAGGTCAGTTGTTCTTGAAAGTGATTCATACATCTGTTTGGGCTGGTCAGAAGAGACTCGGGCAGCTTTCGAGATGGAAGAGTGCTGAAGAGGTTGCCGCATTAATTCGTTCACTTCCTCGAGAGGAGCAACCTAAAAGATTAATCTTAACTAGAAAAGGAATGCAGCAACCAATGGAGGTTCATACTCTCGATTTCCCCAACTTGTCTATCCGGCTGTCTGAACTTCACTTGCCATTTGCAGCTTCCATGAAGGTGGATAAACTTGCCAACGTCGTCTTAAAGGCCAAGGAGCCACAAATGGTACTTTTTAATCTTTATGATGACTGGCTTCAGAGCATTTCAGCATATACCGCATTCTCAAGAGTGATATTATTGATGAGAGCTCTTGGTATTAACCAGGAGAGGACCAACTTGATTTTGCGCCCTGATGCCAGTGTTATCACCCAAGAGCACCATCTCTGGCCATCATTTTCTGATGAACAATGGATTGAGGTTGAGGCTCAATTGAGAGATTTGATTTTAAACGACTATGCCAAGAAGAATAATGTCAATATTCAGTCGTTGACTCAATCCGAAGTTCGTGACTTGATCTTAGGTCAAGAGATCAAAGCGCCATCGACCAAGCGCCAGGAAGCTACAGATACAAATGGCAGTGCCAATAATGGTATAGCTAATGCCAGTCAACAATTGACTGCTATGAAGACAACGACACACAATGTTCATGGAGAAGAAATAGTCACCGTGACCACCACGAATTACGAACAGCTGTTATTCGAGTCAAAGAATGATTGGCGTAATCGTGCCATTGCTTCAGGGAACCTCCATTTGCGGGCGAAGAACATTTTTGTATCACCATTTGATGGAGATGACGATGATGAGAACCCCATCTGTATCATGCCACAGAATTTGCTCAAGAAGCTCATTCAGATTTCAGATGTAAGAACCCAAGTTGGTGGATTTCTCTACGGAGTTTCCCCTCCAGAAAATTCTCAGGTGAAAGAAATCAAGTACATTGTTCTTGTACCACAAATTGCCAACAGTCATTCCATCAAGTTGCCGGAAAAGCTTCCGTCCGCGAGCGGCCCACTAGAAGGTCTCGAGTTGCTAGGATGGATACACACTCAACCGAACGAACTGAGTCTCCTCACGCCAGTGGAAATCAAAACTCTTGCAGAGTTGAAAGCCAACAACGAGCAGTGGGGAACTTCGTCGGTGACAGTACTGGTGGCATTTACTCCTGGTTCGGTTACATTAAACTCTGGAGTGTTGACTGAAGAAGGTTACAATTGGGGAGCCACAAATTTCGATTTATCTTCTCAAACACCCCAAGGATACTCACCAACTTTTACCCAACGTTCTCAGATAGTTCTTTCAAACCGAATTGTGGGATCGTTCATGGTTCCTGATGATGGAATTTGGAATTACACCTTTTTGGGTCCTATATGGAATCCAAAAGACTCGTATGGTTTAAAAATTGACATTCCATATCCTTTCTATCATGATTTGCACCGTCCAATACATTTTGCGACTTATAATGAAATTGAAGGAGGTGACAAGTTGGAAGCTACACAAGAAAGTTCATTAGCATAATATAACGTTTACCAGTGTCGTACAGAAATAATATGGTCTTCAATAGCAAACATCAATTTTCTCAAATCATGACGAGAGACATTCTCCTTTAACAATAATAGCTCCAAAGAGTTCTTTCCATTCATATACTTGAGAAATTTGTAGAACACAGAAACCATGGCAGGTGTAAGTTTGCACTCGTCAAAGATGATTTTGTTGATCCATTTTCTCTCCAATGACGAAGCCCTCCCCGGATCCAAAATAATGGTATCACCATCTTTTTCCAAAACAATATCAGTATTGTAAGGATTCGAATTAACTCCAATCCCACTACTAGGCAGAGACGACGGTTTGTTGGCTCTCGTACGACGAATATTGGCATCCGATGGACCATCGCTGTACGCCTTTGATGTGTTATCCGTGGCAAGTAGCTTATGGTATTTCTCGACACTTGGAGTAACAGGGTTGCTTCGTTTTCTGCCAGCCGATTCCTTCTCTATATCCTCTTCCACCTTCATCTTAATTTTCTTGGAGATTTTGAGCCAAACAAAAGTATGAAGTTGAGTCACATAACCATACTTCATGAGCCAGCCTAGCGCTTCCATATAAATATCACGATGGTCTTTGGAAGGAATAGCCGCAGCAAATTGTTTTGGTTTACGGCTCAGGGCAGAAAGTAGCTTAAGGAAGTGTGGTAACGAAGGAAGTGATGAAAATGCGGCTTTGAAAGCTTTGATGTCGTTGTAAAGGTTGAATGAAAGGGGTGCCATGGGTGACACGATATAGACAGAGCGTGAGCTTAGTGGCTGGATCACTCTTGCTCTCCTCCAGTATACCAAATGGAAAGCAAAGGACTTGACTTCAGCTATATTTGACTCCATCTTTTCGTGGTGGTTGAGTTTGTGAGCTAATCTTTCTAGTGATTCGGTAGGCTTGATGCTATGGATGAAACGGGCAATTGCACTCTGTGGTTCTGCGTTAATGTCTCTGATAATCGAGTTCGGGTCGTCAAGCAATAATAGAGAGAAGTATATTATGTCGTCAGTTTTGGAACCAGAATCTGTCTGAAGTGAATCTTCATCTGCATCATATGTGCTTCCTGGAGTGATACTACTCAACAGTCCTTGCATGCCATATCTTGTAGTCTCACCGATGTTAATCAACCCGGTACCGGCAAGCAAATTCACAGTTGTAGACAAGTAAGACCCTGGTAAATGTGGTACAGTAGGCTCAGGTAGCGAGTGGAACTCGGTCTTGATGGGTATTTGAAACGATCGTAGCTTTTTGTTCACGAATAAGTTTGCAATATCATGCTTTGATATCGCTTCATAGCAGTCCTTGATCAGACGACAAAGCGAGGATCTATTGACGAGAAATTCATGCAAACCTTCGTCGTTTCCTTGTGATAGTCTGTGGTCTTCCTTAAGTTTCGAGATGAGCTTCACTTGCTTCCATACATAATCGTGCTTCAGTTGTTCATATCTTAGCACGAGTGCCAAGCGAGAGATAACAAAGTGAAACATCTCGTCCACACGGTAGTTGTATTCTACCACTGGCGGGTCCATAATGAACACAAGATGAAACATGCTCATAGTGGCCCTCAGAGTGGAATTTGAATTCTGCGAATCTTCATATAACTGCCCATCAGCCGAAACTTTAGAGCCCGATCTTGTTGACTTTGTTTTTGTCTTGTGTCTCCACAGGCCGTTATCGTAGCAGTGTACTGGTAAACCAATGAAAACATGATCATCAACCGTAATCTCGAATCTTGAGTTGCACATCAGCCTAGGTGGACATAAAAGTTCACACAAATATTCCTTGTCGAATCCAAGAATATTATCTTTCGCTGTCTGAGCCGAAGAAGATTTACGGTTCGAACCCGAGTTACGAGAACTGCTACTTTGTTGTGAGTCAGAAACCTCAGAAACTGTCTTTTTAAGGTTATTGGAAGATGGGCTGTTATTCTCTTGCGAGATGACTGGTTGGAGTTCTGGTGACAATGGTGCTCGTAAACGCTCCTTTCCGCTGGATCGACGGCGCTTTTCTTCATCATCTAAAAATGACAATAAATCTTTCTTAGTTCCCATATAATAGTTGACATTGCGGGAGTCCCACTCTTCATTGAGAAGAAATTGCTCATCACTGAAATCACTTTCTTCGGAAGAGAGACCATCATCATCTTCATCATCTACCTTGACATTGGTTTTCTGTTCTTCTGGAGCATTATTTTGATCATTATAGTCTTCGTTATCTTCATGGCGGTTTCGTCGCTGAGACAGAGTTTTGTCAGAGCTTAGTTCTGGAGGGTACAGGAACACCAGCGTAGGTCCACTGTGCGTGGAAATGACGAGAAAGATACCCAATAGACTGGGATTGGGAATATTAAAGCTCATAAACGTTCGCAGCAGATTACCATATAATTAGGCTGAGAATCGCAGTGAGAATTGGTTCCATATCGTGCAGGAGCTGCACCCCAGCCGGCTGCAAAAACGAGATGAATATGAGGAGGCTCTAATGTAAACCGCCAAATTTTCCACATCATTTTCAAAATTGGACGGTATTGGCTACACCAAGTAAGACGAATACATAAATTCAGTGAAGTTTGCGATAAATATTCATAACTACATCTTATGTTTGATATCCTTTTGAGCCAATTTCATGAACCGCTCCTGAGGAATACCTGCGACCCATCTTCTTAAGCCAATAACCGACTCTCTGGAACTGGCAGCACTGATCTGCGCATCCCTGTTGACTTTGAGCAACTCCTTGTTTTCAAAGATAGATGGGTAATACAAGTTCTCAAATTGACCTTCCAAATCTTTGCGCACCTGTTCGTTGAACGCTTCAGTAGACAATTTCTGGTCCTTGTAAGACTTATTAAAGAAACCATTTTTTTCAAGGATAGTACCAGGGATGGGTCTAGAGAAAAGAAGTGCTTCAGAAGCTTTTGCCCAGCCAAGTCTCATGAACATGGAAGCACTGGCACCACCTTCTGCAACCAAACCCAAGTTGGAGAATGGCGCAAGGAGGTAGAATTTCTCCTCATCATTCACGTAGATCAAGTCACAAAGGCACACAAGAGCAGCACTCAAACCGATAACCGGACCGTTTAAAGCGCAAGCAAGTACCTTCTTGTGATTCATGAACACATCGGTAGACCACACATTTCTACCGGTAAAGTTTTTGAGCCAATAAGGGTACGAGAAGATCTCAGAAGATTCAGCGTTTCCCAAGTCAGAGATGTTGGCGCCAGCACTGAAAAAACGTCCCGTGGATTGAAAAAGTGTCAAAACCGTGTCTTCATCTTCATCAGCTCTCTGAAGAAGCTCAGTCAAAAGTTGGTATTGAGGACCATTCAAAGCATTGAGCTTTTTGTCAAGGTTCAACGTGATGATGGCGGTTTTGCCCTTCACTTCATACAAGATATCTTCTCCCTCAGACATGGTGAAATTATTTCTCCAAAGTACCCCAGGTTATATGGCTTAAATAATGAGGAGAACCGAGGAACCGCAACTTCCTGTATATGTCCTGGATATGCATGCGCGGAGACGGTGGCCGAGGCAGCCGGAATGGGGTGCGAGCCATGTACAGAATGCTATTTAAAAATTAAGGTTAGCGGGCACCAATGGGGCAATACCCCTCCGGATATGATTCGGTTAAAGAGATTACCCCAATTGTGAAACTACCCACACGACTATGAAATTCTACATGGCGATATATTCGCAACATGTTGCATATGAAACTTGGTGTATAGAAACAATTTATTACATTGTAGATGTGATGTTTTGTCAATCGACCCACAATATTAGATTAACCTGACTTCTTCAAGTTGGTGGATAACCACTCTAAGCCCTCATACAATCCATCTCCCGAGGTAGCACAGGTGGACTGGATGTACCATGGACGTTGACGAATCGAATGCAATCCCAACTTTTCCGTGATTTCTGCGGCGTTCATGGCATTAGGCAAGTCCTGCTTGTTGGCAAACACCAACAACAACGCGTCTCTCAACTCATCTTCGTTCAACATTTGTTGTAATTCTTCTCTGGCCTCAGCAACACGATCACGATCGTTGGAATCCACCACGAAAATGATACCCTGGGTGTTTTGGAAGTAGTATCTCCACAAAGGACGAATCTTATCTTGTCCACCCACATCCCATACCGTAAACGAGATATTTTTATACTCGACGGTTTCCACGTTGAATCCAATAGTAGGAATCGTTGTAACGATCTCACCCAACTTCAACTTGTACAATATGGTGGTCTTTCCTGCTGCATCAAGTCCCACCATAAGGATACGCATCTCCTGGTTGCCAAAAAGGCCCGACAAAAGCTTGGAAATTGTCAATCCCATTGATGATTCGTGTTTGAGGGCGTCGAAACTCGATTGTGCGGTTGAAATCTCAACGTGTGTGCAGGACAAGAGAAGCAAGAGACTGATGGAAAGTAAGAGGGAAAGAAACGATTTTGGTTGTTGTCGCTTTAAGAGAAAGGTCAATTCACAATAAAGCAGCAGATCTATTGAAAGTACTTTATACAGAATTTATGGCCAGTTAGCTCGACTTTAATAAGTTACCTATTCTGTACATTATGCAGGAAATTCTTCCAGTCCTGCAGTAATTCACAAATCCTACTCGCTTAACTGTGACATGAAGGTAATACATCCGTCAGTTCCTTTGCGGAGCCCATTATCCATCACAGAGCCAACAGAACCAGCATTTGCTGATGCAGCAGAACAAATACGTGATTTGGCAGATTTTGAGCTGGAGAGTAAGGTGCCATTATTTCTGTTTGACAACAACGAGTACAATGTTTTGGTTAGAGACTTGGCTTTACTATGGCGGTTACCATCCTCGTATCAAGTTTTGATGCGTATGAGCAAGTATGGAGTCAAAACACACCTCAAAAGGACTACAACCACTGAAAACAATCACCTTTGGAGTCATGGACTTATCTCTAAAGACGATACCGATAAACGTCAATTTTATCTCCCCTTCCGTTTTCTCTTGTCCATTCTTACCAATAAGGAGATTCTCATTGGGGAGTCAACTAATGAAGCCAACAGCGTTTCCTCAGCTCCTGTCATTAATCCTCAACTAGAGGAGAACCAGATCAGTATCAACCAAGTATTACCTCAGTATGGTGAAGTTAAATCGACTCTTGACCTCAATTTCTCCACATTCAACGCTTTAACCAAGGTGGCAAAGTTCAAGTTTTACAAGACATTGCCCATGTTCCAACGTTTGCTTCCTCCCTCGAAACTTCCTCCAGCCGATTTGGAATTGCTCGCTCAGGAAAACGTCCTTCCCCCCTTAGAAGTACAACAACCAGAGAGGCCAGACCCAGCGTCAGCGCCAGCGAGGTCAGAGGGACATGGTCCCTTAAAGAGAGGCCGCAAACCAGTTAGTCGTAGGCCTCTTGGAAAGATCCGCAAGTATTACACCAGTATCGATCCCAATACGCTAGATTTGACCGAGTCTTTAATTCCAGGACAAGGGTACATCCAGGAGTTCAATATCAACCACTTGTGTAAAGTTCCAAACTATTACGCCTCTCGAGGTACACAACAATCTCCTGCATTCCCGATTAAAAAGCCAGAAACGAAGGTGCTGAAGAATATGCAGCAGCTATCTTATTCGGAGCTCGAAACCACTCTTACCAAATACTACTACACAAAGACTCACAGAGGAGTCGGTAGTGGTAATTACAAGGACGCTGCGTTTGCAAACAAGTTGAATAGAATACCTGCGTCTTTAACTGTGATTTCAAAGTGTCATAAAAGTCCTAAGCAGTTGCAGCGTATGAGGAAAAGACGCGCAGATATGAACATAAAGGGCTTGGTACATGAACTGTTTCACAACAAAGTCATCAAGGAAGCTTCCTCAGCAAAGAGAGATGAGGTGGAAGATCACAGCAATATCGAAATGCTCCATGCTAATCTCCAGTACAACTTACTTGTCAACAGCTACAGAGAAATAGCTCGAGAAACTTGGGATCGATATTACGAATTCAAGATGACAGACTTTGACCAGTTGACAATGCTTAGGAAGGAGCAAGTCGAGAAGCAACAACGAGAAAATGCTATTCGAAAACATTCGCAAGATCCCAACGCCGTCATACCTCCAGAACTCTTACATCCTCGTGTTACAGTGGTCAACAACATAGTCAACCCCACCACCTACAAGGAAATTACCTCCAAGTTACCACTTGAACTTCGAAACGATGAAGAAACTGCAGCCACCAAAGTGCAGCCTATAAAAAAACCAATACGTTTAACCACGGTATATCCCAACCCAATGAATAGCGATCTTGCTTTCAGTGTTGAAAGCGTTCGAGTCCCCAACTCCAACTCCATTGGCTGGGACAACATGAAGAAGTATGGAGAAGACCCCATATAGTAGTAGTTAATACACAGGACAATCGCCGCAGCCTGCGTGCCGCGTCGAGACAATTAGCGTGCATATTGGTTTCGATATTGTCACCAAAAATCCTCCACGAAATCAATTACCTGCCATATGTCATTCGCAGAGAGTTTTTGGACTCTGGACTACGAGCTGGGTATTTCTGTACTCTTCGAACAAATAAGGCATGGCATTGTAGAAAATGACGATTTCATTCAATTATTCACCAAACGCATGGAACTGGAACTCATTTATGGTTCTCAACTAGAGTCGATCCAAGCGCTCAAATCCACCGGTAAACAACTGGACAACGACGAGTATGTTTCATCGATAAAGAATGGTCTCGTAAAGATCAAAGAGAATTTCGCTCGTCAAGGAGAATACCACAACCTTATTGCCTCCAACATTCAGCTTCAGGTTTTGGAGCCTTTCACCAAGTGGAGTAAGGAACACAAACAACGCGTCAACTATTCAGAGGCCACTCTTGCCGACAAGCAGAAGGCGTTCAGAAGTGCAAAGAGCCACTTGGACAAGCTTCAAAAGCGGTACTTCAACAAGTGCCGTTTGATGGAGGAATTCAAATCGCATTATTCAGAGGAGGAAATTGAAGCTGAAATTAGAGACATGGAATTCTCCAAGTCTAACGTAACAGTCATTGAGGACCTAGAGGAACAAACGGTCTACGCATTGGGTACCTTCAATTACGACGAGAAATCTATGCGTGCACTTCTTGCCGATATTCTTAAGAGCATCAACTTATCGTCTCATAAAGTCCCTATCTTGGGAACATACCACAACGTTACTCCAGGGAGCACAATCACTCAATGGCTTCTCGATAACATGCCTCAGGTCAACAAAAATATCGTCAAGGCCGAGGAAATTGGGCAAGCTCTACTTAACCACGGCTTCATCAGAGGAATAGGTACTATGAGTGGCGGTAAAAGCTTCATCAACTCCTCTCAATACTTTTACCAGTGGAAACCGCTTGCTTTTGAACTTGCAAGAGTGACACAATTGATGAATAATGACGGAGACATGAACAAGTCAACACTTGCCAAAGGACCACAGTTTGGAGACTACTTTGAAGATATGAAACAGGCCATTGGTGTGGGAGCAGTTGACTTCAACGACCGCTCACAGCTTCAGAAGCTTATACAGGAAGTTGACCTTTTGGACTCACAGTATTATCAAAGTACAGTGGACTGTGATAAGCTTCGATGCGAGCTTGAAGAGTTGATTATGGATCACCTTACGTTCATGCAAAAGTGCGAATTAGACCGCTTGAAAGCTCTCAAGCGGGCAACTTTCGACTTCGTATCCTGCTTCTCCGATGAAGTCGATGCTTTAAAGAAGGTTATTGATGAATTGAACATCTTGGAAGAAACAATTAACCCAGCTAATGATCTCAAATTTCTTATTGAAAACTACTCCACTGGACATTTCAAGCCCAACGTCATACTATATGACAATTATTATAACTCCAATATCAAGCAAACGTTTGGCGTGGATTTATCGGTAAAATCACGTCTCGACCACAAAGTTGTTCCCCTTTTCATCCAATGCGTTTTGTCTTACTTGGATCACATTTATCCAGACTTGGAGAATGATGAACAAAGAATAAATTTGTGGATCAAGCCCGTGCTGCTTACCGATGTGCACCAACTTCGTTTCAAGATCAACGACGTTGCAGACCCAGCCCAAATTAATGAAGTATTGAAGAAAAGTGATGCTTCAGTAGTCACAAATCTCCTCAAACTCTACTTTTTGGAATTGCCTGACTCTGTGATTCCATATGCATGTTACGATGTTATCAGGTCGTTATACACCAATTACCCCACGAATTCAAAAGAAAAGCAAGTGCACGATTCGCGGATTAATGGGTTGCAAAATGTTCTTCTGGAACTCCCCAAGTCTCATTTAGCTACTCTCGACGCCATTATGACGCATCTTAATCGCCTCATTCAAATTATTGGGTCTAAGGACGAAAGTATCGCTGCTGATTTGAGATTGAAAATGTCTAAAGAATTCGGCCACTTATTATTGAGGCCAAAGCATGATGGAAGCAACGTCGACAGCTCTAAGAATGACAAGCATCAGTCAAGTCTTATTCTCGATTTATTTGAGAACAAAGATTCCATATTCAAGGAGCTTCGGAGAAAGAATTCTTCCAGAGCCGATTCCTCACAAGCAAAAAGTGAAAGAGGTGAACCCGCAAAGAAATCCAGCTTGGAGTCTAAGCTACAACGAGCAGTGAACAAAACAAAAAAGAAGAGTGAAACGAAAAGCGAACTTCCCGAGCTTCCAACTACGCCTAAGAGGAGTCCGGCACCTTCATTGAAACGCTCAACTTCTCCTAATAAAAAGAAGTTGAGTACGATATTGAATGACTCTAGTCCTAGTTCTAATCGTGAAAAGCCTAAGAAGAAGAGCGAAGAAAAGGAGAATACTACAAAGACATCAGACTCTGTTGATCCATCGGATGATTCTAAGGACGATAATGAAGTTATTTTGGTTGACTAAATAGTAATAAACCATCAAAGCAACTTGGAGTGCTTGATATCATGTCTCAATCTGTAGATGAAGATACTCAACACAATAATGCACAAAATTACTGGTGTCAAAACCCACCTAACGATTGTGGTGGTTAGTTCCGATGAAGGAGGACGAAGTTGTTGTTGTTCATTATACTGATGAGTAATTTCCTTGTGGTTAGCCATCAAAAGATCGACTTTTTTAGATATTTCGTCCATTCCATGCTGATGCTCTCTAACCTCTCCTATCACCTTTTGGTTCAAGTTAGATAACGCATCCACCATGTTGGAGAACTGGTTGGTAATTGTAGCTTGGAATGTCTCGAGGTTACCTTGGAGCTTGTTTGCAGCATGACTTTCGTAATCATTAGTGTTTTGGGTGTTTGCAAGATTTGATATGGATTTTTCAATGGCTTCGAGTCGAGCGACAATATCTTGCAATAATGCTTCTTGACTCAAAGAGCTCCGTTCCTCCATCATTTGCTTTTGATGTAAACGTGTTCTCTCCATGAGAGACTGTCTTATTTGAGCTGGAGGAACATGGTCATCTTTATCGTCAACTACCATGGTTTTGTATTGTACTTTCAATTGACCATCTGCCATCAATCCATGGTCGTCAATCGCATCTTCTGTTAACGAGGACCAAACCGACAACTTGAGTATCTCAAAGGTTTCCAGTGATTGCAGGTTTATGTTTCCGGTAACTCCAAACTTCAAGTCATTTGCCGATGTTGGAATGGTGATACTGTCCGTTTTGAAGCACAAGTTGTTGTCAACCTGAACCTTGAACCATTTTCTTTGCCTTGAATATGACACCCTGATGGTAAAGGGAATGTTAGAGTCAAGATAGTTAAATACACAATTGCCTATCGAGTCACTGAGGGAGGTCTGTCGAGCAATTGAACCATCGTTCATGAATATTTTTAAGCCTGCGGCATCACGATTGTTCATCACAATTTGAAAACCATCGAAGTAAGAGGGACCACCATAGTTTTCAGTCGCAGACGACGAGATAGGAGTGTTCTCAGGATCGACAAACCAAAACGCCAATCCGTTATCTTGGAATTGAGCATCTTGATTCACTTGTCCAGTTGATCTAAATGTCAATTCGGCAGTCCATTCATCTAGTGAGTTTGCTAATTGGGCAATCGACCACAAGCTTCCTGTACCTTGGTCAAGGATCAACCTTCCAGTGTCGTACCTGAGGTTGGTTGTTTGCCAAGTCAAATCAAGGTCGTGCACGTCGTTGATCTGAAGTAAATCAGGAAGCGATTGGTGTCCTGGTTCTAAAGTTGATTCACCCTTGGTGTTTCTTAGCTGATCCACATCGGGTATTATGGCCGAAGCAAGCCCTACAATTGCTGTGAGAGCCAGTAATTTCATTGACTTCATGACGTCGCTGTCAGAACTTGAAATTTTATCTGGTGCACCCCAATGCACCAGGCTCGGTAAAGAAGTTGCACAGTTTGCAGCTACTGGAAAATCATCGTTGGCCCCTACGCATGACGTTTCGGCGCATCTTCCACACACCAGCAACCTTGTTGCTTTCAAAACTGATATAAGGAAGTGGAAGGTTGCTTCCATCGGCCGATTTTTTGCTTACTGATTTGAGCAATTCTGGCTTGAGAAACTCTGCTGGAGGAATGTCGCCCTCGCCTTTAACCATTACCAACTTCATTCCATTGGATAAATGCTTCTCCAAGTTTTCTTTGACGGAAAATGGTAGGTAAATATTAAAGCAATGTCTCGCAGTATCGATACTGTGGATCATGCCAAGTCCCGCAAACAGGACCTCAGTTGCTCGAAAATCGATCATATCAGAGTATAATGCCAGTCTCATGATTAGAGGTTGGTCGGGAGAAATCAGTTGTAGTCCTTGGTACGAAGAGTAGTACTCGTAGTCTATAAGGTAGAATCCAACGATAGAGGCATCCAAAAGTAACGCAATATTATCCTTGCCAACTTCTGATGGATCCACATTGAGGAACAGAACCGAGTTCAAACCGCAAAACGATGGGTCTTCTTCAACCTGGTATGGTAGTCTCAATGGGGGTTTATCTAGAATGTGAGTTTTGAAATCAAAGTGCAGTCCGCTTGGAGTGTTTTGCCTGTGGAAGTACAATAGCTTATTCCAAGTTCGTAATTGAGATGGAGAGTACTTTGATTGATGGTAAATTCCTTGAAAAATGTGGGATTTTTTGTGGGTGATTGTGGATAGTATGTCAGCGTTTTCAGGGCTCCCTGGATCGAGACTTCCTGATAATAAGATTAGATGGTCTGGTTCGAGTTCATTCGAAATGTTGTTCAAAATTTCCATTCCAAACCCTTTGATCCAACCTGGTGTATTTATCACAAGATTTATTCCCTGTGATTTGAGCTTGCTTATGAAGCTATGCAAAAGTGATTTGGCAATGGAGATGTATAGGTCTGGGTGCTGTTGTGGGGTGGTGAACCCATAGTAGTGTGACGAGACCACTTCATGGGGATTGAAGAGATACATGCCATAAATAGGCTCATGTATGAGTGTAAGAGACAACGTAAACGGAGCAGAAAACTCGGATTGACCCGGGTCTAGGTCCAAATATGCCACTGGAAGTCTTTGTTTCAATAATAAGGCGTTCGTAAGAGTCTTTGAGAGAGTTGACTTGCCGCTGTTCTTGTTGCCTATTATCATTGTCACACTGGATTCGAGGTCCTCAGTTATATTCTCGCATAAACTTTTGAGATCTGTACCCCATACTGCGTCAAGATTCATTCCTAAAGACCCATTGTTACGGAGCACAATCTCGAAGGTGTATGACTGGAAGAGTCGTTCCATCTCTCCAAGCAGTTCAACATCGGATTCTCCACCAAATCCAAAGAATCTCTTGAACGGTCGCCAGTACAGTCCTATATCTTCTACTCCAGTGGAGTAATTGGCGATCATCACTACAGACTTATAGTCGCTCGAAAATAAATGCTTGTTATGGTCGTTTTGGGTATCTCGAACACCATCTCTGTCTAGAATCTGCGTACTTGAAATCATAGGAAGTGACTGGGAAAAAGATGCAACAATTGAAATTGACCTTTCTGGGTCGGCGTGGTGGTAATCAACCTCGTTTAACTTCACTGCTCCTCGTTGTACTGTGATTTTACATTGGCCCGAAACAAGAAGATACTCATTTGTTTTGAGTCCCACGATTATATGGTCGTCAAAAACTAGAAAATTATCATCGTCGGGAATAAACCTTGACTCAGAGATCTCGGGGACTAACACTAAACGGGATACCGATGGAGTTATTGTTGGAGTAGCACTACTGGGTCGCGTCCTATCGGAGTCTATAATCTGCTTATCTTCTACTTCTTCATCGGAAGAACCAATTTCGTATTTTATTTCCTCATCGTCTTCTTCTTCGTTGCTAAAGAGCTCAGTAACCGATTTTTTGCGAAATGCAGCAAATGCACTCATAAAGGTGTACAAGTAGAGGTGATGAGACAAAGAGGCATCGCATTGTGTGCAGTACACCTATAACGGCCAGGGTATTTTTCGATTTGAGTGGTTAGTCTGTGATGTGAAATGTTAGCTATGGACAAGTAATGTGCGTTAAATTGTGCAAAAGGGAAACCAATGTAACCAATTACGTTTAGGGTTATTGGAACAACCCGGGAGGAACAAACGAATGGAAGTTATCGTAATGTTCTATCAAGTGTGCTATCGTTTCATAGGCATCATATTCAGCACATTCGGGTTCCTTACAGTGAAGATCGGAGAAGAAATCCTCGCCAACCCGTTCAGATCCCACTATTGATGGCGAAGTAGAATGGCTATGGGTGCTTTCAGAAAGCGATTCTGACAATCCCTCCGAGGCGTACGAAGGAAATAGGACATCACTGTTCATATGGTTTTCCAACACGTGGCTGGTCATGGTTCCACCATCAGTAAACTGCGATCCACAGTCGTATGGGCACAGAAACTCGGCCTTGTGGGTTTTGGTGTGCCGCAACAATTGCTGATTCGTGATGAAGCCCTTGTTGCACACACTGCACTTCAATGGCTTTTCCTTGGCATGGATATGTTTGTGGACTTGTAAATGTGAGTTTCTAAAGAATCGCTTGCCGCACCCTGGCTCCGGGCACGCAAAGGGTCTTTCGTTGGTATGTGTTCTACGATGCTGTTGAAGCAAGGACGGCCTGGTGTACGCTTTAGCACAGGATTCTAGGGGGCAAACGTACTTCTTTGGCCGCACGTATTTTGTGTTTTCAGGTTCAGTTAACATGCTTAGAGACGGTTCTAGCTTGGAACTTCTTGGAATTATTGATTTAGGGTTATATTAGTGCAGTCTGTCTACTCCTGGTGTGCTCGTTTTGGTTCCATTATTTTAGTTGAGAATTTTTAGTTTGGTGCAGGCTCGTCAGGTGGTCGGAGATATAAAACATACAACTAAAGACTTTCCGGTGGCAAAATGGGTACAAATGAAATCTAGTTTATGGTGACTTAAACTTGTGGTTTGATTTTTACATTCTTAAACGGTTCGTATACAATAATAAAAACGCTAAACATGGCTGCAAATTATAACAAAACTAGTGTTTTTGACTAAAAACCTCGATAATCTTGCTCGAAATCTCTTTCAAATGGGACTCGAGAGCAAAGTGACCTCCGTCAACATAGTGGAACTCGAGGTTCTTCACATCCCTCTTGTACGCTTCCGCACCAACTGGTGGGAAGATCTTGTCGTTTTTGCCCCAAATCACAAGAACTGGTACATTACTGGTTCTCAAGTATTCTTGGAATTTAGGGTACAACTCGACGTTCAGCTGGTAGTCATGGAACAATTCCACCTGGAGTTTTGTTTGGCCGGGCCTAGCTAACAAAGCTTGATCTAACGTCCATGACAGAGGATCAATTCCGGACGCATTGGGCTCTCCTTCCGTATACTGAACGGTCACATTGGCTGGATCCTCAATAAACTTGGAAAGGGCTTCAAAGAAGGTTGGGTCATCCTTGGATTTTTTCCAGTATTCTCTAATGGGTTGCCAGAAGTCGTTCTCAATTCCTTCAACATAAGCATTTCCATTCTGGGTCACAATTCCACTGACTCTTTCGGGGTGCTTGAGTGCGAGTCTGAATCCGGTGGGAGCACCATAGTCAAAGATGTAGACGTAAAACTTGTTGATTTTCAACTTGCTTAAGAATTGATCAATGGTGTCGGCAATGGCTGCAAATGTGACTTTGTACAGAGTTGAAGTCTCTGTATATCCGAAACCTGGTAAGTCCGGAGCGAGCACACGAAAGTGAGGGGCAAGGACAGGAATAAGGTCCCGGAACATATGAGACGATGAAGGAAATCCGTGGAGAAGCAAGATTACTGGCTTATCTGAAGATCCTGCCTCGCGATAGAACACGTTAGTTCCATCTTCAACACGAACTTTGTTGTATGTTGGAAAGTAAGTCATGGTAGTTATAAGTTTTTGTCGACCGAACAAGCTTCAATTGACTGTTGTAGTTTGGAATATTCACTGTCTTAAATAGTTTAGCTAAATGTGGTCACCCATCAGGATTTACTAAGCCAACAATTAGAGCTGACAATTATCGTAGGTATCCCATCAATTGCGGCACGCTCATGCCCTATGTGAGCACTTTGCATACCGCCTTACGGAATGGTCTCCTATCAAATTGGTCTCCTATCACCATCGTTGGCGCGTATGCAGGATTTTTCGAGTGCTGCAGCACTCCTATTTGGGAAAGTTGCAGCCAAATAGCTTGTTGAAGATGTAACCCATCACTCGATTGATTTGTTGAACTGACCTCATTTCGTATATGCGTGCTACTTCGGATATATAAGATGGTAACGTTTCTCAATTGGAAGAAAATTGTCATGAGCAATATCTCCAATATGAATACTGATGTATCTGATCCGGAAACTGTCACAGGAAATGAAGACAAGACAAATACTATCGAAATTATTGAACCGCAAATCTCTCTCTTTCACGAAATCTTATTCGTTTTGATCATATTTTCAGGTCAATTTGTTACCCAGGTAAGTGTCGCACAGGGCCTTTCATCGATACGGATTATTGGTGAATGGTTCAACATAACTAATGAAGCAGAACTTACCTGGTCAATTGCATCTTTGAGTTTGAGCGCAGGTACGTTAATCATCATTGCTGGGAGATTGGGCGATATTTTGGGACACAAGAGAATGTTCTTATTTGGGTATGTCTGGCTAACAATTTGGTCCTTATTGACCGGTGCCAGTAGTTACTCCAATGCTGTTTTTTATTACTGCTGCAAAGGGTTCCAGGGTGTTGGTCCAGCATTTTTGCTTCCCAACGGTCTTGCAATTTTAGGACGTTTTTATCCGCCAGGCAAGCGGAAGACTATAGCCTTTGTGGTATTTGGAGCAGGAACTCCTTTGGGGTTCGTATTTGGAAGTATCTTTGGTGCAATTTTTTCCCAGTTTACTCACTGGGCGTGGATATATTGGTCTATGGGAATAGCCTGCGCTTGTCTCACCATTTTGGCATTTTTGATAATACCACAGGATACCCTAGATGAAGGAAGAAATAAGGAATTTGACTTTTTGGGTGCCTTCACAGGAGTTGGGGGGCTTGTGCTCTTCAACGTAGCCTGGAATCAAGCTCCCATTGTCAAATGGCTGACACCGTATACGTACATCTTGTTGGTTATTGGGGTGCTTTTGTTGTCCATTTTCGTTTACGTCGAATTGAAGGTTTCGCAGCCATTGATTCCCATTAAGCAGATGTCACCTATAGTGTTGAGAGTGTTGATTTGTGTTGCTTGTGGGTTTGGAACTTTTGGAATCTTGATCTACTTCTATTTCAACTTTCTCTTGTCTCTTCGAGGCGATAGTCCAATTCTTGCAGCAGTAAAATTTACCCCAGCAATTGTGAGTGGATTATTAGCAGCTGCATTCACCGGCTTTATGCTTTCCAAAGGAGTTACGACTCAGGTCTTGATGGTAATTGGACTATTGGCATTTGTAATATCAGCAGCAATGTTATCTGTCGTTGATGTGCACGATAGTTATTGGGCATCCTGTTTCATTACCTTCATTATAGCACCCTTTGGAGTGGATGTGTGCTTTCCCGCAGCAACGCTCCTCTTGAGTGACGTTGTACCCCACGAATGGCAGGGCATTTCTGCCTCTTTGGTTGCGACCGTAGTCAACTATTCCATATCTTTGGCCTTGGGTGTTGCTGGAACTGCTGTGTTGAAGCAAGCACCAGGTACTGATTTCAATGCTGAAGTTAAAGCCACCAAGACAGCAGCGTATGTTGGGTGCGCATTGAGTGCTGTTGGGTCTTTAGTGGCGATATATGGTGTCATTGTGGACCACTTTAAAAGAAATAGAAAGTCTTAGAAAGAATAGAAAGTGACTCTTTAGGACCTTCTTTTCCTCAAGACATAGAACCCTAGCAGAACAAGAGCTATAGTAAAGCCGGTGACCAGAACCCATGTTGAAGGGAATTCGTAGGGAATTTTCAGTTTGCTGGTATCCTTATTTTCCAGTATGATGGTAGTCAAGCTTGCTGCGAAAGTTGCTAATTTATCAGCTTCTTCATTCCCATGTACACCAGCATGCCCATAAACATGTTCGATTGCTAATCTCAAGTCACTGGTTCGGTAGTATTGCTCCAAGCTCTCTAATAATTCAACAGCTTCACTAATTAGATCTTTATTTGCAATGATCTCTCCTTTCGTTGTCTTCCATCCATTCTTTTTCCATTTAACAGACCAAATGGTGAGTGCCTTGATGGTAGCCTGACTATCAGTAAGAATCACATACTCTTTTAAAGGGATACCGTTGTTCAGTTCGATCTCTTGCTGTATATTTCTAAAAACATGAATCATGGCCCTTAATTCTGCTCGTTGATTGTTCAATGGAAGTTCTTCTTTTGCCTGGAAAAGTGGTACGGCAGCATTTCTGGGATCATCATCGCCGTACCAGACTCCATATCCGCACTGGTCTCCTTGAAATGCGCCGTCAATAAAGATTTTGGTACAATGTTCACTTCTCTTCGAAGGATTATTTTCATCAACGAAATTATAGGCGTCGGTTGCGTGACGAAAAGTTTCATAGATCGCTCCACGGTAACCTTGTACTCTCAATTGGCATTCTTTCCAGCTTTTAACCACCCCAGTTTGACGACCATGAGCGACAGCGTAATAAGGCATTTTGCATTTCTAGAGCTGCGAAATTTTATATGGTGAGAATCGAGTCTGAATTATATTTAAAATGAGAAATAGAATAGAAGTATAAACCATTGATCCTCGAGCAATATATAGGTCATTCATTTCATAAGGTAAAAACTAATTTCGTGATGAGCTCGATCACCATCGAATCCATTGACAATCCTCATCACAAAGCTCTGCTAACAAAATCTCAGTCCCTTAACTCAATCGTTGTCAGCTCCTTTGTTAGCTGACCGATCTGCCATTCCGTGAATTCCGGAATGACCAGCAACATGGTCACTTTTTACTGGGGGCAAGCTTGTAACTCTGCTCTTTGATTAGAACCTGGCTTTTGATCAGCTTTTGATAATGGTTCAGCAGCTTTGGGCTTATCTCCTTCTCCATAGTATACACCATAACCAGACATACGGTTCTGTACTTTACCGTTCCCCTAGAAGCTCCATCCGGGTAAACTTGTTGCGTTCCTGATGAGTTTTTGGTTTTTGGAGTCTTGGAACTAGTGGACTTTGCTGAGGAATAACTGCCTCCGCTAGAACTTGGCTGGTGACTGTAGGAACTGGAGCGCTTGCTTGAAGTACTGGACAGAACAAACGCGGCAGCTTCAGCTTTTGAGCTGCCCTTATTAAAACTTGAATAACTGTAACCAGAGACGCGGGACTCATATTCCTTCCAGTTCAGTACAACACCTGCCTTTCTGCCATTGGCACTTGCGGAATTCGGCATTTTCTTAGTTGAGTTCTTCAATTATTTCTTGCGGGGTGGGGGAACAAGAGTCTGCCATCTTTTTATACCCTCTAGGGTGCCCTAATACATTGATTTACAGTTGCTGCATTCGCTGAAATTTGCGGGCATTTTATGAAAAGTGTGCAATCCCAAAAACGGTTATCGGTTTGAAAACATCTCGTTCAATAGTAAAACATGTAAAAGCTACTTAAAGCGGAGGCATCTGGGGAAGTAAGTTGCCTGTTTGGGAGTTTGAGCATAATCAAATTGCAAAAGAGTTGCAAAAAGTTTTAATTTGATCCGCGAAACTCGCACCATTTGAGATAACGTAATCTGGACCATAAGGCGCATAGTGTGGCATTGATGTACACTATAGAGCTCAAGCAAACATCAAGTTGTAGAGATATGCTTGGTCCAATCCAGACATGTTGCAACAGTGATTATGACTCCTCAAGGACAGTATATCCAAAGTATGATCCGTCAATAGGCTGCGCCTGTTCATCATAAATTTGCATCCATTGATGGGCCTCATCGAAATTAGTTTTGCGAGCAGATCTCAGTCTGAAGAGACTTGAAATTTAATACTTGTCGTGAAAAGAATTGCAAGTAAACATCAAAGCCAGTATGGTTCTCCATCCTCGTCAGCTGCCTTGTTAGCCAATTTATCTGCCATTTCGTTTCCGTGGTTGCCAGCATGGCCAGGAACGTACTCAATTTTTACTGGAGGCAAGCCAATATTTGCAAGTCTCTCGTTGATTTCTTTCAAATAAAAGACTATCCTCTTTATGAGATCTTGATTAGCCACAACACGCCCAGTGGTTGTACGCCAGCCATTAGATTTCCATTTCTTGGCCCAGATCCCAGAAGCCCTGATGACATACTTCGAGTCTGTATGAATGGTGTACGCCTTAGTGGTACCGTCATCATTTATGTCATTGACAATATTTATGATAGCGTGATACAATGCGCGCAATTCTGATCTTTGGTTGGTTCCTGATAGTTTATCAGCATTTGACGAGGAAACAGCTGCATTACGCACATCACCATTTCCATAAAAGACGCCGTATCCTGTTTTACGTTGCAGAGCCATTCCGTTTCTCTTACAAGCTCCGTCAATGTAAATATGTTCCATTTCAAAATTTCTGTCAAAATTTTTGCCATAAGACAGGTAATCGTCTTCTGAATCTGACAGGTACATATTGGAGGTAAAACAATCCCTCGCTTCAGACTTGGTGTCGAATTTCCTGTACCAAGCATTGCTGTATCCAGAAACATAAGATTTACATTCTTCCCAGCTCAGGGCAACGCCTATCTTTCTGCCGTCACAAATTGCATAGTAGGGCATTGGTTCAATTTGGTTGGCTTTATTCACGAAGGGTATCGATTTTCGTCGTGCGCAATTCTCCGTCAAAATGGTGCGTTTAAGTAATCTTCTTATCTTGATGCAAGATTAAGCGACATCCTGCGGATCTAATCTTGTGGAAACTCGAGTATACTTTCGTAAATCAAATGACTCTAAAATACCTGGATTTGTTTTCCCGTTGTCTTATCGATCAGTGCCTATGGTTAATCAAGATGAATATGGAGGTATTTTTGAACTTGACTCAACAAGTTTAGTTCCATTCGCTGAACTAGAGGTACCTGAACCAGTACCTCAAATCAAGCTGCTTAGATAATGTGAGACTAGATGTGGATGTTTAATGATGTTTCATGATGTTTCAAGATGTTTCAAGATATCCCTCAAACCACATCTGACTATCTATATGGGCTCGTCTGATGGTAGAGCTCTGAATTGTCTATGGCTTTAGCAACAGAATCTTACGACCCCCCACTGAATTAACTTTGGCTGGATTATGTCAGAATCAGTAGGTTTTCAATTTTACTTGAGCTTCCACACTTGACAAAGACATCCGGGTTGGGACAGGAGTCTGTATTTTTTCTCGAGGCTTCCGCGTCTCCTCTGGAGTCTTTATCTGAAGACTTTTTCACTCAATCTGGCTGGTCGCATTACCCAAGCAGCTTGATTTCCGAGGTGTTCTGACCTCTATGTTTAACATTATGGGTGCTGCATAATATGTCAAGTTCCCCAAAAGCTATGGGTTTACAGTAAGGTAATATGGAAATGAGATGTATCCACATTGCACTTTGTACAAGTTCCTCGTTATTCGTGCGCATTCAATATCGTGATGATCTGAATTGCACCCATTGACCTCGTGATAGCATTGCAAGTCAGTCCAAGTCAGCTCCTTTGTTAGCTAACTGGTCTGCCATTTCGTTTCCGTAGTTGCCAGCATGTCCAGGGACATAGGCTATTATTATTGGGGCCATTTTTCTGGCCACATATGCCTTGTTGATAGTAGCAACCTTATCAACTGCCTTTTCGATAAGGTCTTTATTACTCACGGGAGTCCCAGAAGCCGTACGCCAGCCATTGGTTTTCCATTTCTTAGCCCATTCACCAACTGCCTTAATGGTGTACTGCGAGTCTGAATGGATGATGTACTCCTTCGGTGTATTTCCTTGGTTCAATTCTTTGGATATATCGTCAAGAGCGTGGTTTAATGCGTGCAACTCTGCTCTTTGGTTAGTTCCGGTTCGATCAGAGTCAACTTTAGATAATGGTACAGCCGCATTTCGCTCATCTCCTTCTCCATAAAATACACCGTATCCTGATTTGGGGCTCCGTACCTTTCCGTTTCCTCGAGCAGCTCCATCCACGTAGATATGTTGGACGTTGGATGAGTTGGTTGTTGGATCAACATGACGAGGAGTAGTCTTGGGCTTTGTGATTCGAGAATTGTTATTAACAGCTGGTTTTTGACGGTGACTGTAGTCTACAGAAGCTGGCTGCTTGGCTGAAGACCCATAATCCAGAACGAATGCTGCTGCTTCTGCCTCAGTTTTGAACTTTTTGTACCTTGCATTTTTGTAACCTGCAACTTGGGACTCACATTCTTTCCAAGTTTGTACAACCCCGGTTTTTCTGCCGTTAGCAATGGCGTAATAGGGCATTAACTTGATTAGTTTGTTCAGTTTGATTTTATGAGGAGTAATTGAGTGATGCCAGTAATGATTTCCGCATCATTTCGTGGGTGCATAGATGTACATATAAAGATCAAGCACACACTTGTAGCAGTTGAATGTTAGTCCAATGGAAGAGGTAAACAACTAATAATAGTATAATTAAGATCCCCTTCTTCATTAAAGTACTGTCTTATATTCAAAAAGTATTATCTTCGCTTTTTAAGTTTGGCTGCAAATTAGCCTAAATAGTATTTTCTCCTACAACTTGTTTCCAAGGTTCACGTGGATAGCCTTGGCTTGAGTGTACATGGTCAAACCGTACTCTCCCAATTCTCTACCCACACCACTCAACTTGACACCTCCGAATGGTACATGGCAATCAGAGTCATTACTAGAATTGATCCATACCATTCCAGCCTCAATCTCTCTGGCCATCTCGTGAGCTTTGGTAATATCACTGGTAAACACAGCAGCACCCAATCCATAGTCAGTTTGGTTGGCGTATTCCACAGCCTCTTCGTCAGTGGAAAACTTTCCACATGCCACGACAGGACCGAAAATTTCTTCGTTAACAATTCTCATTTTAGGCTTGACATCAGCAAAAATAGTAGGCTTGACAAAGAAACCCTTGGAGAGGTCACCGTCGGTGTTTTTCTCTCCTCCCAAAAGCACCTTAGCACCCTCTTTCTTTCCAATCTCAATGTACGAGATCACCTTGTCGAATTGCATCTTGGAAACTTGTGGACCAACAACTGCCTCTGAATTGAACATATCACCTTGCTTATAAGCTTCCTTGACATGTTTAGTGAATTCTGTCAAAAACTTGTCATAGACATTTTCATGGATATAGATTCTTGAAGTCGAGGTACAGATTTGACCTTGGTTAGACATGATACCAAAAGCAGCCCATTTAACTGCTTGTTCCAAATCAGCATCCGCTCTGATAATTAATGGAGATTTTCCACCACACTCCAAAGTCACAGCTTTCAAGTTCGAAGCGGCTAATTGTTGGATGAGTTTACCAGTAGCAGTAGAACCAGTAAATGCAATCTTGTCAACATCCATGTGGCTTGCCAATGCCTTTCCGCAAGTAGCTCCATACCCGGACAAAATGTTAACCACACCAGCTGGGAAACCAACATCTTTGAAAATGGTACCGATGTATAAGAGAGAAAGAGGAGTAATTTCTGACGACTTGATTACCACCACATTACCAGCAGCCAAAGCTGGGGCCAATTTCCACGCAGCCATAGCCAATGGGTAGTTCCATGGAATAATTTGTCCACATACACCATAAGGTTCATGGATGGTATAGGCAAACTTCTTTGGATCATTTTGAATAACTTTTCCACTAACTTTGTCAGCCCATCCAGCAAAGTAACGGAAACAGCTGATACACTCGTCAATGTCATACACAGCATTTTGTTCCTTGGTTTTACCAGAATCCCATGCTTCCATAGATCCAATCAAATCTCTGTCTCTTTCCAACACATCAGCAAATTTGTTGAGCAAGATTCCTCTGTCGACACCAGTGACCTTTTTCCACGATTTGAAAGCGGTTCTAGCGGCTTTGACGGCAATATCAACATCTTCTTCTTCGGCAGCATAAACGGAACCATTGACTTCTCCAGTCGATGGGTTGATACTGTCCAAAGTCTTACCAGATTTCGACTTGACAAACTCATTATTGATGAACAACCCAGATGGTTGGGTGAAAGTTTGGCCGTCTGGCAATGTTACTTTGTATTCTAATGGAAGTGACATGAAGAATTGAACAAATGAAAGGTGACGAAACTAATTTATACCAAGATAGCGCTCGCATCCGCTTGCCTGATTTGGACATTCCGCGCTCCCGCCGCGGGGCTAAGTGTATAGTGTAAAGCGGCCGAAAAGTTTCACAGAAAAGTCGATCACCAAATACTCAAGACATTAATGATCTGTCGTTCATTTGTATAGTACCAGATCTATAGCATCAAGTTCAATACAAGCGGTAAATGAGTGTAGAATGACCATAGAATGACCATAGAATCAACATAGAGTTTCGCAATAATGCAGCAATCCGCCAAGATTAGCAATTGATCTTCATATAACCGCTCTACGGGAAGTAGTGCTATCTTGAGTCAATTGCCATGGGAGCGTATTGGTTGCTGATATTTGTCAGCAATTGGTCTCGTTGATCAGCTCTGGCTGTAGCCCCTATCGTGGGACTGCAGACAGCTATCGAGTTGCCGCAAATTGACATAACCTTGACAATTCTGGTTCCTATTTATTCACGTTTCTCAATTCAGTATGGATTTAACGGTATACAAAACCAGTCCCGCCCACAATGACTTTCGTAGTGACACCTTTACAACCCCTACAGTATCCATGATTGAATCCTTGGCTTCGGCTACTTTAGGGGATGCCGTCTACAACGAAGACAAGGCTACAATTGACCTCGAAAGCAAAGTTGCAAAGATTGCTGGTAAGGAAGCCGGCTTGTATTGTGTCAGCGGAACACTTTCCAACCAAATAGCCTTGAGAGTTAATTTGTTGCAACCTCCATACAGTGTGATGTGCGACTATCGAGCACACGTATACGTTCATGAAGCAGGAGGAATGGCTACTCTTCTGCAGGCCATGCCACAAGCTATCAAACCCAAAAATGGTGTACATTTGACCCTTGAGGATGACATTTTGCCAAACTTTATACCCGATGATGGCGAGATCCACGGCGCTCCTACCAAACTCATTTCTTTAGAAAACACACTTCACGGTATGTTATTTCCATTGGAGGAGATAAAGAAGATCTCGGCATTTTGTAAGAAGAATGATGTGAAATTGCACTTGGATGGAGCAAGACTTTGGAATGCTTCTGTTGCGACTGGAATCTCCATATCGGAGTACTGTCAATACTTTGACTCTGTGTCGCTTTGTCTTTCCAAGACACTTGGTGCTCCAATTGGTAGTGTATTAGTCTCCAGCAAGAAGTTTATTGCGAAGGCTAATCATTTCCGCAAACAGAATGGTGGTGGAGTTCGTCAGTCTGGGCTCTTAGCAAGAATGGCAAGCACCGCCATTGATGAGAATCTCCCCAAACTCGAGAAAACCCACAAAATGGCCTTGGAACTTGGCAAATTATGTGAGGAAAATGGCATCGCGTTGGAGCACCCAGTACACACCAACTTTGTGTTCGTTGACTTGGCCGAGACCAAGATTTCTTATGACATATTGAGGCAAGTTCTGGAAAAGTATAACCTAAAGTTTGCCAGTGGCCGTATTGCATTTCACTACCAGATCTCTGACGAGAGTTTCGAAGCAGTCAAGAAAGCTGTGCTTGATGCCTACGAAATTGCAAAGGATAACAAGGACGACGTTGTTGCAGCACCAAAATTCTACCAGGCACAAGAGGCAAACTAACAAACATTGCCTATAATACAAAACAGCTGACAGAAAGCTGTCTTATACTTATGGCCAGATTTGGCTCAACATTAGACTAATTAGATAATATGATATTTGTGTGTTCCTCATCTTTCGCACAATTTAAATTTCACTTATGATTGTCACGTCGTTGTAAGCACATGCTCCAAGACGTTTACAATAAGCTCGATGAGTTTATAGCACAAATTTCAAACCAGCAACACGATACAAAGGCAACCAGCCCGAAACTGTACGTTTTTTGGACTCTGGTGACTCCAAAATTGATAACGTATTTATCAGACGATTACAACTTGGAAGACGTACTTCGAATATTTACGCTCTCTGAACGCGTGAAACTCCGGAAACAGCCCATTCACAACCTAGCGAAGCAATTGCTATCCAAATTGCTCGTGAAAGTGGTAATTAATTATTTTCGTGGTGCTCCAGTTGATCAAGATGTTCCATTCAAATATGAAAAATATGGAAAGCCTTTCCTCGACGAAACCAATGTTCAATTGAGTATCAGCACATCGAATGAAATTGTATGTATTGCTATCGAAAAAGGTTGCGGAACACCAATTGGAGTAGACCTTTCTCATTCGGTGCAAGACTCCATCTCTCCAATCAACTTTATGAGCCAGTTTGATCCGATGTTTTCGGAGCTGGAGAGGACTCAATTGATGGATATTGAGAATATTGAAGAAAGATATATCGCTTTTAACCAATTGTGGACTTTAAAAGAAGCGTTTACAAAATTAATTGGAAGTGGGCTAAATTTGAATTTGGCAAGCTTTGGTTTTGATATGAATTTGGTACATGATTCTAGTGCAGATCTAAAGTGGGTTACCTCTTCAGTCAACACAACTGGACTTCTGGATAGTCAGTTTCTACAAAAGTTGCCCATACAGAAATTCAAATGCTTCTCAACTATATTGGATTTCTCTGCTTCAATACCTATTATAGTATCATTTGTGGGCCAGATCAATGAGGTCCCTCCAGAAGTGTTGTACTTGGACATTGGGGAAATTCTCTTTAATTAGCCTCCACTGTTACGTCTTTCGGCTCTTCTATCACTTTCACGTTTGTGCAAAACTAATCCCATGCACAACAACTCCAAAGTGTGCTCATCAACGGATGATATACTCTCTGGGTCTGCACCGGGCAGTGTTTTGGGAACATTCAAGTCCATGGTAGCATCCTGGCTATACCTTTTCAATGAATAGTTGCGAAAATACTCGATACCACCAAAGGTCTGGCCACCTTTGATTGAGTCCAGCACTTTTCTCGTAGGTAAGGTGAATGCGGCAAGTTTACTACCAACTAGTTTGTTTGATGGGTTTAGTTTGTTTTTTTCCATATCCATCCCATCAAGTAATGAAGGTTGTGTCAGGGGAAGCCTTAAAATGTCGTACCGGTACCGGTCTCTCCACATACTATACTTTGAATGTAACCAACGATAACGGATATCGCTTCCTGAGAAACACACATCACCAAAGGGGTGCTTTCTATGTAGGAAAAAGGTCATTTTCCTGTTTGACTTAACGAACTCAAATTCGTACCTATAATATTGAGCTGACTCCCTCAACTTGACGACGCAAAATAATTCCTTATCAAGATTTTTGTCAAATAACCTCATTTTCGGCGGACGGTTGTACTTGTAGATGGTCATGGACTTGTCAATTTTAAAGTTTTCTTTCCAAGCAATATTTGCAGATAATAATGGGATGCCGATTCCTTGATGCTGTAATGTTGAAACTTTTTGATGGGTATCTATGGGTGAATCCAGCGACACTCCCTTGAATGATCTGTATTTACCCATTGAGTCTGCCGATACGAACACGTAATGGTTTTGTTTGAGCAGCTTTTCCGCCATTACGAATTTATAATGGAAAGTGCCGGCATGGTGTGCTTGATGATAATCTGGTAATTGTTGATTATTATGTTTCGATTCAAGAAATATAGGCTGATCAGTACCCGAATATGGGGGAACCTGTTCGGCATCTTTTACTTGGAATCGTTTACCTTTCTTTTCGCTGAAAGGACTCATGCAATTGATGCCGAAAAGGCTGCATTTTATAATCGAATCCCGCACGGCTAACAAACGCTGTACCTGCAGACAACAAACCTTTCAGTCACGACTTCTGCAGTGCTCATAATTTGTGCGATTAAATAATCCGGGGAAGTCTTCGTCAAACAAGTGATTGTACAATTACTGGCAAACTGCCTTGATTTTATGAGATAACTCCAAGAATTGAAAGTACACCATTGAGTGATTATCAAAAACAAAGTTCAATTTTTTGCCAACCTTAAAAATTCAAGGTAGACTAGGTTCCTAGTATGGAAGAGATAACGACGATGACAGCTTTTGTGTGTTTGGAGAATTCATATTACGCGATGTTCAATTACCAAAAGGGTTTGCCAAGATCGAATTTTGCGGAAAGCTTACTGTGGTGATCCTTTTTAGAGTTGAAGAATGGTCCTTATGAAGAGACATTTGCAACCGTATTTTTCAGGTGAATTTTCTGCGACTTAATTTTAAATGTGCAACTGTTCCCGAGCTATGTACTAATTGGGACAACTTTAGTCCAATGAGATATGACCTCATGGAAGCCTTTCAATTAAGAGGACACCCTAAATAGTTTAGTAGACTACCTTTATCAAACACATACAATCTCAGTCTTTTCGTCAATTATAAAGCCACTTTCTCAGACGCTCGAATTAGCAATTACTAGCTAGACTAAGATAATAGGGAAACTTTTATTGAGTTTTGTATTCACAGTTCACCAACTTCGTTTGGTATTCTGTCTGTTCTAGAGACCACTCAGTTATTGAGGCTTAGTCTACCCGGTCTTTGCTACCGTGACTCGAGGCTGAAGTATGCGGTGTGGCTACACTCCAGGGCCACGAGAGGCTTAAATATTTTTTACGAAAGCTTAAGAAGTTGGAGCCAATGTTACAAAGAACCAAACATAACGTATTATTGACTAACATTAGATCAACAATGAACCAGCCACAAGTGCACCCAAAGCGAGACCATAGCCAATGGTCATCTCACCAGCTCCAGAGCCAGATGATGAGCTGCTAGAACCTGAAGAAGATGACGATCCGGAAGAGCCGGACTCAGAGCTGTCGGAAGCACTGGACTCGTCAGAAGAGCCAGACTCGGAGCTGTCGGAAGCACTAGAGTCGTCAGAAGCACTAGAATCAGAAGCGCTTGAGTCGTCAGAAGCACTGGAGTCGTCAGAGGCACTAGAATCAGAAGCGCTTGAATCGTCAGAAGCACTAGCGTCAGAAGCACTGGAATCATCAGAAGCACTAGACTCGTCAGTAGAACTAGAGTCATCAGTAGCACTGGAGTCATCGGAGGCAGCGGAGTCGCCAGTTTCAGCAGATGCGTCTGAAGAGTCGGCTCTCTTGGCCACAATAGCGTCAGCTGCGCGGTCAGCGTTACCAACGGCTTTAGCAGAAACAGCAGTAGCAGCAATTAAGAGAAGGGTGGACGTAGAAAACTTCATAGCGTAGTCAACTGCTGCTCAAAAGCAAGAAGTGATACCTTTATAGTCTGCCGATGACAGGGGGCTTTGCTCTCGGTTGCGGCGAATGCAAACCGAAATGGGCTGGCAACGTGGAGCCCCGTTTCCTAATACGCAACTCATGTGCCACCCCGTCTTCGCTAGGGTAAAAACTGGTCAGGGCTCGTGTGTGTTACAACCACGTTTGTGCCTTACAGCCTCCACGTTCAGATGACAATAGGTACCTTTATCTGATTCTTGCTGAAGCCACCAGAGAAACGCGCCGAAACCATTACACAGTGAATATGCAATTTGTAGACATGTACGACTGTGTCAATGCAAGTGGTGCCAAGCATTCGAATCAATCTAATCAAGCATTCGAATCAATCTAATCAAGCATTCGAACCAATCTAGTCCTTGTCCCTCTCCAACCACAATTCACCATTGGGCTGTTGCCCGTAGCAATGTAACTCGTACCAAGTCACTGTGGTGTCTTGCCGATAACAATCACGGCTTATCCAGGACCCCGCAAAATAAAAATGACCTCGTGCTCTACTATTCGGTTCAACTTTCAGGGCACTGCCTCATACCCCCGTGGGCATGTTGATGTCACGCTACTGGTTTCCACAAACGGTGTGTTAGAATTGTGTGGCATAAGTTCATTGAATACGGATACAATGAACACGCGAATCACGGTGAAAGCCAGGAACACCGCCGTCTTCCAAGACGCGGTATGGGAATCGTCAAATCAACAAGGTACACGTTTCTTGAAAACCATCAAAATGACCAGCGTCAATATAATCGTTAAATATGTCCAATCTTAACAAACTGATTCAGTTCCAACATCCCCTCAACGCCCTGGTTTGTCTTATTGCTTTTTCTGCATCAAAGGCAGCATTTTTTTCATTTCGTTAATTTGACCATATTTATCCTTGTTGAGAGTTGCAATAACTAAATGCAATCTGAATGGTATCGCTTATATAATCATGTCTACAACGTTCACGCGCTCAAACGCAGCACGGCAGAATGGCATTAGAGGTCAAAAAACATGTACGATACTTTGAGATGTGTCTTGCATCTTTCCCTCTGCAGGCGGAGAGCGAGGATTCCAATAAGCTAGCATTGGTATATTTTTGTCTTCAAGGGCTACAAATACTTCGTCATCTTGATTTTTCCGAATCAGATCGAACGGGTTATTCGCAGTATATTTACTCGTATTTGATCACTATGGGGAACCGTCAAGGATTCCGGCCGAGCAGGACGTTCAATATTGATGGCAATGAACGTAAAAATGATGAAAAATCATACGATATGCCCAGTATTTCTGCTACTTTTTTTGCATTGGTTTCACTTTTAGCACTCGAACTGGATTATACGAAACGTATTGACCGACAAAAAATCATCCAATTTGTCAATTCGTGCCAGATTCGAGACGGGCCAGACAAGGGAGCATTCAGACCCACTTTGGATGTAAACGGAGTTGCCTTTGGTGATGCTGATATGAGAACTACATATATGGCTGTTGGGATCGGAAGGCTCTGCAACCTCATTGATGATTTAGACGTGCCAAGTATAATTGGATATGTTACATCAAGGGTCAGCTTGAGCGGAGGATTGTCCTCTTCTCCTTATTGTGAGCCACATGCTGGGTTTACGTTCTGTGGCCTAGCAACACTCAAGCTCTTAGATTACGACTTTGGCTCTGCCAATTGGACCTCTAATACTTTGCATTGGCTTGTGAGCCGCCAGGTCAACTACCTGAATGAGATCTACAGTACTTTACCTTCATATCCGTCGTGGAATCAAGAGGATGATGGTGCGTTCAATGGTCGCGATAACAAATTTGCAGACACTTGCTACTCCTGGTGGTGTACTGCTAGCATGCATCTTATGAATTCAGACTACTTGGGCCTCACCAATATCCGTGAAGCTACAAAATTTCTTCTTGGTCGTACGCAAAATCGCTTGCTTGGAGGTTTTGGCAAGAGCCATGAACTGAGACCCGATCCTTTACATTCGTTTCTAGCGTTAGCAAGTCTTGCTCTCTGGTCAGGTGCGGACTCAACTACAACTCCAGACTACAATTTGGACCTGGTAGACGATGCGCTTGTTATATCTGGCCAACTGGTTGCATTTCTAAGTAAGCTTTGGCTCCCCCAGTGAGGACCTGCAGAGAACCCCATTTTGGGTTTCAAGTCTCATCGATTGGCCCCACCTTCTACCACTTGAACAATTTAGGTTCCCTTGTCATTTCAGCATTCTGAATAGTCGAGGCTTGTCAATTCATCGTCCATGAGCATCTAATGGCAAGTACAACTCCCGAGGTTAAACCCGGAACTACGTTGCATTTGCTTGCTGGCAGCTCGGCTGGCCTTATTTCCGCTTTCACATTACAGCCTTTCGATCTTTTAAAAACAAGACTACAACAACAGCAACGTGCCAATGTCGGTTACCGCTCCAGTATTAGTCGAGAATTGAAAAAACTTGCTAGATTCAAAGACTTGTGGAGAGGTGCCTTGCCCTCCACACTTCGTACCTCGGTCGGTGCTGGACTATACTTTACAATTTTATCCCAAACAAGGACATATGTTGCTCAATTGAGAGCACGGACTGACAAATTGCCCCATTCCCAGACCAGTGTACTCCCAAAATTAAGTGCTCTCGACAATTTGTCAGCTGGGTTTGTTGTTCGTGCGGTGGTGGGATTCATCACTATGCCAATTACCATCATCAAAACCAGATTTGAGCTGAATATGTACAACTACAATTCGATGTACGAAGGTGTGGAAGGCATTTACTTGGACGGAAAGGAAAAGGGCTCGTTAAGAAATTTCTTTAAAGGCACAATCGCTACACTTGCTCGTGACTGTCCATATGCGGGACTCTACGTCTTGTTTTATGAATCAATGAAGAATGAATTTGTACCCAAAACGCTTATTTTATTTGACCAACAGGAACAACTAGAGAACAGTACGCTTGTGAATTCGAGCGCAGCCGTGGTTGCGTCTCTGTTGGCCACCACCATCACTGCACCCTTTGATGCAATAAAAACTAGACTTCAATTAGACTCACATACTGTGGGAGGAAACTCGATTATGCTGGTAACGAAACAATTACTCAAAGAAGATGGCGGAGTAAGAAACTTATTTCGTGGATTGTCTTTACGGTTCGGACGCAAAGGACTTTCTGCCGCTATCAGTTGGTGTATATACGAAGAATTGCTCAAGTCGGGCCGATTACAACGACTTTTGCATTGAATTATGATGCAGCTGTAAATAGACCATTATTAATGAGCGTGTAGCGTGGTGTTCTAAATAAGATTGAGGTTCCTCAATGCCTCGCAGTTTGGCATGGGGAGCTCCTGCGCTTGCTGTAGCTTTTCCTCATCTGTGAAAAACCATCCGTGTGCGTCCTCTATCATTTCGTTCTTTATGGTTTGCTCTCGCGTGCATCTTGATCTTTTGTCCAGGATATACTGGTTTTCCACTTTTAAACCAAACTGCCTTATTTGTTTCTTTGTCATGTCCTTATTGCGTTCAAAGTCCTTTGAAACGTAGTACGGAACCTTATAACGGGGAGTACTTCGTTCACTATTGTAGACGCTGGTCTTATTGAATGAGTATTCAGGGCTGCTATTGTCGGAAAATATAGCCGAGAATATGGGCACGAGAAGAAAGAGAAGCAACGGTGCCAATTGCTTTATGGTATCAAGCACGGAAACATTTTCTGGCTGCTGTGTGCGTTGGCGTTGTCTCTCGGCCCTGCGAGTCCGACCGCCGTTGGAGGTGAAGAAAGGATGTTGGTGTGAAGGCCCGTTGCCAAACGTTTGGAACGTGAACCCATTATTTCCGAATGTAAATGTTTGTCCTCCTCTACCGGCGCCGCCAAAGAATAGGTTGAAAAGTTCCTCATCTAGCGAACCTCCTCCACCATAACCGCCGCCACCAAAGCCTCCACCGAACGGCGAGTTGAACATCCGAGGATCTACACCCGATGCTGAAGCTTCGCTGTTGTCGTATCCTGCAAACCGGCTGTCTGGATCCGACCCGGTTTGATCATAGATCCGTTTCTTGCTCTCATCACTAAGCACACCCCAAGCTTTGTTCAAGTATTTGAATGCCTCTGAAGACCTCGGATGTGGATTTTTGTCTGGATGGAGTTTAATGGCGAGTTTCCGATACGATTTCTTTATTTCCGAGTCGCTGGCGGATTTCTCCACCTGAAGAATCTCGTAGAACTGATGCGGTTTATACGATAGAACCTTTAGAACGATGGACTCTTGCTCCTTTGTGTAAGACATGGCTTTTCTATAATTCGTGGTGGAGCCCTATTAAGCAAAAATGGAAGGTCAATTTTACGATTAAACAGCACTAGATCTCCATCCTTTGCGTGGCACAAAAAAGTCCATCCATACACCACGATTGGAAAGTCTAAGAAAAAAGAATGGGGCGGGCTGGGAATTGAACCCAGGGCCTCTCACATACTTTAGCTGTTTCCAGCAAAGCCCAAAGCGAGAATCATACCACTAGACCACACGCCCTATTCGTAAGAGGCGAGTGGCACAACAAAATTATACTGAGATGCTAGTATCATATCATAGTGGAAAGCATAGTGAGTAGAGTAGGTATTGTGGAGTTTTTAGTAGGAGTTCGTTTTATTGTCTACATAATAAACCTGATATTCATATCCTGTGGATGAGAACTGCTCAATTGCGGCTTTTGCGAGTACTTTTCCTTGAGCAATGTTCTCATATTGTTAAGCAACGACAAGTAAGATTGTTCAGGCATATCAGTCATTGTTTTGATAAATGCCCAACTCATAGCTCCTGTAGCATTGTTGTTTATCAGCGCGTCTGCACTGGTCTGGTCGTCCTTACATCCCGAAATGGAGATGACATCTGCTGGAGACGCTTTGATATTGATAACTTGTTGTCTGTTTGAACTGCTCAGATTAGTAACTTTCTTGAGAAGACCACCAATTGAAGATATTGCACCGCCAATGTTTCCACGTTCGTATTGCATGAACGCACCAAAGGCATCGGTACCAGCGTCTTTCCAAAGATTGGGTTCTTTAACCACTCCCTTGGTTGAGTATACGAAGGGCAAATCCAAGGCTGTTCCAGAATGGCAGGAGTCAAAAAGAGCCGTCAATTTGCACCCTGGAGGAAGTGGTCTCACCATGATCGCGTGCATGTCGTCGTCAACTATATGGCCTGCCTGCTGGAAGTCTACCGGGTAAATCACCTCGTCGTAGCCTTCGTCTTCATCGCCGTCCAAATCTTTGGTAATACCACCATGGCCCGAGTAATGGAACACCAACGAGTCGTTGGGTCTTGCATCCTTGACCAACCACTGCATAGCACGAATAATATTTTCTTTTGTGGGGATTTTGTTGCGCTGGTTTTGGTCGTCGGTGAGAATCACCATGTCGTCGTAACTGTATCCAAAGCGACGGTTCAAGAAATTGGACATATTTTTGATATCATTGACACATCCACGAAGCTCGTTGCTCGATCCAAAGTAGTTAATACCCACCAACAATGCCTTTTTGCGTCCGGAACAGTTGGATAACTGGTACGTCATATCGGTATTTCCAAACCGCTGGGGAGCAGTAGAAACATCATTCATTGCTCCCAGTTGACGATTGTTATTGTACATCTGGGGAGCTGGTCCTCCCTGGCCGTATCCCTGGCCCTGGCCTTGTGGGGGCCCATAATGGCCATAATTGTAGTTTTGGGGTGGAGGACCCTGCGGAGGACCATTGTATCCTTGTGGAGGACCATTATAATATCCTTGAGGGGGACCTTGAGGTGGACCATAGTTGTACTGTGGAGCTCCCTGAGGGGGTGGGTAGCCCTGCTGTTGATATGTTTGTCTTCCAGAACCGGGAAACATTGTTTATGGGGCTGTGGAAGACGTACACGAAGTTGATCGCGAAGCTGAATCGCGAATCGGTATGCAGGGCTGCGGAGAAAGTTTATGGAGAGTAAGCTACATGTATACTTTTAAATTCATATCGTATTGATTTTTCGTATGGGTTCTTCGTGTTCACAACTTGACCTCGGGGTCTTCATTTTGTTGCTTGACCACTGATGGATAAAGGCTACCCATAAAGTTTCCAACATGCCAGAGTCCACCATCAACCACCTGGATGGTTCCCGTAACGTAAGAAGCTGCTGGCGAGAAAAGATACACTGTGGCTTCAGCAATATCTTTAGTCTGCCCCAATCTTTGCACTGGAACCTTTTCGTGCATTGGGGTGGTTCCTGGAGGAGCCAATCTGGAAAAACCTTCAGTTCCATCAATGGCTCCTGGTGCGATAACGTTGACTCTGATACCCAAGGGACCCAATTCGACAGCCAATGCGTTGGAAAGAGCATCCACACCCGCCTTGGCAGCACCCACATGTGACTGGAAGGGAACTCCGTAGTAATGGAGGGTGGCAGAAATGAAGATTATTGCACCCTTGTTCTTTCTCAACTGGTCGAAACAGGCCTTGATGGTATTGAAGGAACCAAGTAAGTCGATGGAAACCACCGATTTGAAAGCATTGGAAGACAAGTGGTTGAAATCAGACAAAAAGTTTCCGGCAGCACCTGCAATCACAAAGTCAATTCGGCCCAATTTTTCAACCGACTCTTGAACAGCCTTAGCAATGCTTTGAACATCCCGCACATCAACATTGCCAACTCCCAACACCTTGGCTCCCGGTCTCAATTCCTCAATCTCCTTGGCCGCTTTGATGGTTTTATCGACGTTTCTTCCAACAATCACCGCATCGGCTCCCAAAAGCACCATGGCTTCAACTTGCACTCGGCAGATGGTACCAGCACCTCCAGTAACGAAAACCACCTTTCCCTTGAAAATATCCTCCTTCCATACACCGTTGGTCACAAACGACTTGTCTAAAGTGGTCATGATAAAATATTAGCCAAAATCAGCGTATTTCAGGTGTATATAAATCAAGTGAAAATGTGGGGTTGGTGAACCGAGGCCCGTGCGATATCCGGCCGATAAGTGCAGTTCGTCGCATCCGGCTATATAGAGTGCGCATGAGATATGCGAAGTGTACCAGACCATCGCTAATACATCTGGGCCACATATTGTGTTCCCGCTTCGTCGACATACTCAGATTGCGTCTCTTCACACTCGGTACCTTTCCAGTTCATACAGTAGAAAAAAGGCATTTCTTCCGTGATCATCTTGACTGGGTCCATGGCCGTCCAGTTTGGTTCCTGATCAAGCTTATTGGCTCTCTTGTCGTAGTATATAGCACGTCCTTTGGCCTGTAACTGGACAATGGGTGGTCTGTACATAAGTCTTGTGGCAGTGCCCTTTTGACCAATACAGGTGTGCGAACCGGTCCAAGAACCGGTAGTGGTGGTGACAGGTGCTTTGGAACCAAACTTGAAAGCCAACGTAGAAACCACCCAATTGGCTCCCATAGCGGTATGTGGCTGTATCAGAAGCTTAAGAGCATAGTTGAGACTCACCGAACCGGAATTACCTTCGCTGTCCGCTACCAGAACACAGTTACTTGCAGGAAAGAGCGGACTGTCTATTTGACTTTCCTTCGTTCTTGACTCTTCATCATTATCTCCAGACCCCGGTCTTGACTCTTCGTCATTTTCAGCAGTTTTAGGGCCACTGGTGTCAACTTCATAGTACTTGTATTTTTTCGCAGCCATCGACCAAGACGCAATGTCCGGAACCATAATGGTTCCAGTATCCTCGAAACGAAGAATGGCCTTGGGATTATATTTGCAGACGTACTTCATGACGGCGGGATTGAGTTTAGTCCGCAACGAAAGTGAATATTCTTGAAACTCGTCATTTTGAACCTTGGCTGCTTGCACTGGGAACTCTTCTGAGGAGTTATTTGCAATGTGATCAAGCTTAATTACCGAGGCCAAAGCCTGTACAACAAAATAAAAATAAATAACCTTTAAATTCATTGGCTCAAAATCTGCATTTCTCCTCCTTTTATTCCATATTGCAGCATATTTACAAACTACAGCAGACCAGTTCACCACCGCAGTTCCGCTCCTGCACCGTTGTCGGCGCCGCTCAGCGCTGCTCTGCGTTTCACTACGCGACCTTCCCTTACCTAATTCACAACACAAAACCCTGGTGTGCGGCTCAGTATCCCCTGAACAATTGCCATTGACGACAACAATTTTCTTGATCAGGATTACCCGTATTAGCCATCCGAGTTCCCATCGCTAATCACATCAAATAGCTGCACTTCTAGGTCTAAGAATTGCCGCTTATTCTTAAACGTAAGTAGTGCTAAATTCTTCTTGGTGTACGGGTCCCACCTGATATTACAGCCGGGTGTCAAACTTTAGCCACACAACGTCATCGATAGGGATACAACTCACCGGACAAGTAATTTGTGTATCTGTGTTGGAAGCTAATTCTTGCTATAAAGTTCTTGAAGTTTTTGTATCTTGTCATTCGTTCGTACTTGAAGTGGTAACAACGATCAAACGGCTGCTTTAAAAACAAGACCCGCTTTTTTTTTGATTAAAAAAGACCGTGTTTACATCTTTCTTGGTTGTTTATTGCGGTACTTGAGTATACAGTGCCAGGATCAGCTCATAAATCTCATTGAAAATTAGTTCTCCGGTATCAAAAAAACTCAAACGAGCTATGAGTGCAACGGAGTTGATAGGCTTGTTGGAGGATCCGGATGCATTTGCTCGAAATCACGCCCAGATACGAAGCCAGCTACTTGCCCATGTTAAAGCTCAGGACATGGCTATAGCCAAAGTCACAGAAGAACTCGAAACCTCCAAAATGGCCAATAAGGCATTCAAGCAGGCGTTATCCGAAATCGGTACCGTGGTTATCAGTGTCGCCATGGGTGACTTGTCGAAAAAGGTGGAAATTCACACCGTAGAATCAGACCCAGAGATCCTCAAGGTGAAAATTACCATTAATACCATGATGGATCAACTACAAACATTTGCCAATGAAGTCACCAAAGTAGCCACCGAGGTCGCCAATGGTGAGCTTGGTGGACAAGCCAAGAACGAAGGATCCGTTGGTATCTGGAGATCTTTGACAGATAATGTTAACATCATGGCTCTCAACTTGACTAACCAAGTCCGTGAAATTGCCGATGTCACTCGTGCGGTCGCAAGAGGTGATTTGTCGAGAAAAATCAATGTGCATGCCCAGGGAGAAATCTTACAATTGCAAATGACCATCAACTCGATGGTGGATCAATTGAGAACGTTTGCCTTTGAAGTATCGAAGGTCGCCAGAGATGTTGGTGTCTTGGGTATCTTGGGTGGACAAGCCCTCATTGGAAACGTGGAGGGTATCTGGAAAGAATTAACTGATAATGTGAATGCCATGGCTTTGAATTTAACGACACAGGTGAGAAATATTGCAAATGTTACCACAGCGGTGGCCAAAGGTGACCTTTCAAAGAAGGTGACAGCGGACTGTAAAGGTGAAATTTTGAATCTTAAACTCACAATTAATCAAATGGTGGATCGATTGCAAAATTTTGCTTTGGAGGTTACCACATTGTCTCGCGAGGTTGGAACTCTAGGCATTCTAGGAGGTCAAGCCAACGTTCAGGATGTGGAAGGTGCTTGGAAAGCTGTCACTGAAAATGTCAATTTGATGGCTACCAATTTGACCAATCAAGTGCGTTCCATTGCCACGGTGACCACAGCTGTCGCCCATGGTGATTTATCGCAAAAGATCGATGTGCATGCTCAGGGAGAAATTCTTCAACTCAAGAACACGATCAATAAGATGGTGGACTCTTTGCAACTTTTCGCATCCGAAGTGTCTAAGGTTGCCCGAGATGTCGGTATTAATGGTAAGTTGGGTATTCAAGCACAAGTTAGCGACGTTGATGGTTTATGGAAAGAAATTACCTCCAATGTGAATACTATGGCTTCTAACTTGACCTCGCAAGTGAGAGCATTTGCTCAGATTACAGCGGCCCGCTACTGATGGTGATTTTACAAGGTTCATTACTGTTGAAGCAAGTGGAGAAATGGACGCATTGAAGACAAAGATTAATCAAATGGTTTTGAACTTGAGAGAGTCTATTCAAAGAAATACGGCAGCCAGAGAAGCGGCCGAATTGGCCAACAGTGCCAAGTCGGAATTCTTAGCCAATATGTCCCACGAAATTCGAACACCATTGAACGGTATAATCGGAATGACCCAGCTTTCTCTCGATACCGAGTTAACGCAATATCAAAGAGAAATGCTCTCGATTGTTCACAATTTGGCCAACTCTTTATTGACCATTATTGATGACATTTTGGATATCTCCAAGATTGAAGCGAACAGGATGACGGTCGAACAAATTGACTTTTCTTTAAGAGGAACTGTGTTCGGTGCCTTAAAGACTTTAGCCGTGAAAGCCATTGAGAAATCTTTGGATTTAACCTACCAATGCGATTCTTCATTTCCAGATAACTTGATAGGTGATTCTTTCAGATTGAGGCAGGTCATTCTTAATTTGGCTGGAAACGCTATAAAGTTTACCAAACAAGGTAAAGTCAGTGTGAGTGTGAAGAAGTCTTCAAAGGTTGTGGAAGATTCGGATAAATTGCTCCTCGAAGTGTGCGTTAGTGATACTGGTATTGGTATTGAGAAGGATAAACTAGGACTCATCTTCGACACATTCTGCCAGGCAGATGGCTCAACAACAAGAAAGTTTGGTGGAACTGGTTTGGGTTTGTCTATTTCTAAACAATTGATTTTGTTGATGGGTGGTGAAATTTGGGTCACTTCTGATTACGGTTCTGGTTCGAACTTTTACTTCACTGTGAGTGTTTCACCTTCCAATATTAGATATACGCGGCAAACGGAGCAGCTTCTCCCATTCAGTTCTCACTACATACTATTTGTTTCCACGGAACATAGCGAGGAAGAATTGGCCGAAATTAAGAATGGTATCATCGAATTGGGATTAATCCCTGTTATTGTTGGTAACACAAGTGAAGCCAACTTAACTGATCCGGTCAAGTACGACATTATTATGATCGACTCCATCGCAACGGCCAAGGAGTTGAGGCTACTTCCAGAAGTGAAATACATCCCCCTCGTTCTTTTACATCACTCCATTCCTGAATTGAATATGAGAGTATGCATTGATCTAGGGATCTCATCTTATGGTAACACGCCTTGCACCATTACCGATTTGGCCAGTGCCATAATTCCTGCTCTTGAGCTGAGGTCAATTTCCCAAAATACCGATGAATCTGTGTCTTACAAGATTCTTTTGGCGGAAGACAACTTAGTTAACCAAAAGTTAGCAGTTAGAATCCTCGAAAAACAAGGACATAGGGTGGAAGTCGTTGAGAATGGATTAGAAGCATTCGAAGCCATTCAAAAGAGCAAATACGATGTTGTTCTTATGGATGTACAAATGCCTGTCATGGGAGGTTTTGAAGCTACCGAGAAGATAAGGCAATGGGAAAAGAGATCGAATCCAATTGATTCTCTCAGCTTCAGGACACCGATCATTGCATTAACAGCACACGCCATGTTGGGAGATAGAGAGAAATCTTTGGCTAAGGGTATGGACGATTATGTATCGAAGCCCTTAAAGCCAAAGTTGTTGATGCAGACCATCAGCAAGTGCATCCACAACATCAAGCAATTGAAGGAATTGTCCAAACAGAATAACAGCAATCGCACATCTGATTTCGCCAAAAATTTGAAGAAGGGTTCTATCAAAAACAACGACCATTCGGCGTCGAACTTCTTGTCAATAAGTTCAAGCCCCAATAGTAGGGTAGTATCACCAAACAATTATGGTCAAAGCAGCGCACCCTCATCCGGTGTCGAATCGCCAAGGGTGAATAGCCCCAAGATGAGGAAGACAAATTCGAACGATGTTATAACTCACGGTCGACCAGGGCAATTGTCAAATGATAATAGGTCGGTAACAGAAAGTATCTTATCTTACGGATCAAGGGCTGGAACTGCAGAACCGATGGAGATTGATGATGAATCTCGTTTTGAACATCTAGATTAGGGACATCAAATCCTGCTACAAAGCAATCAAGGTGCTTTTTTGTATAGTAAGAATGTATCTTTAACGAAGCTACGTAACTACCACACTGTCTCATTCCACTTTTCAAGCTCAGCAGCTTGTTGCATAACATCCTTTTGTGCCTTCTTACGCATGTAAAATATAGGACAATCTTTGTTCGAGCACAAAACTTCTTGATGTAAGGAGCCTTGACATCTCTGACATTCTGTCCACAATCTTGAGAACTTGTTTTCCAAGTAATTCATCTGGGCAATTGCCCCTCCATAAAGTTTGGGTGCCATAGATATACAATTTTCACAGAGTGCTCCGTGATTTGACGATTTCAAAGGCGATTTGCAATTTTTACAGAGCTCTGCCTTTTTAGCAAACCTCATGAGCCCTCCTGACTTTGGTGCTGACATCTTTATAGTTCTGGTATGGGCTCCCGATAATAAATCTTTAGCTTTTCTTTCTCCTAGAATTGGCTCAAAGATACGCATAAGAGGATTCGCCAATTGGTTCTCCAAGTAATACTTCACGTCAATTGGAAGCGAGTTCTCCAACACAAAAAGTGGATCCTCTGATTTTTCGTAATTTTTGGTGCTTGATGAATTAATAATGACATACGCCACACGGTCTCCAAGTGTTGGAGCCGATCCAGGGTCTCTCTTTTTCATTCTCTCAGCAAGTTCAATATGGGCCTGTTTTGCGGCATATTCGTGTTTGGAATACGCCTTTGTGATAACTAGCTGTGAAAGGTCGACTCTGTTTTGCAATAAATCAGCGATAGTTTGTTTCACGAATCGTTCGGCTTTATCGACATTGCGTTCCTCCAAAATGTACTCCAAGACCTTTGTAATGACGTTTTGGACAAGACGACAATTATCACGACGCACAGTTTCAATTCCCTTTGTATCCATTTTGTCAAACTTTTCAGGTCTTGTCCAATATAATCCAGCATAACGCTTTTTGTTAATCAACAAGTAGGGGAAGTAAACCTTCTCGAACTCTAACTTGATGGGGTTCTTGAATTTTTGGGAGACATAATTAGCAGCTTCTTCCCCTAATTTCATACATGTCTCGATGTCTTGGTGGCCGAACTTTACCATAACCGAATCTGTATCTCCATAAATAACTTGTGCATCGTAATCGTATCCATTTTCAGTGGTGTAACGTGATTGGACCTCATTTTTAGTCTCTTCAATCATGACACGTCCAAAAGCAGTGACAGAAGATGAAATCGCAAGACAAGGCAACTTACCTATAGTAGCACCAGTGAAACCGTAGACGGAGTTGGCTGAAATTTTCAATGCTAGTTGACGACCGTTCAAAACATCCTTTCTGAATGGGTCTGTCTCGTTTTTAAGGTCGACTTTGGCTTTCTTTCTCGCGGATATAAGTTCATGCAAAATTGTTGGAAGGATACCCTTACGCTTATGTTCTTTGACAAAATAGTCACCGTTTGGAGTGAGTGTGTAATCGTCTTTAGACAAATTGAAAGCGGCTATTGAGTTTTTACTCAAAAGTGTAGTGTAACAGAGATTATGTGCCATCATAATCGAAGGGTACAACGAACTAAAATCTAACGTAGCAATAGGTACGTCGTAATAGCCTCTAACAGGTTCGATAACCGTTGCGCCCTCATACTCCTCATTCGTGCCCTCACTTTTCATATTTGGAATCACTACATCCTCTTGTAAGCATTTTCTGAAAAGCTGCGAGATGACCTTGATTTGTTGTCCTCGAGCCAATAAGTAAGAGAACGGCACACCAGTCACTCTTGCCATTTCAGTATAATTGACAAGACACATAAGTTTTTCAAGAAGTCTCATTGGCAAGTAGGCGTCTTTCAAACAGTAGACCGCTAATCTTCGACGAGTTTCTCGGGTACCATTCTGAAGATCGGAAATGATTGTATGTTGAACATCTTCTTTCTGTTCACCTAAGAAATGTGCCGATACTGAGTTCAATGTGTAGGATCTCAACTTGTATTCTCTTTGAACAAACTGTAACAAATCAAGTTGCATTCTACCATCGATGTTAACGACTTTGTTCTCTCTGGTACCGTAAGCTCGTGAGCTGAATACAGAATCTTTCACTTCTTGTCTCACACTCTTTAATCTTCCGAAGTATGGAAATTCTTTGAGACCTAATGCGTTTGCTCGATCCAAAAGATATGGTAAATCAAAGTTGGTGGTATTATACCCGATTATCACATCTGGGTCAGATTCTTCAATGAATTGCCTCCAATGAAGTAACATTTGCTCCTCTGTTTTATGCTCTAATATCTGGGACCCTATGATAGAGGCACAAGTGTTTACAGTAAAGACGTTACGAATAAATGGTCTTTGCTCTCCATACTTCAGTACGACGTTAGCGATCTGGATAACAGGATCATGTTGGGCTTCTGGAAAGATACCTTTTCTACCTGAACATTCGATATCAAATGAAAGAATTCGAAGGGGAGCCATTTTCAACCACTCGCCTTCAGATGGATGTGAAATGAGCTGCCGATAATCCACCGAACATTCAATCTGACATCTTGAGCTCTTAAGGTGTGGTTGACACATTTCGTATGTGCCCTTGGGAAGTGTTATCCAGGACATGCCTGTTATTTTACAATCCACCATTAAACGAAGGAGGTAGTTGATATTGTCGTAACTGACGTTTTGGGATGGAAAGAGGTTTTCGAACTGTATTTCACCACGTTCAAATGATGATCTCAATCTGGTGATATTTCTTGAGTTATCGACAAATATTCTGAAAAATGGGGTCTTTACGTTTTGGTTGTACCCCCAAATTGATTCTTTGTTGGCGATCTCTACGTCCAAAACCCCCATGTAGTTTGCTGATAAGTACAGTTTAAACTGGTCCAAGTGCCGGTCTTGCATGAAGCCACGAGGAACCGGGATGTAGAAGTAGTGACGGAAGCCAGTTACATTACAGAGAACCGAATATCCCTCTGCTGTGACACCAAAAAAACGTGCGATAGTATGATCTCCACTATTGACTTCTTCGGCATCTAGCTGCTGGAATATAACATCTTCTTGCTCAGGATCAAACGAGTCTGGTAAGTCGGGACGGGCCCACTTCTGGTCTTCGTCGTGGCCCACCTCCTTGACCGCCTGGGTCATATCAAGCAATTCACGCTCGAACTCACTTGGCTCTTCTGTTCCATTAGGACGACGAATTTTCTTGAGAGCTTCCTCTTGTGACTCAAGAAGTTCAGCCTGAGACGAGAGCGACTGCGAGGCAACGGGGAGTGAATGTGCCTGGTCTTGGCCAGTTTCACGCAAACGCTTAGACATGGCTTACTGCTGACACACCTCACGCGTTTAAAGACGTGAAGTCCTGCAGAGGACTCTGTAGACAGGACTGGTGGGTGCTGATGCCGATGGTCAGTTGTTCACGTAGAGCTTTGTAATGGTAAAGTAGTGTTGGGGGTAAGTTAATAGTGTATACTTTAGTGTACACTAAAGTGTAGAATGTGATCAATACTTGAGATTATATAGAACGAGCCAAAATTTGGAGTGGTTTGAGAAGGACGGAACCAATTTGGCTGCAAATTAAAGCGATGAAAAATACCACTTTCGTTTGTAAATGTAATGGAGGTTTTTATTGTAAGAGTACTTGAGATATACAGCCTTGCCGCTACTGTAACTTTTTTCATCTTCAATTAGCAGCTGCTTGACCACTGTCTGTCAATCTTCTCCTCCACCTAAGGTACTCCAGAACAACAAAATCTTGCTGCAACCTCTGGCTCGTTCGCTCTCATGAGGTGCTCTAAACAGTTCCTGTGACAAATGTTTTGATTTCATCTTTGGTGAATTCATGAAGAAACCTCAGTATGGTCGAATCTCTTGCTATCAGCAACTGATATAAAAACTCTGAACTCTTGTTCTGTTCAAGGACAATTGTCGTCAACATCTTATTATTCTCATTCTTAACATCTTCCATAAAAAGGTCATCATCCATGTCGTGGTCGGTATTGCTGTTGAAAATACTCGAATAGTGCCATTCCAATGATGGGCTAAAAGAGTTGTCAAACTCACCAGGGTATGACTTCTTATCAGCATTATTTTCGTACATTGCGAGCCACGAGGATCTCTCACTGTTGGTTTTGATAGTGTTGGTTACCTGAAGAAACACAATTAGATGAACAAACACCCGTATATCTTCACTGCTATTAACAGACTTTTCATACATTGCAATCTCAGATTCAAGGTAGTTGATAAGTGCACTGGTCTCAATACGTTGTATAACCGACGCAACAGTTTTCAACTGTTCGTCCTCGCCCTTAACAACTTTTAAAATCGAGGTCTTGAGTTGATCTCCCATGTCGGTTTCCGAAAGAATTGGACTTTTGTCTTCGACCGTTGGTCGAATTGTTATGCATGAGCTGACAAGCTCACAAGTTTTCGCAGCCACTTTATTCTCTCTCCACTTGGGGAATTTCTTGATTGTCGCAACAATATCGTTTCCAACAAGAAGCAAGACTCCTCGAAACGTGAGGAAACTTTCATTACTTGCTTCCTCGTTCTCAGATCGGGAATTTGCTTTAACCAACTCATACAACGTTTGTAGGTGGATTTCATCGAAACCCACAGTCTCTATCCTCGATAAGAGCCACTTGATTATGCTCAACATAGTAGGGATCAAAAAAGGTTGCGAAAGATAGTCAGTGCCATTTTGTTAGAATCTTGAAGTTAATCGTCTTTGAAATTGTCGCTGTAACCGCTTGCTGAAATACAATGGGAATCAATTTATAGATTTGCTTCACATGGACGGCTCGAATGAGATCGTCTGGAAGACCATCATTAGTGTCATCGAAAAGGGCATTTATCCAATCAGCACACAAACTATTGTAGTTTTGGACAATGGTAGTTTCTTCCTCGGTAGTCGTTGAGGCTCTGTTCGAAAGGTTGTCACATAAACGGTAGAAGAAATTGTTGATATAATCACTTGTAAACGAAGTTTTCACCAGTACTTGCGAGAAGTCTAATGCAAATATGTTGATCATGCTGATAATACCCAATAGAATGACGCCGAAATGAGTATATGACTCTTGAAAGTTATCGTCATCTGAACCCCATTCGCTAGAGTCAAGAAATACGATCAATTTCTCGATTACATCCAATGGACCCCTGCTTGCATTGAATGCAAATAATTCCATTGCCTCGATATTGTTCATGAGCGTTAGCAACAACCTGTAAAGTTTTTCGTCGTCGTTGTTCTCTATCAATTGAGAAAAGATAGTCAGTAGCACATTTGTGAATTCGATTTGCTTTGATTTCAGGTACTTCAAGAGCTTTGGTATCGATTGAATATACTCGTACAATCCTGACTCTTCAAGCGAAGTAAATTCACAGCTTATATTTAAGAGCGTCTTCTCGAGTCCCTTCTGTACCGATTCGATATTACCGAAGGAATGCATTTCGTGAGACAACATTTGTTGTGTTGTCCTCGCTTCCATGGGGAAAAATCTGTGGAACGATGGTACGGCAAGGATACCACTGTAAACGCAACTCTTGATGAAAGCTTGGCGTAAGTCGGTGTATGAAAACGTTTTCGAGTCCAACGCAGTTATCGCCTTCACAGTGGACTCGTTAAGGGCATTGAAAGCATTTAGTATGGCGTCTTCGAGAGTTTCCTGACTTGAATCTGACGAATCAGATGTTGAAGCAAGAAACTTAACTGAGGCAAGTATATGTGGGAGCCTCGTGATTATGAAATTGTTCCAGTTGAAGAGAACATATGGTGGCTCGTCAGATATGAGCGAAACTGCAAATCCATTGAACATGGAAAGCGTAATGTCATAAACCAAAGAATACGACTTCTTTACAATATGGCTCTGGGACTTGGACATACAGAATTTTTCATAGTCCTTGAGAAAGTTGTCTTGGTTAAATGTCCAATTTTTCATACTCGACAACAACCAGAAATACTTCTTGATTTCGAATAATCTTGTGTTTTTCTTCATGTTAGTTATCGGTCCAGATAATTGTCTGACTAGCGAGTTTGAGGCATTGGAGTCTAGTGGTAGATCTTTGGAGTTTAGATTATCATTGGGTAGCTCGACGTTACTTGCCAGAAGAACAGGACGTGACTTGTATAACAAATACTCCATGACATCCTCTCTAAGAAATCTCTTGTGCGCCATGATATAAATCACGAACAGCTTTAACTTGTCCGATTGTACCAAGCTTGAGTATGCATCTAGAAGAGTAGCCCACAAAGTTGAAGCAAGCGAGATCAAGTCTGCATTTCCTGTAGCATTCTTGGCAACAAGTTGTTCGAAATATTTGGGGAAGTGGACATTTATGATGTCAGACACTAATTCTGGGACGACAGGCTGAGGTTTTTTCAATATTATCATATCGTACAAGCCACGAAAATGCTTCTTCTGGTCTTCTTGTTCAAGCTCAACCAAATTGACCCAGAATTGTTCCATTCTAGAGGACGAGGATGAGGCAACAACAAGTATATATTGTTGAACCGCGTTGTCATAAGCTCGCTTGTTGGTGAATTTCATGAGATATTCATGCAATTCTTTTCCTGAAATCAGTTGGCGACGATCTAGTTGTTCGAATAGGTATAGGAATGATTTTGGAGGCAAGCTACGTCGAACCGAGTTCTTGACGAGCTTGTGGAGATCCATGGTGTCCGCCATTAGTAGAGCGATTATCTGAAAAGCTGCGAAATTAAACTGTAAGCTGCGAATTTATGGGGTCTTATATAACGGCACGAATTTTGGCTACAATGTATATATTACACACTTTACACCATAAATCAAGCATTTATTCCCCCATTTTCCTATTCCTTTCTATCCAAATGTAATTATACAAACACCATAAAACTACCAAATTTTACCAAAACTTTCTGGCTGCGAACTCGAAATCGTAGCTGAGTTTCCGTTCGGTCCCCAGATCGACTGCCGACCCGCCGACCATTGGTTGTGCGTAGACATACCAGACGATAAGAACTGCAGTGTTGGAGCCGGAGAATTAGTGCTGAGGGGCATCGCAGGCGGAGAGCTTCGTACTGAGTTCGCTGAATTCTGTGGCTGCAACACGATTGGTGATATCGAATTTTCACCTGAAGTGAACGAGGTTGATTTCATCAAGTCCATTGACAAGGGAGAATTTGTCACCGAGTTGCTGCTGTCATTCACACTCATCATACCTGATCTGAAATCGTACGGCTTCTGGTACGCCTGAATATCATGAAAAGAAGTGTTCATCGCCGGATCAGAATTGTAGTACAGACGACTGTGGAAATCACCGCTTTGATGCTGCTGTGGCTGTCTATACAACAGCGGTTGCTGCTGTGAATTTAAAGCATTATTGATGAGATGATGGGGCTTGTTTTGGTGTTGATGTTGTTGGAGCTGTTGCAGTTGTTGTTGCTGAAAGATGAAAGATTGCTGCTGCTGGTGCTGAACAGCCGCTGCAGCTGCCACTGCGGCTAACGTGTACTTGTGCTGGGCGTGTTGCTGTTGCGTATTATTGTGATGGGAATAAGAGTACCCAATATTCTTATTTCCATTTCCATTTGTATACGATGCCGCTTGCGTTCGAGAATAGTTCTCGAGTGCCTGATCTATGAGCTCGAGCTGCAGATTAAACGGCACTTTCTCGAGTGTCTTTTTGTAAGACTTTTCGGAACCCATGAAAGACAGCCAATTAAGTGGAAAGTTGATGGAACACAGTAAAAAATTAAAAACTTTTGCAATTATACAATCCCGATAGCTGATATACTAGTAAAGAACGTAGGTGGTTATTGATATTATGTCTCGGACACCACAAATTGAAACCAAACAACAAGATGAGCTAAATGAAAAAGAATGTCTGTGGCTCGAGAGAAGGTTGATGGTTGCACCCGGATCAACAGAAACGTTATATGAGCCCTGTTTCTGCTTGAATTACCCAAGGGAACCGGAAATTCTAACTAGACCCTTCGCAACTGGCACCGATCTGTAAAGTAATGTTACAAAGATTCGACGAGATTTTTCGCGCCTCCCGTTCGACGGGCCGGTTTGTGGGGAAGGGTACAGGATGAGTAGCTATAAAGAGTATGAGTGCAATTGGTTAATTTATTCAATATTAAAGAAGGTTGCTCTTCGAGAATGAACAACTTACTGTGTTGCCTCTTCCTCGGTGTTCTTTTGTGCATTGAGCTGCCACAGTGGAACACCAATGTTGGCGATGTTATCCTTCACAATATCATTAGAATTCTTCTGCTGTTGTTGCCAGCTAGGAATCGAAGCACTTGGCTCCTCAAGCTGTTTTTCCTTGTCTTTAAGCTGCCACTCAGGGATTCCAGCGGCAGTGACCCCGCCCACTGATACTGGTTTGGTGATGCCGGGAGCAGTGAAAGGTTCAGATTTTTCGTTGCTTGCAGCTTCAGCAACTTCAGGCTTTTTCGTGGAACCGTTCTCTTCCTTGGCGGTCTTCTCCGAAGCCTCAGACTCTTTTGTGCCCGATTTCTTTTCTTTGGCTCGCTTCAAAATATCGCTGGCTGAAGGAATCGAGGATACTGGAGCCAATTTTCTAGATGGACCATCGCCCTTAGTTTCAGAAGAGATGGCACCACGGGAACGGAGAAGTTGTTTGAGGGAGTCGAGTTCAGCAGTGATTTCAGACAACTCGAATTTGACACTGTCCTTTGTCATGTCCATGTTCTTCTCCACACTGTTCTTCAAATTCTGTATTTCTGATTTCATCAACCTGAGATCATCGTCAAAGCTGAGCTTGTCCTTGTTGTACTTGGCTAAGAAATCGTTGACATTTTCAATCACTACGTCAATTTCCTTCAATTTGCTCTCATTCTGCTCCTTGATGTCGCTCTGATCGGTAGACAACTGTTCCAATAATTTGTCAATTTTGATGAATTCCTCGTCCACCCTCGCCTTGTCATCTTCAATGGACGACTGAGAAGGGGGTATTATGCTGGGAATCAAGTACTTGGAGACAACTTGGTACAACCCATAGGTGACTCCGGCAGTAGCAGTGGCCATGATAAAATAGTCTTTCCAACTTCTTTCCGGAAGAGGCGGAGGAGCCATGTTGTAGTAGTCAATAGGTGGTTGTGGCTCAGGTGCTGTAGGCGCTCTAGAAACCCCAGTTGTAATTGTCGTCAGATGACTCGCATTGGCTCTGTTCAACGCTTCTTCGATTTCTTGCTGGTTGAGACCCTTGGATTCCAAAAACTCTACTTTCTTGGTCAATGGAGACGACGCCACATTGGGGTCGCTGAGAAAACTCACCGCACTGTTGATGAGATCCTCATTCATTGCTGGTATATATTGTAATGACTATTTGTGGGGCAGCGATTTCGACCGAGGTGAAGGTCGGCTGTATGCAGTATGTGTGCGGCACAGAATCCAGCGGCTGGTTTGGAGATTATAAAGTCAACGTAATCCTCTTCTTAGTATTCTGTCCTGCTCGTTCAAGTACTCTTCCACCTCCGACATTGTTTTCTTGAGGCCCTTGCTGTGGCCATTTTCTAACAACCATTCCTGCATTTCATTCCGAACCACTTGCAACTCTCTAGCCAAAGGCTTCTTGATCTCATTTGCTGAATAAGGATTAAGAAGAAGGTCAAAGAATTTGGACCAAAGATGTTGTTGCCAATATCTCTTTAAATGCCTTTGAAGAACGTATCTGTCCAGCTGTAAGCGAACCTTGATATACTCGCCGAAGAGAAGCGTATGGGCGATTCCTGCAACTCCATAGTAATCGGCCTCATATAACCACGGTTCACCATTGTTCATCTGAGGACAATCCTGCTCATCGGCTTCCCACGTACACTTGAATTGAGTATTTGGGCTGTGAAGAGTCAAATCTATACTTCGTCCAAAGTCAATCAACGTTATAGATTTTCTCTTCCATGCTTCCGTATTCATGCTTTCACTCCACTCATCTACTTCCTCGAATCTTATCATACAATTATCGGCCTTGAGGTCGCCATGAATGATTCCAATTGCATGCAACTGCTCAACAATCTTGAGTAGTTCCACTGCTATGTAAATGCACAATGTCTCATCTGCACCACTAGACATTGGGTTTGGTCTTTGTATGCGAAAGAAATTGACAACATCTAGAAGAGTGCCCTGTTTGACGTAGTCCATCACCATGTAACTCTCATCTTGAAAGCAGTACATGCCTCGCGGAGCAACCACCATCTCTTGAAGATTACGAGCTTGAATTCTTTGCTGAACTTGGTTGAGAATATAGTACTCCCACGGTGTAGATGGGGTCTCTACTTTGAGAGCCCTCAAGCTTCCGGTCTCAGTTTCCACCAAATACACAACGCCAAAGCCTCCCTCACCCAATTCGCATCGAAGACAAAAGATCTCTTCACCACAAAAATCTATAATTGAATGGCGGTTTCCTTTGGGTATGTACCTCGATGGGCTTGTGGTAATCTTTTTGAACACGGGAAGTTTGTTCACCAGTTTAGTGTACTCATGATAGTTGGGGTACGACTTGAGCGGCTTCTTCAATTGAAGTAGGGCTTTTCTTCGAGTGTTCTCGTTGGTTGGATCGAGAACTTCGAGTTCAGTTGTGGAGCTCTCGCCACTCTCGTGGTGTAAAGGTTGTTCGATGAATGGTGAGCTTTGTACACTGTTGTTGGTCGTAGGAGGTGTCGCCTTGATATCAAGGTTGAGCGTTTCAGTCACAAACCCATCCAAATTACTAGTGTCGTCAGTTTTGTGGTCTTCATCGTCGTCTATAACATTCTTTGCCGCATCGTTGAATATACTCATCACTTCATTGGCAGCTTGCTTAGAGTATAGAGTCACTGTTGGTTCATTCACACTTTGTTCACTTTCACTGATTCCTTTCAATGGAATAGTAAAGTGTTCGGTATGCTCAAATATCGGAACGTCTTTCTCTTCATTGTTATCTAAAGGAAAATTCTCCTGTTGCATCAGAGTTTCTTTCTTTGAATGGTCATTTTCTAAAGAATTGCTTTCCTTACTTATCAGCATGAGAAGAAGCTCACTCAAGCAGATTTCACGGCCATCTTTCTCTAAAAGTGATAAATCCACCTGTAATCGTTCAGGCTTTTTTCCACGATGCTTAACCAATGTGTACGTTCCTTCTTCTGTTTGCACTTTTTGTGCCACCGTAGCGTCTTCATCTTCATCTTTAAAAACGCTAAACTTTGGACCTAGAGAGGAGAGGTCTGTGTTTTGTTTGAGCATTTCTCCTGACCAGGGCCTTGCCATGAGTTTATTTTCTTTTGTCCTTTCTGCAATCGAGCCTAGCTCACCGTTATAATCCTGTGAGCGGAATATTGAAGATATACCATCTTCTTCGGAAAGTTCGTCACGGAAAATTTCTAGTTTGGGCCGCTTAGTAGGGGGCTCAGAGACATCAATGTCTAGTATGGGTGCCAGAATTCCAGTCAATGGAGGACGATTACTTTCAACTGTTTGGTTCGAGGTCTTACGTTGAAGGAACCGATCATATGAAGCTTTCAAGCGGGCTAATGGCCTGGCATGGCTTTCAATTCCGTGTTTGTATACATCTTCCGCATCCTCAATGCATGAGTTGATCTCCAAATATCGAGCGAATTCCTCGTAATATAATGCTAGTTGTTGACCAATTTGTTTTTTTGCCAAGTAGACATATATGTCTCGTGGTGAATCCAGATATTTGATGTACTCCATCCAAACGAGAAGGTATCTAGGATCGTTTTTATAGTGAGTGATATCACGAAGACTGGAAGTACATCGTTCCAAAAGCGACAAGAGTCCACTTTCATGGCTGGCTCCGCTAGGATATGTGTTGTGGATCCAGTCTAGATACGATACAAACACCAGAAGAGGATCATCTAGTTGGTCCCATTGATGTAATTGTGCTTCGAAACGGTTCCTCTCATGGGCACGATCAGTCTTGGAATTTGGATTTCGAGACCCTTTCAAACCTTCAGCTAGCTTCTGGGCACTTCTGCCAGTTGATAGTATCTGGATGTTTTCCTTGTGTTCCTCTATGAGGTCAAGGGTGGAGGGTTGGTCCATGAGGTGTTTGTTTGGTAAACAGTGTATTTGCGCGGCTTGAATTCGCGGTTTTGAGATGGGTGCAAAGGAAGGAAAGGTGAGGTTTGGGAAGATGGGGAGGAGAGGAGATAGAGGGAGAATGTGTGTGGTTCGTGTTTTGGGTCGTTTTGGGTGGCTTTGTTATTTCATACTTTTCCTTAATTTTTCAATAATGGTAAATTTCTAAATTATGCAAAGAGCTGAAAAATTACGATTCGCAACTTGAGATACTAAATCACCAATTCCACTTTATTCCCAATGTATTCTCAAAAAACCAAATATGGACACATAAAAACCACAGAAATCAAAACAGCTCGCTAACTTGTTCAGCTCTTTACTTTTCCGCTTTCTGTCTTTTCTTTGTTTCCTTTGTCTCTTTCTGGCGCCCTCCACTCTCCCCCACCGCGCTGCGAAAACTACCGCGAAACGTTTCCTTTGAATAATTTACCCATGATTCACGTTCTATGGTTCTTGTTTCTATGTGGCACCGGGTTGGCGATACCCTATAATGAGCTGCTCACGCTTAGACCACTCGAACGAAATAAGCTACTTGGCTTGTTTGAATTCAACGTAGAATCCGAACCTTCTCGTTTGATATACTACAATGATCTGGCTCCAGCCCAGCCAAAGGCAGCTAGCCACTACATGTACTTCCCCCACGTACTTGGTCCTATCATAGAAACCTCCAACACACGCGAATTGCATCTTAGGTTCACCCAGGGATGGTGGGATAATGAAGAATGGGGTAAGCTTCCTTATAACGGACGCCGAAGCGGTGGTACTGGGGTGGAAGTTTGGGCAGTAATTGAAGCTGATTCTTACAAGACCGCTAAACGGGACTGGAAAAAATTGACTTCCACATTATCTGGGTTATTTTGTGCTTCTTTAAACTTCATTGATGAGTCCATCACTACCATCCCAAATTACCACGCCAGTCAAAAGCCTAACCAAAACATCCACGTCACGCACCCATCCCATGATCTCTACTTGTTGAGGGCGGTGCTCCCAAGTGAACCAATCTGTACTGAAAACTTGACACCTTTTCTCAAATTACTTCCTACTCGAGGCAAAGCAGGAATCTCCACTTTATTGGATGGTCATAAAGTATTTGATTCTTTGTGGCACAGTATGTCTATAGACATGAATACTGTGTGCGAGGGCACCGACTGCAAGTTGCAGATGACACAGTCGGTGAATACTGTGATTGACGTGCTTCGCTCATTGCGCAGAAAGAACGAAGGTGGAATTCCAAAACCCACTCCAGGAGAAAAATTACGTTGCGACGAGTCCAAAACATACAACGTTTGGCAGTGCTTTCCACTTGGTGACCCAACAGATGTCGCTTGGAGCTTGGAAGAGATCTTTGGTAGACCCATTTTGGGTGCTGCTTTTGAACTGGTGCCTGGCTCCACCAAGATCAACGTTGAAGTCGATCGTGAAAATTGGAGTGTTTCAGTGATTGATTACCAGGAGCAAAAAGTAGAGCCGGAAACTATTGACAATGGACTCTCCTTTGATATTCAGGAACCACAACCTTACGACGTCAAGTTCAGTTCCCCAGACAGCTCCAAGGTATTGACATCTGATTCTCCACCGATCAAAGTAGCACGTTCTTTGACTGGGTATTCTCAGGATCGCGGTGGTCTCCGTACTCATTTCTCGAACCCTACAACCAGCGACAGAAAATTTATCTACTTTGAGTTTCTCCCATGGTTCATGAGATTGCACTTGAATACACTTAAAGTGTCATTTCAAGATGAAACCGGTACAAGATTACTTTCCCCAGAGGAAGAGAAACAGTACATTCACACGAGATTCTACAGACCAGCAATTGACAGAAAGCGTCCTTCTCACCTTGAGCTCAGTATAGTGTTACCTCCTAAGCTGACGCTTGTATTAACTTATGAGTTTGAGAAATCTCTCTTGTTATACGCTGAATATCCTCCAGATGCGAACCATGGGTTTGCCGTGGAAGCAGGAATGGTCACTGTTTTGAATGAGAACGACGATGTTGAGTACGAGATTAGAACCTCTAGTCTTTTGTTAACACTTCCTACACCGGATTTTTCCATGCCCTACAATGTGATTATTCTTACCTGTACAATCATGTCATTGGCATTTGGAACCGTTTACAACTTGTTGACCAAAAAGGTGATCACAGAAGAGGAATTAGAGGTTATTGCAGCCCAAGGGAAGCTAGCAAAGCTCAAGGAGGTGTTACAAAAAAGATTCAAGGCAGCTAAATAGATGAGCCGCATTGGTGAGGTTTTCGCATCCGATTCGGAATTATGCTTCAACTTCTTTAAAAATGTTTGAGGATCTGATCTGGTTTGAAGACAACCATCTTTTCAAGCTACTACAAGACGATTTTCATCAGTGTAGAGGTAGCGTATTTGACTTTGGTTGGTACGTATCCCACCATGCTGACCGACTTTTATCAAAAGATTCACCAATAGTTCAATATACTTTAGGAAGTTATAGTCCGGCATCACTGAAATCCTCCCACTTCTACAACCATTTCCCCAGAAAAGCAAGTAATTTGGATGGTGAACATCACTATATAAGCGTTGACCATGAGATGGTTCGATGGTTACCTCGAAAAATCACAAAACAAATTTTTCCCGAGAGAAACGGCAAATTCACAGCATATCCTGTTCCAACTCTTGAAGAATTAGCATTGTGCAATGAAAGAAACGGTAGAGCTTATTGGAACAGATCTGGTATTTGGACTTGTAGCTGCGATGAGGTAGATGATTCATCCGATGAGCATGGTCCACAAATATTTGAGAAATATGAGGAGTACGTCAGCTGGCGAAGAAAATGAACGCAGAAAATAACACCCTTCATAGTTAATGACATGGTACAACATGGTACATTCAATGTGATGAAGACTTTATGTATATAATAACTTACCGAAAGGTTGCCTACAAGTAGCCGCCTGGCTAGCTCAATCGGTAGAGCGTTTGACTCTTATACAAGAGAAGCGATCAAAAGGCTGCGGGTTCGACCCCCGCGTCGGGCTACTTTTTTTCACCACTCGTTGGGTGCAATTTTTTTAGTAAGGTAGACGACCGATTATTCTACAATAGTGTGTATGCTAGTGTTTATTTCATCAGAAAGGATCCTCATATGGATCTTCTTCGTCATAATCGTCATCTTTCTCAAATTCGTAGACAATGGCTCCACCAGCCGAGCCCAATGCTTCCTGTGCCTGCAAGAATGGCAACTCAACTTGTTCCCTAGCTGCTTTCTGTTTGACATTCGTGGCTAAATTGAACGTAGTAAGGTCCTTGAGTAAACTTTCGTCTTCTTGGTTGAGTGTCTTTTTCTGTTCCTGAACTTCGTACACATGAGTATTTGCATCGATGAGATATTGATACGTTAGCGTTCTACCTGACTTACGACGATAGTGTAGAGCCACAGCAAACTTGGGACTATGCAAATCAAAACCAATAGGAGGTTGTAGTTTTTGGATATATGAATCCAACACCTCTTCATCGTGAGGGTCTTTGAGAATAGGTTCCACTTCCAAGATAGAGCTAGCAATATAGCACAATATGGTCAATTCCGACGGGTAGTATGAGAACTGACGGCTATTTATGTGGCTATAATTGCTGTTGGTATGATATACACCTGCCAAAGTGGTGCCCGGATGAGCGATGATGCCCAGCACCAACTGGGTCAACTGTTGCGATGAAAAGTAGTTAAGGGAATCCACAATCACTAATTGTTGTTTTGTGTCAGATTTTGTCTCCTTGATGATTTCCTCGACGGATTTTCCGTGACATTCGAGCCATTTCAGGGCATAAGATGGCCTATTGACCGTTTCGAATGATAAATATGTGATTTCATTGTTCTTGGCTGCAAGTTCCCGTATAAGATAATGAGCTGATTGTGCTAGCGAGTCCAATATTAGCAAGAAGGGAGAGTTCTCCTTGAGCGAAAGTATGCGATTTAGTATCACTAGCGAATTCTGGTTCATGTTTGTAGCTGGTCTCATCTCATCGGAGCCATCGCCAATTTCGCGCGCACGACAATCACTAGTTAAGATAGTTAACAGCATACTTATAAGCGTTTTAAACTCCAAAGAATCATGCCAAAGCGAACGTTGGCAGCAGATTACACCATACCACAGGCTTTGGAAGCCGATTTAAGACGAGAAGATGAAAAAACTTTTGTGGATACCCCACAACTCAAGGATACTTTAAAGCAAGACCGATATCAAAATCGTCGATTTGATCGTAAAATCGACATGCAAATGGACCGTATAGAAACTTACAGAGACCGCATGGAAGTAAATGACCTTGAAAGAGAAGAGAAACGGGTACAAGGAATACTAGATGAACAATCTGCTTCTACACAAAAGATGATACTACCTCGCCAACGAAAAATACGATGGGATGTGACTCCAGAACAATACGAAGCACGAAAGAAGGAGGAAGAGCAGAGAATAGGTGAAGACGAACATCCGTCTGACCAAGAAAAGGCCCTAATTGCAAATGTTCCCATTATTGGTGGTGTTCCATTGACTGATGAGGTACTCGATTTAATTCTTCCCTCAGGCTATGTTGCTGTTAAACCACCCAAAGACTACCAGCAGGACAAGAGCATTGCCGTGGACATCAATGGGGATGCTGGGTACTATATTCCTCCCTCGGATGGCCAGCAGGACCGCAAGCAGGCACTTGAGTCTCTACCTCCCAAAGAGTTGGCTGATGGTCTCGAATACTTTAAAGAGGAAGATATGAAGCATTTTGGTAAGCTCACTCAAGCTGGAACAGAGGCTACAGCAGAGGAGAGAAAAGATACTCAGGCTATGAAGCTTATTCTTAAGATAAAAAATGGTAATCCTCAGGTACGAAAGAAATCGATGAGACAAATTTCTGAAAATGCAACCTACTTTGGTCCCAAGATTCTTTTTAGCAAAATCTTGCCAATAATTGTTGAACCAAATTTGGAAGACCATGAGAGGCATGTTCTCGTTAAAGTTATAGGGAGAATATTGCAGAGATTGGGCTCAACCGTTCGTCCTTTCACATTCAAGATAGTTGTGCTGATATCAACACTATTGATCGAAGAAGATTTTACCACAAGGATGGAAGCTAGGGAAATCCTTGTCACATTAACCAAAGCAGTTGGACTTGCAAATATGATTTCAACTGTGAGACCGGATCTTGATCATGTCGACGAGTACGTTCGAAATTTAGCATCCAGGGTATTTGCAATAGTAGCCTATACATCTGGTCTTGCTCAGTTCCTTCCATTTTTACGAGCCGTGATAAAATCTAAAAAGAACTGGATGGCAAGACACACGGGAATGAAGATTGTCCAACAATTATGTATCATACTTGGTGGTGGAAATGGAGCTGCAATTCTCCCATATTTGTCTCAACTAGTGAACGCAATCACTCCCGGATTAACTGATGAGAATCTAAGCGTTCGAAGCATCACCGCCCTCACATTAGCACAACTTGCCGAAAACGTGAAACCCTACGGTATTGAGTACTTTGAACCAGCCTTGGAACCTGCTTGGCTGGGTCTCCGTAAGCATAGAGGAAAGGGCCTTGCAAGTTTTTTGAGATGTATATCCTCGATCATTGCGTTGATGACGTTCGACCCCAATTACGAAGAATACTCAAACTACTACACAAAAGAGATTATGCGAATCATTGTTCGAGAATTCAATTCTCCTGATGAGGATATGAGGAAGTCGATTCTCCGGATCATGATCGCACTTCCTTTGTCAAGGCAGCTCATTCCAAAATACAACACAGAAATAATCGAACCATTCTTGAAATTTTTTTGGAACAGAAAAACAGCAAGTGATTCAAAGACACTAGGAAGATTTGTTATTGATGCTACCTGTCTGTTGGCAACAAAGTTTGATTTCTTGGATATGTTGGAGAACATTGTGATTTATACCAAAGATGAAAACGAAAATTTACGAATCATGAGCATGGGTGCTATCAGTAAGATGATATCATCTGACCCCGAAGAGTTACTTGGAATCGATTCCCAGTTGGAAGTACAACTAGTCGATGGTGTCCTTTACGCTTTTCAGGAACAATCTGTGCAGCCTAAAATTTATCTTGAATCATTTGGAGCCGTTGCCCTAGCCTTGGGTTCTCGACTTCGTCCTCACATCAATTCCATTACAAGTACAATTTTGTTCAGGTTGAAAAACAAACTTCCTGAAATAAGAGAGCAAGCATCTGATTTGATAACGATCATTGCTCCAGTCATTAAAGACTGTTCTGATGGAGATTTGATTTTGAAGTTGATTTTGATTTTGTATGAATCTCTAGGCGAGGTTTACCCCGATGTGTTGGGTTCAATACTTAATGCTCTTTACCTGTGCATCCTGTGCATGGAAGAAGCAGCAATATACTCAATGTCCAATCCATCATTGAATCAGCTCTTGCCCACTTTATCACCAATCATGAGGAATAGGCAAGAGAAAGTTCAAGAAGCTTGTATCAAGCTTGTTGGGTTGATTGCAACTAAGAATGCGGAAACAATCAATGCCAAAGAGTGGATGCGTATCTGTTTTGAGCTCTTGGATATGCTCAAAAGTCAAAAGAAGAAAATACGGGTAGCCGCCAATGAAACGTTTGGTCATATTTCGAAAACAATTGGTCCACAAGACATTATTGTTATGCTCCTTAATAACCTTAAAGTTCAGGAGCGGCAGCTCAGGGTTTGTACAGCGGTTGCTATCGGGATAGTGGCCGAAACCTGTGGCCCATTCACTGTTTTACCAGCATTGATGAACGAATACAGAACTCCAGATAATAATGTTCAAAATGGTGTGTTGAAAGCATTGAGTTTTTTGTTTGAATACATCGATGGTAACATGACAAAAGACTATCTATTTGCTATCACACCTTTGTTGGAAGATGCCTTAACTGATAGGGATCAGGTACATCGACAAACGGCTGCATCAGTCGTCAAGCATATGGCTCTAAACTGTATTGGTCGCACCAACGATGGGTACTATGATGTTTTCATGCATCTTCTCAATCTTGTTGTACCCAATATCCTCGAGAGCTCACCACATGTCATTAGTCGTGTGTTAGAAAGTATGGATGGTTTAAGGTGTGTGTTGGGGGTGGGTAGTTTTGCCAATTACCTTTGGGCAGGTTTATACCATCCAGCAAGAAAAGTTCGAGAACCATATTGGAAACTTTACAATAGTGCCTACATGCAAAATAGGGATGCTCTTGTTCCATATTATCCTTCCTTGAACAATATTGATGGCTATGAAATCCCCGAATTAAATATTACCATATAGATCAATTAGCATTCGGCTTGTGACGTAATTCCATAGAACACACTCAGATTCTCACAATCACCGTACGATTCCTGACTATAAGGCACTTCTTCTCGCACACACAGCAATGAGGCAACCGGTTCTGGCTCAGCCATGTACATTTGCCGCACATACTGGGTAATTTTTCGTGCTTGGAACTCCACAACATCGTCTGTGAAGTCAGTAAGCAGACTATTTGAAGAGGTGTCATCATCGGTGCATCCAGGATAACATTCCAGAAAACAAATGTTATCTTCATAGGCTAAAATTATCGGGACATTTTTCATCCACTCTACCACTTTCACTTTGGCAGGAACAGAAACTGCTTTCCGGCTATCACCAAGTTCATTCAAATTTGAACCAGAATTAAAGACTCCAATCATATGTTCTTTATCTCCAGGAAATACGATTCTTCCTCCACAAAACTCCTCTCTTCTCAGAGGAGATAATGTTACCACGGTGAATTGGTGTCCTGAAGTGACATTTGAAGGCGAGCTGTTATTTGGTCTCTGGGGGAGATTGGGGGGCGATAGAACCTCTTTACGATCTGCCATTTCAGCCTTTTAACTAACACAGATGCTAAGGTACAAATGGCTGCGAAATCGAACAGTTTGCGGCACATACACATTATGCAGGTACATTAACAGACGGTGATAAAAAAACGTATATCCATAATCTATAATAGTGGCTGGAAATTAGGCTGGAGTGGAGGTGTACCTTCTTTCTTCGACAAGAAAGGAAATGCTTGGTTGTCAGGTGGTTGACTTATGATTTTCCCTACTGGTGGAAGTACAATAGGGTTCTGAACATTTGGTGATATGGTTGATGTGAGCTCAGAAATGGGAACCGCTTTGGAGTCTTGAATGTAGAGTTCTAATTCGATTCTCTCATCCTTTTTGAATATCATTTCTAGGGTGGAGTCAGAGTTAATGATTTTTCCATCTCTCATATTTCTCAACCCCAAGACTCTTGTGTCCCCCAAATGCGTTATATGAAATGCCGTTCGACCATTATCTAAAAGCTCTATTAATCGAGGCACGGCAGAGGTTGTGGCTGGGTACGAGAACGCTAGGACTGTGTTCATGTACCTCAAAGTAACAGCCTTTTTATTTTTCTTGTCGTCATCGGTGGATGGTGAGGACCGTTTCCTATCATCTTGCAAATTTGTAGCAATTGTTGCTAACGAGTCAAGATGTGTTGTTGAGCCCGCAGCTACAGGAGTGATATTACCAGAAGTCTGTCCTGGCTTTTTGGTTAGTAATGGATAACTTTGAATTACGGCGCTGTGTAGACAGTCACTGAGTACCATCATAACCTGACCGAATCCAAAGTCTTTGATGCAGCCTCCAATCAAGGTATGCAACGAGATCACAGCCACCTCGTCGTCACAAGATGCTTGCAGAGGGTCGAGGTCCCGATAAAGCGTGGCTAAGAACAGAGGAGAGGTGATTCTTGTGTTCAAGTATTCCACCGATGCCAGGCTGGTATCGCTTAAAGAAGTCTCGAAAATATACGAGACACAGCATTGGATAGCACTCCGTCCTAGATTTTCTAGGTTAGAACCTTGGGCGACCGTCGAATCAGCACAAGTTTTCGATCGTTCGATGAAACCAAGGAGAGCAGCATAAGTTGAGTTTCCTTGAAAACTGCTATTTCGGGCCGTTAACGGAGGTAAAGTCCGAGGATGCAACTTTGTCTGCTTCGGTTGAATGATAGAATCGATCACTGCCCGAGACTTGTCATGCAGAGTGAACCGCCGACTTCTGTTGTATCCATCCATATCATCCTGTGAATCGGAATGAAGACGAGCTATCTCAGACACAAAACGAAGGCTCGACATATCTTCGTCAGTAGAATATGAGGGGGTTGCGATAGTTGACAATACCTGTTCGGGAGATGGAGACTCATGATACTCCGAAAGCGAAACTGAACTAGCAGTTTTGAGTTTTTTCTTTCGGGAGCTGGCGTTATTGGTTTGCTTTAAGGATCGTTTTCGATTTCGTCTCACGCTCTGAATGGCAGCACGTACAAGCCTATCGAAATCCTGGATGTACTCCGGACCGTAATTGAACTCGAGCCGAAGGGTTTCCGCTACTCGTTTGATTTCCGATTCCTGCTCTGAAGCCTTGCGGCAGCTGAGATCCAAAGCATCGATCAACTCGAGCCTCCGAGCGGAAAACCGTTTCCAGAGCGTGTCGTCGAAAAAGTTGAGTTTTGTTCGTATATAGTGAGTAACTCCGACTCTTCGGTGAAGATCTTCGGACTCTCCAAGATGACTCAGAGTCATCATTTCTTTCTTTACAAAGAGCCACTGAGGAAATCAAATTGTAACTGTGGTAGCGTCAGGAGTTCATAAGATACCAACTAAAGAAAACCCAAATTTTGCCGTGGGCAAATAAGTAAGCGAGTGTGATGTCTGTTCCAAAGGTGACTCCTCAACGAGTCATGATTAACTAAGCAGAATTACTCATTAGCTCAGCAGGTCGGGAAGCTCCTTCGCACAGGCGTGCGCACACCAATGACTCAACAAGGCAATGGGCGCTAACCGCGCTGTGTTATCGGTGCGGAAACTATATAAGCGCACCAAATTTTTCAATTAATTTCTCACCGCATTTTTTAAGTTTGAAAAAGATGTCTAAAGGAAAAGTTTGTTTGGCATACTCTGGTGGCTTAGATACCTCCGTTATCTTGGCATGGTTATTGGAACAAGGCTATGAAGTCATTGCTTTCTTGGCAAATATTGGTCAAGAAGAAGACTTTGAAGCTGCCGAGAAAAAGGCATTGGCCATTGGTGCTACCAAATTTGTGGTAGTTGATGTGAGAAAGGAGTTTGTTGAGAGCGTTTGTTTCCCAGCTATTCAGGCCAATGCTATCTATGAGAACGTTTACTTGTTGGGAACTTCGTTGGCTAGACCAGTGATTGCCCAAGCTCAGATCAAGGTGGCAGAAGAGAACGATTGTTTTGCAGTATCTCATGGATGCACAGGTAAAGGTAATGACCAGGTCAGATTCGAGTTGTCGTTCTACGCTTTGAAACCTGACGTGGTTGTCATTGCACCATGGAGAGATCCTGAGTTTTTCAACAGATTTGCTGGTAGAAAGGCATTGTTGGAGTACGCTGAATCGAAGAACATTCCCGTGGCTCAAACCAAAGCCAAGCCATGGTCTACTGACGAAAACTTGGCTCACATTTCCTTCGAAGCTGGTATTTTGGAAAACCCTGATACTACTCCTCCAAAGGATATGTGGAAGTTGACGGTAGACCCTACCGATGCACCAGACACTCCAGAAGATTTTTCCGTGGTGTTTGAAAAAGGATTGCCAGTCAAGTTGGTGTTGGACGGCGGAAAGAAGGTTGTCACTGATCCTGTTGAATTGTTCCTCGAGGCTAATGCCTTGGCTAGAAGAAACGGTGTCGGCAGAATTGACATTGTGGAAAACAGATTCATTGGTATCAAGTCCAGAGGATGTTACGAAACTCCAGGTTTGACTATCTTGAGATCTACTCATATTGACTTGGAAGGTTTGACCTTGGACCGTGAGGTTCGTGCTATCAGAGACCAATTTGTCACTGTCACATACTCCAAGTTGTTATACAATGGTATGTACTTCACTCCAGAATGTGAGTACGTTCGTGATATGATCGCTCCTTCGCAAAAGACCGTCAATGGTACCGTCAGAGCTAGATGCTACAAGGGCTCATTGACCATCTTGGGTAGATCGTCCGACACGGAAAAATTGTACGATGAGACTGAATCTTCTATGGATGAGTTGACCGGATTTTCTCCTGAAGATACTTCTGGTTTCATTGCCGTGCAATCGATTAGAATCAAAAAGTATGGAGAATCTGTTAGAGAAAAGGGTAAAAAATTGGACCTTTAGTTACGTTATACATATAAATAATATCATTAGTTCAGGTTTCTGAGAAGCGAATCATTCTCGTCGTCGGCAACGTCAAAGATTGACTCATGCATATCATATTTCTCGCCAACTAATTGCTTGACGATTAACATCACCTCATCAAACCGCTTGTAAATCAAGTGTCCAATTATAAGCGCCACAATGTCAAGTTGACCATCTGCACTGAAGAGTGCATTGAAGTCTATGTTTTCCATCAATGAATCATGCAATACATCAGAATCACCTTCATTTTCCTTCTCTTTCTCCTCTGAGTAAAACCTTTCGTTAAGTGAAAATCGAGTGATTCCCCACTGGGAACGAAGCAAGTCAAGATGTTTCAACGAGATATTTGCTCTGGTAAACTTGGGCAATTCTCGCTTACTGCTCAAGGAGCCAGAAGTCATATGTGCCACAGCAAACAAATCAGCACATAGTTCGGTGTCAGTCCAGCCTATTCTTCGGAGCATATGAGGAATCCATGTAGCAGGATCTTCTACCCTGTTGAATATGGACAATAAAATGAAATATAGCTGGATAATATCAGTCACTGCATTCTGTAATCTCTTGTAGAGTTTTTCTGGCCAGATTCCCGTCAATGGAACCTCAAATTGAATGGGTGTCATTAAATGGGAAATACCGGCCAAGATTATCAATACGGATCGAAATTTCTCCACGGTTAGATCATGGCGGTCCAACAAATGCACCTGGGAGTTCTCGACACGATTCAATGCAAAATTGGAGACAGCGCAATGGAGATTAGCAGATTCACTTAAAACCTTTGCAAGAATTTTGCGAATTGCAACTTTACTTGTAGATGGCTTGGGAATGATACTGGCAAGGAATCCAACACATAATCCGATGATGACACTAATAAATCTCAACCATGCGACATGGAAACCATAGCCAACATTTGCTAGATGGTTATATTGTCCGTCGACCCAACTTGTTCCCATTACCAAGGAACAAGTCACCGCAAACAAAATCGCTGGTACTAATGCTCGGTGGGAAGAGAAATGACGATAGTAGGTGAGATACAAGTATCCAACGGCAGTGACGGCACTATAACCATAATAGTTTCCTCTTCCATTTCCAGTGGAGATGTACCACATAACCATGCCTAACAAGCAGCCAAAGAAGGAGTACACAACCTTGCAGTAAAACACATAGATTGTTTCCCCAGTGTATTCTGAAGTCGACACTCCACACATAATGACAATCCACACCAAACGATTACCATGATACCAACTAGCCGTTGTTCGACAGAAGAAAGGGGTAGCACAAACGCAGGTTAAGACTCCAGATCGTATCCAAAACCACAAATGCTTGTTCATAAGAAGTTTATAGATCTTGATAGTCTTCGAACCAAAGTAATGAAAAATGGATGTTGGAGCTAACGCATCAGGGTTACGACGCTGAACGCCGGTGTCTATATTTGGAGTTGAAATGTCATCAGGACTCTCATCCATATTCAAATGTGACCTGACTCTAGGTTTGTCTCGCTTGGACTTACCGAAGAAGGTGAAGATTTTTGGAGTAGGAGTCGATTCATCGATAGAAAGGAGGAGATCTACCAAGCGTAAGATCGATTCGGTTTGTTGCTTTGTCACGTACAACAAGAGGCAAGTGTGAGTTATCAAGCTCAACAACACTTCTTCATTTTTTGAAAATTCTTTCACAGCAGCAATTAGTTTGTCAGTTGAACCCAATTCTTTGATGGCAACTAATAGTGTTTGTCTGGTTTCCACCAAAACTTCATTCATTTCCTTTTGCTTTTCCTTGTGAAGTTCCCATTTCTTTGGTAAAAGCGAATAAATTCTGAATTGGTTAGCAGCTTCAATCCATTTTATAATGTCCGCAATTGATTTTGTGTTTGTCTCGAGAAATCGTGTGAAGAGTGTGGAACTAAGCTCTGAGATATGAACGATATCGAGCAAAGTCACCCTATCTTGTGGGTCAACATTACATATTCTCTTGCGAAGTAAGTTGATTCGCTTCTTGTCCTCATATTCCCCCACTACTCGGTAGTGTTCGTGAACGGTAGCAAAGAGCTTAGAATGGCCATCATCTTCAAATTTGCTAGACCCCACTGAACTCCTTCTCCTTGATAATCCTCGGATGTTGTTGTTAGCCAAATCGACCCTTTCTTCAAACATCTGATAGTACTGTTCAAAACTGGAACTGAAACTGATTACGTTCCGTAGACTTGAACGCATTTCACCGATGGAACCAGCATCAAATCGACCAAACGTTATTTCGTACTTTGAAAGAAGAGCGTCCAAGTCAAGTAGAGGTAGCTTCAGTCGGATCCCAACAATATCACGGGCAAACTTTTTATAATTACCGAAATTTGGTTCTGATGGTTTGCACGAGGACAAGAACCGAGAGTTGCCTTTGCAAGCCTTTTCGAGCGCTTTCAAATGCTTCAATACTCCATCAACATAGCGGAAATTTGACGTGGTTGGAAACACAACCATCAGACATACCACTTTTAAAGCAAGGGCAAGTCCCATTGGTTTCAATACTGCTAGACCCACTTGAAGTGGAAGGAAAACTGGATAAAAGACGTCATAACATACGTTGATAAGCATAGCGATGATACCACATATCATACCTTGACGAAAAGTTGGGTGTATTCTCAGCGAAAGGCCAAAAATTATCATAGACGATAATATGGCAAAGATAAATATCACCGTACATCTCGTTTGTAAATGACGACCAGAGTAGATATCGGCAGCCGTGCAAGCTTCCAAGTTTTCCATAGTACAAATACCTTCTCTGATAAGACTCTCAGCATATTCTTGTGGTGAAGTATTGCCTCTAAGCTTGACTGATATCGCCAAAGCAATAATGCTATGGAGCCATCCAATGAGGATATAAACCATACACATAAAAGACATTGCGAGATTGAATACCATAGAGGTGCCTCCAGAGACAGCAATGAACCCTATGATTTGAAATAAGTATGCAGCAGGACCAACCCAAGTACGAGACCGAGGAACAACGCAGATTATCACCGACGACCATATCTGTACCCAGGTTCGAAACACCACTTTGAACAGTGCATAATCCAAATGCTTGGTGATATACTCAGGTTTGGCCCTATTGAGAAGCTTATGGTAATATGAAGGGGTTGGCTTCTTATCTTCGGAAGTGTAAACACCGGTCTCATCTCCGTCTTCGTAAACGTTGAATGGACCCTCTCGTTCATTTTCTTGAAACTGCAACGGTTCGACTCTCAAAGACGACTCCACAGAACTGGCAAGTGAGCCAGAAGTATCTGAAGACCGTCGAGTCATCGGTGTAGTTTGAAAAGAAAGTTGTTTGAGTGCAAGCCGCATCACTCCGCATTTTTATAGCCAGCTCTTGATGCAGGTCACAATGGTTGTGAAAATTGGGACAATTGGGAGAGAAATTGCGGAATATCCTTGCCTACCGTGGATATAGGGATGCTGGCACGAGCCACCTTGTTTGATTTACTGAGTTCATAGTGCCAGCAGAGATGTTGGTAGAGTTCGTGTATCGCAGTTTGGGCCGAGCCGTTGTCGGCTATCGGGTCGCGCGGCTCACCAACAATAGAGTCGTCGTCAGAATGTTGTTTTAAGGGTCCAGGTAGTAAGTTGGTGGGAGAATGGAACACCAAGTGTGCTGCTGCGAGCCAGAGTACTCGGTTGAACTGGGGAAACCGAAATTTGGGCGGGACTTTTGTGGACCGTTCAATTTGGTTGATGCGGACTTGGGTAGCGAGATTCATGAACGTAAGAAAGTTGCCGCCAATGACTATGGAATCGACTGGCGTGTGGACGGCGTGGATCCAGCCACTGGGGATGATGAAAAGGTCGCCCGGCGATAATGTGACGGCAAAACCTCCGGTTGCAAATGACAGTTTTCCTCGAGATTTGCGGCCAATTGTGTACTCAGGAAACCACATAAAGTTCTGGTGTTCCTCTAAGCACCACGACTCGTACAACTGGAGATTGTGCTCCGTGGGAGGAAACATGAGGAACGTTTTCGAACCAGAACACACGGTGTAGTAGACCGAAGTACCACCAAAATCGATGTGAAAGTCGGTGTATGAGCCCAGAACCGACATCAAGCAGTACTTGGACACCTGGGGCTTCTCACCCAGGACGTCGTCGTTCCAAACCGTGTCCAAAATGTCGAGATCACGCACCATTTGCGGCCGTACAAAGTCTCGACCTAGACCTTCAACCTGCGATATTTCCAATGAAATAACATTACGGATCCGGTCTCGGTCACTTTTTTCGGTTTTGAAGTAGTCACGCCAGCGTCCCATGGTCCACCCACCACTTCCCTGCTGAGAAAGTACGTCCATCACTTCGACTGGCTCATCGTCGCCAACGCATTCGGCAATGTAATCAATGGTGATATCGGTGGGGTTTTGAGGAAACTTCATGCCTCCTATACCTCGACTAGCGGCTCGTGGAACGAGTACGGGCTTCGTAAGACGCGTGCGTAACGCATAATCAGCCGTAAGCTCATCAGTGATGTCGATGCAAGAAGCGTCTGGGGTATACTGTAAAAATTTATGAAGGTGTGGATGCACTTCCTTATCCACAGCAAACACCTCGCCTTGGTCGAGTGCTATGTAGTCGATTTTGGTCTTTGTACGCTTCAGTTTTCGCCTTTGAACCAGCGGGCCATGGTCGCGTGCACACTCCACACAATGGTACGAATGTAAGTCTTTCACGTCTGAGGCCAGAAGTCGAACACAGGGTGTGTGGAACCAATCGAGACATATGTCACACTGTATCCAATCGTCGCTTTCGTTTTTATTGTTGCAAATGGTACATTTGTCACTCATATGTCTGTAGTTAAATTGCACGATCTTGTAGTTGGTGCAGGAGATACGAAAATTGGTGGTGCAGGAGATAGAGTTTCTATATTCAGGGTTGATCAAAATAAGTTAGCAAGTTACTTGTCGCCAAATAAAGACCAGATTTTGTCAGCTGACCATGATAATTACATCCAGGGCCACTTTCAGGCCTCGAAACATGGCGTTTGTACCGCTTTTAAATCGAGCTTGTCGGTTCCAGCTGACATCGTCTCAGCAAGAAATGTTTTTAAAGGAGTACAAAATTCGATCCCTGCTTGAAAGATTGGTTCATCACTACTCCGAGAAACAACTTCCCCAATTTTCGCTTCGCCGACTCTACGACCAGTCTACAAAACTCGACCACAACTACATTCTCCAGAATGCTCGTGATACAATTGAATGGCTAATTATATACAACGCCAGACGGCTCAGCGACTTTAGGCGACTCCCGTACTTGGTGATCCTCAATCCGTCGATATCTGAATGCTACAGCTCATATCTTCACACCATGTCGTCGCTTATCACGGCGTCGCTAGATGCCCCAACCACCGCTCAAGACAACGAAAAGTTTGTGGAAACTCTAGAAGACTTTATCGAGGTACACGCAGATACGTTGCCAGTGCTTTCCAAGGGGTTCACCGAGGTTTTGCATTTGATATCTCAGGAACAAGTGACTCATTTTCTCGATAATCATCTTCGTGAACGAATCGTGATGAGACTCATTGCTCACCAACACGTCCAACTCACGAAAACTCTCTGTAGCGACGAGTACGTTCCTGGAGGGAAGTTCAATGGGGTTATCAGACAACTCAATATTGCTGATGTGATAACCAAGAATGCCGAGCTCGTCAATGATATATGCTTGATGAAGTACGACCAGTCCGTTCCCATTACCATAGATACCAACATGTATCCCCCAGCATTCTGGAGCCGTCAGGACCCTCATGACTCTCCCAGAAACAAAGGAGACCCCAATATGTTTCCTTATATCGAATACCATTTGGATTACATACTTATGGAAATTTTCAAAAACTCATTCAGAGCCCATATCGAAAATGGTGTTTCTGACCCGGTCCAGGTGACTATTCTGACATCCGAGTCGCCGTCCTACTTGGAGCTTAGAATCCGCGATAAGGGAAAGGGCATTCCTCCCAATATTCTCAGCCATATATTCGACTATTCATTCTCAACCTACGAGTCTGGAGAAGGTGATAGCTACAAAACACTCAATGTGCCACCAGGAGCAGCTGGAAATACTGTGGCGGGTATGGGATATGGACTTCCGTTGCTGAAGAATTATGTGGAGATTTTCAACAAGACTGAAGGGTCAAAAATTATGGGCCTGTTAACTATGCAAAGCTACTTGGGATGGGGCACCGACGTTTATTTGAAGACTGTTGGAACGGAGTAGCAACTACGGAAACTACAGAAGTAGAGCTAAACCACAAAGCAAACTACAAGATTGAACGATTGTCCGATTGATTATGCCCTACATTCCTACTTCTTCTTTGCAAACAAAGGCTCTCCAATGCCCTTTCCTCTCAACTTGACACCCAATGCACGCTCCATCTTGGCTAAAAGCTGCTGGTTTGGCACGGCACGGCCGGCTTCATAGTCATTCACCACATTGGGTTTCTCATTGATCTTGGTAGCCAAATCCTTTTGTGTGAGTTTCTTTTCTTGTCTGGCTTGTTGGATCGCCTTTCCGACACTGGCTTCCACCTTCTTGGTGGGAACAACATCATCAACAGCGTCAATCTTGGTCAATCTTTGTCCTTCGGGGTTGCTTTTGGTGTTGGTACTTCCGTATTTCTTTTCGGTACCAACCACTCCACCAGCTCTGCGAGCAGCATTTAACTCAGCTGCGGTCTTAGCAACGGTCTGTCTGGGTCCGCCACCCCCGACTCTGGTTTTCGAACCAATATACGTAACTTGGTCCCAATCGTTCGACATGATGTAATGAAGAATGCGATCGCAGGTTACTCATATTGCGACGGCGGCACACGACCGACGAAAGTTCTAGAAGAGAAAGTTATCTGGGGGTTAAATGTTAACCAAAATGAATGGATAAGAACAGGCTTCAAGTAAGAGCATAACTAAACGTTCAATGAGTCAAGTGGTGAGCAATAATTATAGTCATTAACATCCGTTCCTGAAATTGGTAGGTATTTTTCAAAATCTTCAAATTGGTTCAGAATGAGATAGATTTCTTTAAGTTTGCTGACCTTTTACTGCTCTCATCTCACTTTCTCGCTCTTCTCTCGCTTTTCTCTTGCTTTCAGCCTCCATTTGTAGTTCTCCGAAATTTGCACCCATGCACCGGGCCCTTCTTAAGTTGCGACTCGATCGTTTCTTCTACAATGGTGGCCATTACTGTAAAGTCTCGGTCGAGATCCATCAAGGATTTTGAGACGGATCTTGTTGCTAAGAACAATGTCAGTGTGTTGGTTGATCAATTGAGTGAAAAAAACAAAATCAAGGCAAATAGATTGCGGATCACCACCTTGGATGACAAAGGCAAACACGTCCCTTTGAATAAGGAAACTTCTTTTGGAGCCAATGGGATTTCTGGAAAAACCGCAACTTTGTATGTGAAAGACTTAGGTCCTCAGTTGGGGTGGAGAACTGTTTACATATTGGAATATCTTGGACCACTTATTTTCCATCCTCTTTGGTATTTGTTGGCACCTAACATTTGGGGTGATTTTCACTATACTCAGACACAAACGTTTGCTTTAATTCTTGCAACGTTGCACTTTATCAAGCGTGAGTACGAAACGATTTATGTTCACCATTTCTCCAACGATACCATGCCTGCTTTCAACTTGTTTAAGAACTCGAGTCACTACTGGTTTTTGTCGGGAACCAACATTGCCTTGAGTATTTACCATCCCAAGGTTCAATCTAAGGAGACCTGGAAGCGTTTGCTTTTGCACGTAAACGACCACAACCCCCCAATGGTTTATGCGTTGGCGTTGATTTGGCTTCTTGCCGAGTCTAGCAACTACGTCGCCCACCAGACATTAAGCAAGTTGAGACTGGAACCTGGAGCAACCAAGAGGTACACCATTCCATTTGGGTTTGGGTTCACATGGGTCTCGTGTCCCCACTACTTTTTTGAGTCGGTTTCATGGTTGGCATACGCACTTTTAGTTGGAAACTGGACCACCTGGGTATTCTGGGCCGTCGCAACCGGCCAGATGTACTTGTGGGCAGTACAGAGACATAAGAAGTATTTGCGGACGTTTGGCGACGAGTACAAGAAACTCAGAAGAAAGATAATTGTTCCTGGTCTTATTTGATACTACTGTTAATTTAGCTATTTCTTGAACTTGAGTGAAATACTGTTCACACAGTGTCTGGCATCGGTCGGGGTATTGTATCCCTCGCCTCTGAAAATGTGCCCAAGATGTCCATCGCATTTGGCACACCTCATCTCTTCTCTTACCATTCCATGACTTTGGTCTTTCAATGTAGTGATGGCACCTGGAATCGCCTCATAAAAAGCCGGCCATCCGCAGTGCGACTTGAATTTCGTTTTCGCCAGGTAAAGCGGCAGCTGGCACCCAGCACACACATAGGTCCCTTCAGACAGTGGGGTATCTGTATATTCTCCACTATGGGGCATCTCAGTTCCCTGCTGTCTGAGCACTCTAAATTGCTCCGGTGAGAGCACCGCTCGCCATTCTTCGTCTGTCTTGGGAATACTCATAACTAGCGATGTATTGAAGGTTCTGCGATTTATATATGTTAATGGTCGTACAGATCGGGCGAAGTACTTGAGCATGATCAATTGGCAAGTTTCTGTACAGTCGTTGCGGCGGACAGGCGATGAGCCGCACCATCGGTAAAGATGTTTGATTTCTAAGCTATCTCATGAAGTAGTTGTATTTTCCCTTTTGGTCACGCAACTCCCACATAATTTCTATATCCACCTCACGGGGATTCTTGCTGTTGGGACGCGATGCGATTTGACCCTTAATGACGTCGTTTTTCTTGACATCGAGCACCTGATCCATATACATAACCGTCTGTTTCCAGTGGGTGTATGGGCTCATTGGCCCAGTCGAAAGGGTAACGGTTTCGTCGCCGGGGAAATCACAGTCAAACCACACAATGTAGGCATGACAAAGGTCGGTGTCAATGGCACGAAGCTCGAATTGCCGTTGGAAACTCAATCCCTCTTTGGTGACGGTATTGATATCAAACTCAAAAAATTTGTATGGTTCAGTAACTAACAGCTTGTTGTCAACGGTGTCGACCAATGGCTCGGCCATGGCCACTTCGATGAAGGGCGAGTAGTCAAACCCATAAACATCTTCCCAAAAGTGGATTTTCTCATCCTTGTACTGACCATCTTCAATTCCTGCAATGTACATGGAACACTTGTCTGGTAAGATTAATCCTCCTTCCACCAAGTATTTGTCACGAGCATACAACACAGTATCCAACATGGATTCGTACAACAAAAAGTATCCCATCCACTCGGAAACGATAATGTCAACTTTGTCTACGGGCAATTCAATGTCCTCCAATTTACCTTGAAGTAATGTAATTTGGCCCTCAAATCCATTGAGGTTGACGATCTCACGAGCCTTCTCAATGATGTTAGACATGTCCACAGCATACACATGCTTGGCGCCGGCCTTCGCAGCAAACATCGAGAGAATTCCCGTTCCGCAACCAACGTCCAACACCACCTTGTCTTTGAACAAATGTCTGTTCTTGAACATGGCACTTCTGTACGACAACGTTCTCGAAGTATCTTTCAACATTTCCTCATGGATACCAAAATGGTCATACGAGGAGAAATAATGCTGCTCGGTGAACGCTAAAGTGGCCTTGTCTGTCGCAGAAGCGGCATTGGCGGCCTGAGATGGCCCACGAGCTGATGACATTATCTTGCAAAATCGCGATGAGGGCACAAATAAACCTCATCGCCCACCACTACATGCAGTACCACCACCAAATTACTTACTGGCCATAGCCTCGAGGGTCACGGCTGCAAATTCGACACTTTGGTCAACGCAGAAGCTGTGGGAAATATCAGGAAGCGTTTCCACTTGGAAACGGACATTTTTCTGACTGTACTCGAGAATCGAGGCTCGGGTACTGTCTGCGACCCAATGGTCGGTCGCTGCAAAGAAACCCCAAATCAGACACTTTTTCAGAAAGGTGTTGAAAAACCAATCTTGTAAGGGCCTGTCGTGTTTAATTTGGTCCATTTCTTCCATTGCCATCTCGAGAGCTTGTTTAATAAGGCGTGGTGACGAAAATAATTTCCAGCATGCTTCAATGGCATATCTATAGCCCTCTTCAGATTTACCTTTTTTGACTGTTGCTTGCACCAATCCTCGAGCAAGAGATGTGGGAAGTACCAGCCTCAAAAAGCTAGCAACGGCAACTACCGGTTGCACTACAGGTACTTTTGCCCTAATTCGTGTGACTAGCTCACCTGAGCCGCTGCTCGCTATGTCCATGATAGTAGGACATATAAGTCCGGCGAAACGAAAGTCAATCTTGGGGTTGTCCGAGAGTCTCTTGGCAACATTTTGGAGAACATATGCTCCCATAGAATGTGCTAATAAGTATATTGGAACTTTTTCATGGTTGGACTTTTCTGCAATTTGAGTTATGAAATCACATTTGTGCTGTATTTGGTAGCTCAATGGATAGTATTCCACAGTAGAATCAAGCGGTTCTGTAGTAGAAAACCCGGCGTGCGATACAGCATATATTTCTAACTCGGGTCTATGCTTTTGAATTTCATCAAGGTAGGTGATGTAGAACTCTACAAGTCCCGGATTTCCAGGTATAAGTATAAGCACCCCTTCTTGATCTTTTAAGGCTGGTCGATGCAACACGGTGGTATGCGGAAGCCCTTGGTATGTACTAAGACTATCCATGATTAATAGGAGGGCAACGGTGTAGTTGCGATCGTTTTCGCACGATTTTATTTTTTCACAGCTATAATCTCACCTTCATGCCATTATAGCTGCCTAATTGCTATTGTAGATCAAACGAGTACTTGTTGGTTACAGGAGCTTCCAGCAAATCGTCAGACTTGTGCAAGTTGCGCTCGCAATAAAACAACTTTCCATCACGGCGTAACAAAATGACTGTTTGAGTCCTTGTGCCATAATACCTTCCGATGGTTCTGGAGCTACGATTGGCATCACTTACCTCGCCAGTTTCGATGGGAGGAATAAAGATTGAGTTCTGCAACTCCTTGAACTTTTTGGCTGTCTCCTTTCCTTGGCGTACTTCCTCACTGTAGGTATTATGACTCAAAACTTCAAAGCATTGATCCACGAAATATTCCATACTGCTCCCCTCCGCTACCGATCTTTCAACTGCCAGCAGCAAAAGTTTCCTCCCCAACTCCACCTTCTTCCATGGGTTATAGTACAAGGAGTTTGAGAGCCCAAAAGTGGTCTGGCTCGATATTTCTTCACGATTTGTAAACCGCAATTCTGAGCCTGCTACATCAGATCCTCTAGCATGCACCATACCACGGTCACCGCGATTACTTAGAATGTGTAGAGGCTCAATCTGCTTTGACGAAGATAATCTCAAGTGCCCGTACAACAAAGAGAACCCTCCTATTCTTCGCAAACTCACCTCTTTAACTCCAAGTTGGGGAGTGCGCTCAGCTAATGAAACTTCTATATTTTCTAGCCATTCTTCTTCAGATTTTTGTGACATTAGATAGTCAATCGGCAAAATTCCTCGAGAAACCTCGCTTACAATGCCTTTGTTAGTTGGTGTCAAGATTGTGGACAAAAAGGGTGGAAGGTGTACTTACTACTTTCATCATCCTCCCTATAATTCACCAAAACAGCTATCTTTCCCTTGCTGGAAATTCCGATCCAGGTTCCGTGTTCTGGACGACCTAGGTCGAGCGGCGAAACTATATCGAAGCCATCATAAGATCTTAGATTAGCCGGTTCTGTGGGTCGCCGATAGTACTCGTCACGGTTGGAGAGTAGCACGAAAAGGATATTCAGGATGCTCTGTAGACGAGAGAAGGATGCACATTTGAGCTGTACGTGGTATCCGCCAGCTGTGACCAAAAAAATTGGGTCACAATCGTGCAAAATCTTAGCGTGGGGTAACATCCAAACACCGCATATCAATAGCTAAGTGGCTAGCAGAAAAAATAATGCGAGACTTTATCCCATAAGTTGGGCCAAGCTGACACAAGATCCCGAAAAGGAGAACGTACCCTCTGAAGAGGCACCCTTGAGCTGATTAGGGTTCAAAGGGTTCATGGCTTCATCGATTTCAAGGTTATTTGTGTGATCGGTTCTAGGACTTTGGCAAGCAATTTGACTCTCATCCACCTCAATGTCGTAGGGTCCCAAGTTTTCCTTATTATTTCCCAGATCCATGTATCCATAGTTATCCATGTCTGCCTCAAGATCTGGTGGCACCTTGTAAAAGTCGTATGTTTCAATGGGTGAAATGTTGGAATGATCAACACTCTCTTTTGCAGTCGCTGACAACAAAGAAACATTTCCTGATCTTTTGAAAAGAGACGTCTCCATCGCTTTCTTCTCGGGTGTATACATAAAGTATGACTGATCATAGAGCTCACTCGCGATGGGTCTGGTTTCTGGATTCCATCTTAAGCAAATTCGAATCATGTCGCACAAAAAGGGGTAGCTATGGGGTATGAATTCATCGATTGGAATACCAGTACCTTCAGGAAAGCTGTAGCCGCATTTGCCCGCCAACAACTGCCCCTCAACCCAATATCCACCGACTGGGAATGGTCTTGCTTGAATATTCTTTGGAGGTGCCGGGTTACCAAGGACCTTGAATATTCTCCAAATTTGATCAATTTCGTTTGCGCCTGGAAACAACGGTGTCACTTTTGCAACTTCTGCTGCCACGGTTCCAAATGCCCAGATGTCAACGGGTGTAGAGTGCCATTTTCTACGCAAAAGCATCTCTGGTGCTCTGTACCACCGAGTTGAAATGTAGGTGGTGAAATCCTTGCAATTTTCCACATGACGAGCAAGTCCATAATCAGCAAGCTTCACCATATACTTTTGGTCACGGCTACCTGGAGGAACAGAATCAATCCCTCCGTAATACTGCAGCATTGAAGAAATGAGAATATTTTGTGGTTTGATGTCGCGGTGGAAATAGCCGTGGTCATGGATATGAGAAATAGCCGAAAGAAGTTGCCAAAGTATCGACCGCACAGTACTAGCGGTGAAGCGCTTGCCACCTCTGCTTCTCATGAGGCCGTACAAGGTTTGATCCATGCATTCCATGGAAAAGTGAAGACAGTACTGTGATGTATCGATAAACACTTCGTAGATGTGAAGAAGGTTTATGTGCGCCGGCATTGCCTGGATAAATTGCACCTCCTTAACTCGAGTGTAATGTTCGAGTTTTGGGAGTCTTGCATTCATGGTTTTGATAGCTACCAAAGGGGACAAATTCACGTTAGAGCCATCACCAACGTCCGTGAGCGTACCTCTCTTTGCCAGCTGCAAAAGGTTCGACTTGTCATGGCGATACTTGGCTAAGCGGACTATTCCAAAACCACCGTCCCCGAGTCTGCTGATCATTTTATAGTCATTTTCGAGGGATTTCAAAGGAATAGTTGGAGGAGGTTTATTGACGTCAGGAGGAGTTTTGTCGTGCAAGTTTGAACGCTGTGGTAACATTTTTGATGGTTTCCACATTTCAGTGATTCCCATTGCCGTATGTGAAAACATGAACAAAACAATCACTTGTTCAAGTGCGTTTGTGAGGAGCGAGAGTCCCACATAATTTTTTGCAACCATCCCAGGCGATCGGCGGCGCGCACCATGCAGGAGCAGCCCCGCCTGGACAAATTTGCAGCCAATTCAGGGAAGATGTATATTACTACAGCTCTATATATTATACACTAACGTAGTCGTTGTTGTCCTCTAGGTCATCCGAGTCGCTTTCCAAGTTGATCATGAACTTATTATCTTGTTTTGGTTCTTTTTCATCGACATACATATCGTATAATCCATTTGTGGTGACGAAGAGTTGCAGAGGATCAACGGTAAAACTACTTATTGTAGGTTTTTCGTTGTCAATCACCACATCATCGTCCGTCTTGGTCGCCATTATTTGCTGGGTCCGCTTGGTCACTGGATGTGCCAAGAAACATGAAAAACCTCGAGGACAAGTTCCCGACTCTTCAAAATCAGGACATTCGAAATCATGGCGGAACGGACATTTAAGGCCTCGAGGACACCACCCTCCAACAGAAAATGGTCGACACAAACATATGTACAGATCTGGATCTTGTGGCTTTTCACTGTGCAAAAAATGGCAGTTGGGACTGGTGCAGCTGCCCTGCTTATAATACTTACAAATTGGGGTATTGTGTTCATCAGGTTCGTGGTTTAGAAGACAATTTGTATTGGTACACTTGTTTTGTAGGTATTGACGACAAGCCCGAATGTGACTTGGATCGTGCAAATACTTGCAATGAGAACTTTTTTTGCATATTCCTGAAGTTAGAAGTGCCAAAGAAATGTGATTCGGGAGGTACTTACCTATTCGGGTGTAGTAGCGACAATCTTCGCTGGTGCTAACGTTAGTATTACCACTTTGACTTGATGAAAATACATACTCTGCAGATTTGCCCACTCGGCGAAATGTGCCGTTTTTTTTGCGAATATACTTGATAGAGTTCCACATGATGATTTGGCCCTCTGAGTCCGGAGGTGGTACTGTTAGAGGTACGAGTTTATTGCCGCCACCACACACGGCAAATATCTGGTCTGAGATAGCAATTCTGTCGCAATGGTCTGTTTTAGTTTTATTTTTGTCGATTCGAGGTTTCCATTTCCGTTGTCGATTTCGCTCCTGTGCTTCTATTTGCAATTTTCGGGCAGCTTCAGCCTTGAGCAACTGCAGTTTTTGTTCTCGTTCGTAGATATTTGTGTTCACAAGAGTCATCCCACGACTTGTGGTGCTCGATATGTAATTTTCATCGCCAGAATCCACTTTTAGAGGTTTCAAGTTGATTTGTGGAGTTGGAAATTGTTTTCGACTAGGCTTGGATATTCCATTTTTATCACTTCTGCGGCCTCGAGCGGCCTTCTTCTCCTCGATTTGCTTCTTGAGCCACGCTATCTCTGCGTATTTTGCCTTGAGTTCTTCCGGATCGGACATGAGACAACATCAAAGTGTTGAAGGTTCGAAAGCGGATGGCGCCCAAACACCCACAACTAAACAAGGTTACTCATTTCTTGTGGTTCACCAATGTACACCAAACTAAAGAGCTATGCGGCCAATTTCATAGGGAATACCCTTGGCTTTGACAAGGAAACATGCAACGAGATGGTTGAGTACTCCTTGAACCTTCAGAGCGAAGACGAGATACAATCGTACTTTTTCAATATTCTTGGAGACTCCGAAAATGTACTTCGATTCATTGAGACATACTTTTCGCTCAAGCAAGAGGAGGATTCATTAAGAAAGAAGGTAAGCGTAGAACCGAAGTCACAGAAAAAGAATGAGAAAGCCGGGGTTTGGGGACAATCGGAACCAGAGACACCGAAACAGAGCAGAGGACGACTAGCAAACAATACTACATCAGCCACCACGTCTGAACTACTTTCATTGAAACCATCGAACCAGCTTTCTGCCCAGCAGGCGAAAAGAGGCAAAAAGAAGAATTTGAACAATTTGAAAGACGTTGAAGCTGCGCTTAACGAACTTGAATCTGCATCGGGAAAGGATGAAATTTTGAAAGGAGTGGTTCGGAGATGTAATTGCATGGCCACCAGGCACCCATTATTCGAGGTGGCTCCCAACTGTCTCAACTGCGGCAAAATCATATGTGAAAAGGAAGGTTTGCAACCGTGTTCTTACTGCGGCCAAGAGCTCTTAAGCCCAAAAGACAAACAAGAAATCATAGAGATTTTGAAACAGGAACGAGATTCTGTGGAAAAGAAGCAGGAGAAGGTTCGCGACAAAGCAGTACAGCAACAGGAATCTCCAGCTCAACGTAAAAAGAAGATTGTGGTTCAAATGAGAGCAGGTGAAAATATGTGGAAAGCACAAGACAGAGCATTGAAAGAAGCCGAGGAAGCCCGCAAGAAGGAGAAGAAGGACAAAGAAGAAGACGAGCAGCACCAGCGTGAAATTGAGGCTCAAGAAAAAGAACTTGAACGGTACGCTTCAGAAAAAGATGTGGATGCTGATCTTATAAATGCCCAGAATCGTCTTGAATCGTTGCTAGACTTTCAGGCAACTGGTGCTGAAAGGACCAAAATCATCGACAACGCTTCTGACTTTGAAATGCCAACTCTCTCGAACAGTGGAAGTATATGGCTTTCTCCCGTGGAGCGTGCTCTTCACTTGAAAAAGCAGCAGAAGAATTTGAGGAAATACGAACAAATTGAAGCCTCGAGAAAGGGTCGAGGAAAAAAGGCAGTTGAAATGGTGATAAGAGATGGAAAGGTGACTATGGTTGAAAAATGGGTAGCTGACGATACTGAAACACCATCTGAGACTATAGCAGATGATGAACTTGTGGAACCAAATAAGCCAGATACAGAAGTTAAAAAGTACTGGGATTATGAGAAGGATCACAACAAGTGGGAGAAACCACAATACAAGCACAGCGTCCAGCAGGATAATGACACACTGCAAGAGGAACCGATTCGTAATCGGGTTCAGTTTCCCAAAGGTGGAGACGATGAACTACTTGTAATGATGCCTTCTTGAATATGTATTTAATGCTAATGCTAACGTCTCATCCTTCTCTTGAATGCTTTGGCTCTGGGATCATTAATCTTGAGCCTTTGATAGTTCATGCTTACTGGTTTGATCTTTTTGCCCAGAGCCTGTGGAATGATCTTTTCAGGTTCGGCGTCAGACTCTTCATCTTCCGAATTCAAGTACCGTTCGTGGTTTCTCTGGCGCTTTTCGTCTATGTCCTGGATTGCTTCATGGATATCCTTCTTTTCGAGACTAGTCTCGTTTTCAGCTTCTGGTCTGGGCTTGATCTTCCATCTACGGGTTGTTCTCTTTTGAGTCTTTGCTTTCTTGGGTTTTGGTCCTTCACTAGATTTTTCTCCGTCGACTTCTTCTTCACTCACCGGGTCATTCAAGTCTTCAGGCACGACTATATTCTCCTTTATAGACTGAACTTCGTTGAAAATGTCTGCAAGCCGTTTAGTACCATAGTTGAAAAGTCGCTGTGGTTTGAGTGGAGATGGCGACACTTCGAACCCTTGTGTAGGTTTGGAAGGGGTTACAGGGCCATACTCAGTGGCCATGAACATGTTTCGTGACATATAACGTGGTGTTTGCCTGACAGGAGAGGGTACAGGCAGAACGTTTGGAGATGACTTTATTATGGACAGACTAGTTTGATGAGCTGCGGCTTGAAGTTGAGCATTGATATCAACAATTCGCTTCTTTGTGGGTGTCTTAAAGATCTTGTCGTCTGAGACCTCTTCCTTTACTTGCAAGGTTTGCTTGGATTTTAGGGGAGACGATTCGGGAGGAGTCATTCGAGTGTCAAAGAGAGACAATATTTTACCATTTGCTTGTGGGGTCGGGCCCAATTGTATACCCACAGCAACACTGGTTGTATTCTCCATATCGGTACCACTCCCGTCTTCATCGGAATCTCCAATTTGTACATCTATTCTTGTCTTTTTAGGCAGTTTTAGTGTCTTCGCAGGGCCTTTTTTAAGATCACGATACTGTTTGTATAGACTGGAAATTACATTGTTCTGCTTGATATCTTCTCGAAGAGGTACTCGCCCATGCTTTTTCTGAAAGGAATGTTCCCAGGCCTTGATCTCTTTCCTGAGATCACTTAGCTCAGACATGAAAGAAGAACTATAATTTTATCGCGTCGCGCGTAATTTGATTAGCGTTTTTGGAGAAGATGTTATTATATACAAGGACCACTAAAGTCTATCTATAGTAGTTTGAATCTCTGCAGATGTAGGCGTTTCCACCTTTTGTAGTATGCTCTGAATTGTGGTTTTGAACAAGTCTTTTTCTTTTTCAGATTCAAAGTTTCTCGTTTCAAGGTCAGTGACAGACGATGGAAAACTCCGGCTCCAATACTTGTTCAAAAAGGTGTTTATGGCTACTGGGTCGTTTCTGAGATCCAAATACACCACCAACCTCAACCACTTTGTCATAGTCTGGTGTTCTTGGTCGTTTAGCAAATTGAAGGAGACCTCAAATGTGCTCCAGAATTTGTCCCACTTGCCAGCGTTTCCATAAGTGAAAAGCACCATCTCTTTGAAAGAGGTGGTTGGGGTCAACGAATGAGCCTCATTGTAGCTGGAAATCAAATCGTAGATATCACGGTTGCGGTTCGAAGCAATATGAACTGAGGGATAGTTACCGAAATGTTCCTTTTCGATTTCATTGTGGATCGCTTCATCGATGGTTCTGGAGCCAATAACATGAGGTTTAAGGTTGACAACAGTAAGGTTCCACAAAAGTGGGACCAATTCTGGGTGGCCAACTAGTTCGATTTGCTCACCACTATATGCATAGATATCAGACACGAATTGCAGCAAAAAATCGAGCCTAGTATCCACCAGCTCATTCATAGCTGCTGTGGTCTGTTCAGGAGCAGCTATTTCTTGTGAGTCCATCAAGACTTTCATGTAGGCAACCACAGCCTCGATTTTGGGTATCTTGCTTGAAATAAGAATATTGGCGAGAGACTTCAACAGAACGAGGTTTGGGTCAAGTAAGTGGATTATACGGTAAAACTCGAATTTTGAGGTGGAGTCACCGCTTTTCTCAAAGTCGGATATAAGGCCCTTGAGCTCGACGCCGGGAATGGAAGAGTCGCTGTTCAACAACTTTTGGAGTGGCTTACCCTTGGTAGCCATATAGAACGGTCCCATAGTATGGAAGCGACGAACTCCGCTAAAAATGTGATCCGAGTTTTCAGCTTTTGCAGGCTGTTGCTCGTAGCGCCAGGCATCTTCCTCTCGACACCATAAGCTCTCCAAATTGAGCTCTTGTCTGCGATCGGCGGTGAGCATGTGGATGAAAAGTCCATCTACTCCGGTCTCACACATCACCCAGCTATTTGCAGCTTTTCCATACTCATTGTCTGTTGCCATAGGGCCCTTTCTGGAGCGCCGGAGCATACGGCGTCTGGCTCGTGGACTGGTTCCACCAGTAACCATACCTTCAATTGAAGGAAGATGGTCGTATGTGTGCTTGATGTGGATCCTTAGCTGACTCGCAGCCTTCATTATGTGTTTTTCCGACTTTCCAGAAGCGATGAGGATGTACTTTGCTGGCTGATGGTGGGTGCTATAGTCGTGGTCGCTATCCAACTGGGTCATGTCGAAGAAGACAAGGTTATCGAATCCATAGTCTTTTGCAACTAGCTCTAGAAACGAGTTTATGGTTTTGGGAGCAGACTCTGGAACTTCTGGGAGCTCTACTTGGGCAGTTTCAGCTAGGGGCGACGCAGCATCGTCCCGCAAATACCATGGAAGTTCCAGCTGTACAGTGTCATTATTTTCAGAACCTTCAGTATTTCTAATATTTTCAGGCTTGGTGACCAAATTTTTGGTCTGAGCGATGCTTCTATGTGCTATAGGGGCCAAGTAACGAAAGGAAAGTCGCTTTGGTCTTCGCCATATGTTGGATAACATGGTAGCTAAACCGCGCGACAAAGTGGTGAGAATTTAGGGCATCGCATTTCGCAGCTGCAGGTTTCTTTAGACTATATTTTAGCATGGCCAAGTTGGTGCACAATGTGCAGAAAAAACAGCACAGAGAAAGGTCTCAGACGCTGGACCGGGCCCGGTTTGGCTTACTAGAGAAAAAGAAGGATTATAAACTTCGGGCGGCCGATTACCATAAGAAACAATCTGCTCTCAAGGCTCTTCGTGCCAAGGCAAGCAACTACAATCCTGATGAATATTACCATGGTATGACCAGGCGAAAAACCGACAGCAGGGGCATTCTACAGGCAGATAGGGGAGAAGAGGTGCTTTCTGTGCAGCAAGTGCAGTTGCTCAAGACCCAAGATGCCAACTATGTTCGTACCATGAGGATGAATGAGGCTCTGAAAATCGAAAAGCAAAAGAACCAGCTTGATTTTGGAGCTCGCGGGTCCCATACGGTGTTCGTAGACTCGGTTGAGGACCAGAAAAACTTTAAGCCAGAGGAATATTTCGACACCGACAAGTCCATGGTGAATAGAAGAGAGAACCGTCTTCGAAATCTGGACTTGGAAAAGTTGGAGCGGGTGGTGAATGTGGAAGATGTGGATGTAGAAAGGCTTCATGAAAAGAAGGTTAAACTGTACAAATTGCTAAAAAGTCGTATGGATCGAGAACGCCAGTTGCGAAAGGTGGAGGAGCGTATGGATTTGACTCGAGAGTTGATGAAGAAGGGAAGCAAGAAGAAGACAGTTGTCGACGGGAAACCGCAGTTCAAGTGGAAAAACCAGCGGAAAAAATGATACTATTAATGCATTACTCGGACTCAAATGTCCGGTTTATATACTCTACAAATAAAGACGTAATACGGTCGATGTCGATACTTCTCATCCGGTTCAAAGCAACAAATGTCCTTCGTATCCTCTGGAGCTGAGCCGTGCTGACCGCATGCGCTGGCATGTCTATTACCATGTCTTCAACTTTGACCTGACCTCCAATACTGGCAATTTGCTGATGCTGAACTATGGCACTTATTACTGCTTGAGTTTTCTGGTCAAGTTCTTGAAGAAAATTGTTGCCAGAAGTTGGTTTTACAAGTGTAGCTGCGTTGGGTGGAGCCACTTTTTTGAGTACCAAACAGTCCCACATTTCATCAATGGGAAGTGTTTCATTGTCATCGGCTGCAACAACCGTGAATAACGGTGAATCCCAACGCGTATCTCCATTGGGCTCTTCATATCTCATTGCTAGCTGTCTGATGACTTCCTCATCCCATTCTCTGTTCCATTGAACACAATTGTCCACGGAACTCACAACATGGACTACACAGTGTGGAGTAGCCAAACCTTTAGCTTCGCAGTAAAGCTGATAACGAAAACCCTTAATATATGCCATTGTATCCAACACCACAATTGTATTTCGTGCCAAATCTCTCTTTACCGCCGACATCTGGGTTCCTCTGGCATGTTTTTCTTGCGTGGAGTCCTTATAAACGTCTTTACTGATCCCCAATGTTTCATCACTATGGTATATCACCGAGTAGTTGTGGCCTGGTTCCTTTGTAGTTTTGGATTCCTCGATCCTTTTCTGTAGGGAGTCAACGAGTTGCTTGGCAAACTTGGTCTTTCCCGAGCTCGGAAGTCCAGTAAATGTAACTAGTGGCATAAGTGGAAGAATCGCACTGAATCGCACTGAAATTTATGTCATCGGAATCTCTCCAAAATATCTCATCGCGAAACTCTCACTATGTCCTTTGTACCACGACGAGTATTTCCCACGTACCGGATTCCACTTTCAAACTTCAAGGGCCACCACCAGAAGGCACTCAACAAGTTCGGCAGCTTGGCTCCGCAAATAGATTTTATTCTTGAAGTCAGAGATTCTCGAGCACCCATATCTACGATCAATGTGCTCTTCAATAAAGTGCTAGCGCACAAGCCTCGACTCATCATATACTCGAAAAAGGATCTTTCGGTGCTCAAGCGGCCATGGACCGATAAACTCCATAAAAGTCGCAATGAACAGTACTTGTTCGTTGATGCTCGAAACAAACAAGATAGTAAAAAGATCTTGAATTTCATAAAAGACCGCTACTTTGAGATGTCTCCTCCACCTCCATTAGGGCTTCGTATGATGCTCATTGGGATGCCAAATGTCGGTAAGTCCACTCTTGTAAATACTTTGAGGAGTGTTGGGCTTGACAACTCGGGAGCAGTGTCTTCCAAAGTCCGTAAAGTGGCCCGAACTGGAGGTCAACCTGGAGTCACCAGGGCCACTAGCGAGATTATAAAACTTTCCAATGATCCAGATATACTTGTCCACGATACTCCAGGAGTGTTTCTTCCAACTGTGAAAGACGCTGAAACCATGCTTGCACTATCACTTGTAGGCTGTGTTCACACCTCATTTGTGGACCCAGTAATCCAGGCTGATTACTTGTTGTATATCCTCAATCTTCAAGATCCCAGTGGTTCCAAGTATAGCGAGTACATCGACCACCCGACCAATTCCGTGGACGAATTGCTTTACAAAATAGCAGAGACAAGAAACGTGGTGAGAAAAGATGGTACTTTCGATATGGAAGGAATGGCTATACACTGGGTCAGCAAATGGAAACAGGGTAAACTGGACCAATACAAAGGATTATTTGACCTAGCTCCAGTTCTCGAACAGAACGAAGAAGAAATCAGACTGAACCTTAACTTGGAAACGAATCGAGTGGCTTCGATGCAAGTTACGAAAAAACTTACAGACCGTTTAGGTGAAGATGGAACAGCCACTTCCAAGGCTCGCAAGCGTAATGCCAAGGACCGAGCAGCAGACCACCAGAACCAATTGTTCAAGTTGTAGATCATTCCAATAGCTGGTCCAACTCCAATTCTTCTTCGTATGGACCTTCGTGGGCTCCGTAGGTTCCATGTCCAAGTCGAGAGTTTGGTCCCGCATGCCATTTTTTCTTCTGTTTCTCTTGATCGAGAAACTTTTTGGAAGTGTACTCTATGTCCAAAGATTCAAGAAGCTTGTGCGAGGCATCGTTGGATTTTTTGTTGACATCAAAAAGCCATTTCGACTCGCCGTTCACCGACAAGATATTACCCAAATTGAAAAGATTGGTATCGTTTCCGGACATTACGTTTTCCACGAATTTTTCTTGCTGAAGGTAAGCTGGGAGCGAATCATGGCCGAGGGACTTGGCGATAATTCTCTTTAAGTTCTGGTTGTATTTTTGTATTGCTGGGGATGAAGGTATCAATGTCGGTTGGACAGGCAATTCCACAGGCAAAGAACTGGGTTCTCTCATGGTGACTTTTCGATTCGAAATAGTCGCCGGACCAGATGAGCCAAGCACGGCATCAAGGTCTTTGGACTGGATAAATTCCTCCATTTTCATGTCGAGGTCATTAGGCTCGTCTATCTTCTTGCCGCTGGTAGTGGTGAAGGTGCTCAATTTTGGGAATCGGCCCATTTTTTCATCTTCTTTAAACGGTAATCTTGTCATGGAAAATGCATAGATATGTTTATCCTTATGAAGGATTTTGACTGGCATCAATACACACATCTGTACTTCGTCATTAGCTTTCTGCACGTATCTCGTGATTGCAAACGAATCAAGCTCTATCAACGCCTTGCAAAAAGCAGCAACACCTATAGCATTTCCCTGTGCTTCCGATGTTGGTGCAACATAGAAGGATTCAGAAGTGAAATAAGCCATTGGAACCTTTTCTCGATGAATGAATCCCAAGATATCCAAACCCGTATCTGTTTTCAAGGTCGCAAGACCACGAAGACTTTCATCGACAGCTATAAGATCAAAATTGGAATACTTGAATCCATCCACCCAATCTCCTTTCACTATAGGAACGTTTTCTTCTCCCTCTCCTCGAATGTAATACGAAGTCTCTGTCTTGATCTGAGAAACTTTGTCGCTTACCAAGTACTGGTGAGCAGCAATGGGCTTTTCTATTTTGACGGCTGGGTAGACTTCCACCTCCAAGCAAAGACAGATATCGGATGCAGGGTCATAGGAGTCTGAAGTGACCAATTGAGAGATATCGGCGCCCAAGCGAAGCTGGAGAATATCTTTAGCGGCTCGTATGGGCCGTACTCGCTTCAATGGTGGGGTATAATTGGGGGAATTGGCCAAAGATTGTGCATCTGCCAAGTGACCATGACGAAACTCTTTGAGTTTTTTCCGCCATTGAACTATATTTTCGTTTTCTTCTTGCAATCCAGGTACTCCCACAATGACATTGACGTCCATAGAATTGATCGCACCAGCCGATGCCTTGGCCAAGTCTGTATTCCACGACGTCATAGGTACTTGACCATTCGTGAACACCACGATGTTTCGAATGAACTTGAGTTTCAGGGTTTCGTTAAGGAGACCTGCTCCTATCATAAAAGCGTCAAAACAGTCGGCGGCATCTGGTTTTATTTTGGTTGTTGAAGTCAATTTTTTTGTCCATTCCTTGAGCTTTTTGTACGTGGGCACCTCCTTGTGGCACACCACTTCTATGTGTTTGAACATGCCCTCGTCGGCGTAGGCATGAGCAGTAATGGGGGAATAACATCCCAATTATCGAAACGTAATCTGTCTTTCTGCCCTTGATAATTTTGGTTATAACCACATCATTAAAGTAGCTGAGACATGTTTGGAGCTCAACAGACGGACACGACAAGTCAAACACAAAGATAGTGATTTCCTTGGACATAACTTTTGTTGGTGTTGCTTGTCCCGGTTATACTAGCCTACAAAAATGCGCGAGGTGGGCGCATCAAGGTAAACAGGATTCATTACATTTTTTTCAACCCAGACCACAGCGGGTGTTCCAGCGTCCATCCGACCGGCTTTTACGTGTATTCCACCCTCCATGAGTTACTACAACTATAATTCGCCTCAAGATTACATTCCCACGGCCAACCAGCCGCCATCCATTCCTCCCATTTCGTCCCTCGATCCCAACCAACAATACATTCCCAGTGGAGAAGATGTCAAACCCCAGCCCTATTACCGACCGCAACCACCTATATATGAAAACCAGCCCAATCCATTGGCTCAACATCAACTTTCATGGCAAAGACCTACCCATATGCCCATGGACCAACACCAGTACTTAGCACCTCCCGCCCAACAATTTATACCTTACCAGTATCCAGGGATCCCTTACTACCCGTACATGCAGCACATGTATCCTCGGCAACAATCGTCTCCTCGCCAGCATCTGGTGCCGGTCAGAGCTCCCATGGTTTCGCAACCACTTGGTCGGCCGCATCTCAAACAAGAATCGTCACCAGCACCCAAAGGCGGCACTTTCAAGCCGAAAAATACTAAACGTAACTCGAAGCCTCGGATCCACAAGCTTTCCGGCGATTTCAGAGCGGCATGGAAAAAACTGAGGCTGCCTCACCTGGTGGGAGAAGCATCGATTGACGATATGCTCCGTCATTTTCAAGACGCATTGGCCATTGACGTCCCGGAACCATTCATTCTTTACTTGAAGGTGGAGGATAAGTTCGAGGCTAAATTGCTCGATTTGTTTGTCAACAATTTGACTAAAAGTCTCGATATCTTTCTTCCCTGTGACATGTTCCGCCTTGTGGTGCCTCATGTGGCTCTCCTTGATGAAACTCGTATGATTCTGGACTCCATCTACTGCTTGGCTTCCATGATCCTCAATAGGATCAACCCAGATAGTGTCGATCCGTCTGTGACGATTAATTACTACCATCAATGTATCAAGCTGATTCGGTACCATCTCAGCATGCCAGGGGTTGAAACCAATGAATCTGGAATCATTGCCCGCTGTCTTTTGAGTACCATCATGTTATGTGTCTACGAACTCTTCCTTGTGGCTGAAGACGCTACCTATATCAAAGGTGCAGCAAGTATCTTCTCGTCGATTTTGCGTAAGAATATGCAAGCTCAGAAACCTAGTCTCTTGAAATCGTCCCCATTCTACCAAGGGTTATTCTGGGCCATGATACTTAGTGATATGGTTTTATCATTGAAATATGACTTGCCCACCATGTATCCTATCGATACGTTCTGGCGGCCATTGGATCCAGAGTATTTTGACTGGTTTGAGTCAGCAACGTATCCTGGCAACCTGGACGATGAATCGGTGATGTCTCGTGAAGAAGAAGTGTGGTGGATTCGCAGAATGATATATCTTCTGTGCTGTGTCCACGATTTCCTCTTCCAACCAATGGTGCTCACCAAAGAGGAAACAGAGTCGAAAAAATGCTCGCAGAAATGGCTCCAATTAAATCAAAGTGTCAATGAGTTTGAAGCTAGTGTCCCCATGGCTATGAAACCAATCATTTGCAAACCAGCATCTTCCAGCAGAAGGTACCCTGTAATATTTTTTGGTACCGAAGGTACTGCTATTTTCAACTTGAACTTCAAGTTATGCAAAATAGCCTTACATCAGTCTTTGCAAACGAGACTCGCAGATGATCCAGTTTTGTCCAGTCAAATCAGTAATTACACTCCCGACTATACTAACAAACTTGCTAAGGACATTATTGGAATCTTGAAGACTTACGACTCTGACGTTCTGGTATGGCCCGTAAATGTTCACGCCATACGACAAGCCGCCAAGTACATGAAGGATGACTCCGACGACATGAGAGAATTGGGTGATCTTATCAATAAGGTACTTGCAGTGTGCCATTTGCAGTACAAAAAGTCGTGATTATTGTGTATTATTTAGGAATTAAATTTTCTCTTTAATTTGAAGCACTAGCGCAGTTCTCGAAGGAATGTAGGTGAATAAAGCATTAGACCTATCATTCCAGCGTTCATTGTGGGTGAAGAATTGCAAGTCGTTTCCCTCCGCATCAACATTGCTTATACGTCCATGCCCACCAAATTGTTTATCGTCAGAATTCAAAACAACCTTGTACACTCCAGGTGTCTCGACTCCAACCTTAAAATCAGGGTAAGAATTGGTGGGATGAAGATTGAAAATGAACAATAAACCATTTCTTTCGAAAACAAGAACCTTATCACCCTCGTGTTTGAGGGAAACATAAGCTTGAGGCGATTGCAAAATTTCGTATTTTTCATCGAGATGTTGCATTGCTGCATCAAACTCGAACAAAAACTTGTATCTCAACAAATCGTCTTCAATCAAGTTGAATTGTCTACGGGCATAATGATACGACTCATTATTACCGGCTCGAGGAAAATCAAGCCACTCGGGGTGTCCAAACTCATTACCTTCGAAATTAAGGTACCCTTCACCGCCCAAGCTAAATGTCAAGAGACGAATAATCTTGTGAAGTGCGATTCCACGGTCGATAACTGGGGTGTTTTCGGTGAGTGTAGACATGTTGGTGTACATTTCTTTGTCCATCAACCAGAATGCAATCGACTTATCTCCCACTAGAGCTTGGTCATGAGACTCACAGTAACTAATACACTTTTCTCCATGACGACGGTTGGTCAATGTGTGGACAATATTTCCCAAATCCCACTGTTCATCAGACAAGTGTTTGAGGATCTTGATCCACATATCTGGGATAGCCATGGACAATCTATAGTCATACCCAATACCTCCTTTGCTAATGGGAACGCAGAGAGCAGGCATTCCACTAACATCTTCGGCAATAGAAGTGAATTTCAACCCAGAAGTGCTATACTCTTCCATCATAGTGTGTGCCAACATCATGTAGATTATAGCATCATTATCGACCCATTCTGGATTAAAGTATTCATTGTAGTCACCACTGAAACCAAAGCTCAAGCCATGATGTTTGTAAAGCATACTTGTGACACCATCGAACCGGAAACCATCAAATTGGTAAACATCCAAGTAAAATTTCAAATTCGACAATAAGAATCGAAGGGTTTCATGATTGGAATAGTTGAAAAGACGTGAGTCCCACAAGTCGTGGTTTCCCTTTGGTCCACCATGAAACAAGTAGTGGTCGGTGCCATTGAACATGTTAAGACCATCGTCAACATTTTTTGAGCTGTGCGAATGAACCACATCCAAAAGTACTCGAATCCCAAGCCCATGGGCAGTATCGATCAATTCCTTTAAATCTTCTGGAGTGCCGAAACGAGAGGAAGCAGCGAAGAAACTGGTCACTTGGTAACCAAACGAAGCGTAATATGCATGTTCCATAACGGCCATCAATTGCACGGTATTGTAGCCTAATTTGTGAATTATTGGCAACACCTTGTGGGTGAAATTCTTGTAGGTACCAACCTCTGGATTAGGGGTCGAGATACCCACATGAGCCTCGTAAACACGAATACCCGATTCAGGTACGGGGCGTTTGTTTTCAAACGTATACGTATGGTCTGGATTCCAGAACCGACCATCGTACAAGTTGGTGTCCTTATTATAGGTAGCTCTCTTTACCCATGGGTCCAAACGATAGATACGCTCTCCACTAGGCAACACCATGGATATCTTATAGCGAGAGTCATGGTCAATGGCAAATTTACCATCGACGGAGTCAATTGTAAGTTTCCAGAGTCCAAAATTGTTAACCTGTTCCAATTGATGAGCTTCAGGATTCCAATTGTTGAAATCTCCAACGATAGAAACACTCTTGACATCAGGAATATACTGCACTACCGTAATACTCTTATTTTGCCAGTCGGCGTGGACTCCGTAAGTTTGATACGAGGACGCAAATTTGGTCAAGGAACCTTCCGACTGCTCAAGTTGCGACTTCCATTTTTGCAATTGGTTCTGACGATCAACAAGATGGCTCGAGAATGGTTCCAACCATGGATCAAGGTCCAAAACTCCTTGAATTGACGATTTATCTGCCATGTTTATGAAGAAAATGTGGAAAGGGGTTGGGGGAAAGCAAGGCAGGTTCTGCGGAGTGTCTGCAGGAAATGTGGGGCTCGGGGTCGCCCACGCGAGGGGTGCAGGAGATGAGCCAAAGAGCTGAGGGGAGAACCATTGCAGGAACTGCAATGGGAATTGAGTAAAGAATTGAGTAGATAATGAGCAGAGAATTGAGCAAAGAATTGACTACAGAATAATAGACTACAATTCAATTAAAAATCTTTCCTTAGTTTCTGGTTTAGTTATACAGTACTCTACTTCTGTCTATTCTTCCTCACTTCACTTTTCACTTTTCACTTTTCACTTTCACTTCACTTTACCTGAATCTCTGGTTCAAGATCTTTTCTGCCCCAGCTTGCTGGTACTCCTCTTTTGTGACCCACATCTGGTGAAATGTACCCAAAGAAGAGAGGACACTTCCTCCAATCCACGACTGGCTGCTGCGCTCTGCGCTGCTTCCTACCGCATGCAATCTCACTTTAAGTCCTGGATTAGTGTTTGAAAGGTCGGCTTGGATGCGTTCTGTCAATTGAGTGATGAGCGAGGTACCTCCAGAAATTATAATATTGTGGGCCATTGACGCTCGGAGATCGATATCTACTGATGTCAATGTATGAGCCACCAATTGCGAAAGTCCTCTAATAGTCACTGCTTCTTCCTCTTCGGGTGGAGGACTTGATTGTGACGACTCTGTACGCTTCGTGCGCTTCACTGGTCGGTAATCATCATACATGGTTTTAATAGATACTTCTCCATTTGTTGGAGGAAATTTGTCTTGATCTCTAAGAGGATAACTTTTAGGGTCAAAAAGACTGTCTGCAAGCTCAAACCTCTCAATTCCCAACTCTATCAGTTGACCCAGAGGAAGTTCAAAGCTTCTTTTATGGGTTTCGTCTTTGTATGTTTCACGGTCAGATGCCAACTTTTTCTCAGGCACTTCCAACATGGTCTCTTTTATTTCATGCCAAAGCGCCAACTGTTGGTATTCATAGAAGGAGTCGGTGATATTGTCTGGAAGTTGGCGTTGAGTGTATTTGGCTTCCTCGGGGTATTTGGTTGGGGTTCGGTCACGAACCAGGTACTTTGCGCAGAGGTCAAGGTTTGGATATTTTTTGTTCAACATATCCTGAATTTGTGCATTCAAAAATGCTCCCGCGTAATGTGTTTTTGTGGTGTTCCTCAACAAAGACATACCGTCTATTACTGGAGTGATAGATACAGAATCATGGCCAATATCTACCACTAAGCAGTTGGCACGGCCCTGCTGAAATGAGATGCATGTTGGAGATTTGGCCAAATATAATGCTGGGAAATCAAAGTTTGCAAAGAATTCCTCCACCACTTTTTGACGGTACTCGGTGGTTGCCCATACTGGTTCAACAATTAGGATTGGTTGTTCCTTGTAGTTGATTTTCAACACGTCTTCAAAGTAGTATTTGTATTGTTCGATAGCAGCGTCCCAGTCCACTATAAGCGAGTCCTTAATGATGGGTTTGACCTCGTAATTGCTTCTGGGAACGCCAATTGCTTCACCAAAAATGCGGGTTCGTTTACCTTTTTTAGGGGGATCTGGACCTATGGCAAAAAACGATGGGGTTGTAATCTTTGGAAAATCATCACCAGCATACCCGATACGTGTATAGTATGAGCCTGGATCAAGCACTATGGCATTGATTTCATCTCCTCCGTGGACAGCAGATCCAGACATGTTGATAGTTTTCAGATTGGTGAAATTTTTGGTGCGGCCCCGATGCAGGAAAAATGAAGTTACAACTTATAATTTACTCTTTATTATCTACAACAGACGCACCTCTCCCTCTATGAGCCCCAACAAGAACTCGGCTTCCAATCTCTTTCTTGCCTCCACGACCCAGTCGTCTGCCAATTTTCTTGGCCATCCTTTCAAACTTGCAGCCTCTTCCACTGCCAAGTCCAATTCATTTCTAACAAGATTGGCTTCTACCCGGCCAATGACAGACTCAATATCTTTACCGTTTGGCTTTGCACCTTTTACCGGAAGCAAAAGCTTGGAAAAGACGAACGAGGTGAAGTGTCCGAGCAAACCAGCATTAGGAGGAAGCAACGATGCTGACCGAAGCTCAGGTGATAAGAGTTCCCAACGAGCAAGAAGCTGAGATGTGGACAAAATCGAATGAGACGACTCGTGCTGGAGAAGAGGAACAATTTCCTTCAAGGTGGCATCAATGAGTTCATCGTTGATAGGACGTACTGCCTCGATCAATTGACCCAAGTATGGTGCCAACAGCTTTGGGGTAGTTCCCTCGGTGCTGGAGATGAGCGACCTCAACTCGGCCAATGACCGGTTAATAGTGCTGCGGTTGTGGTTAGCAACGATCTGTTGTTCCAAAGACTCGGCAAATTGTTCTAATTCGTCTAAACGGCTGCTGAGCTTATCCAAGTTGGCCAACCGGCCCAGTCTTTCACCATCCACTTTGTCCTTGACCAACTTTTCAAAGTTCTTGGTTTGTTCGATACGAACCATGGTCACTGCATTTACAGCTGCCTGAGAAATGGCTTCCTTGGCACTGGCAATCTCTTGCTCCAATCTAGCGTTCAATTTCTTTTCCAATTGAGCCCGTTCGGTATTGTATTGGTGGAGCAAGTTCTCGGTCAATTCCAACTCTTTCTTGGTATATGACGACAAAAGCTCATTTTGCGACACCTTGAGGTTTTTCTTAAGTTCATCGTCGAAACTGGCAGTCAATGCGTCCACTTTTTGCGATAATTTAGCAACATTGTCTTGGATAGCCTTGACCAAGTCATTGCTACCAGGACCACTTATATCGATCAGTTTGATCAATTCGTTGAAAGAGGCAACGGTGGCGTGTACGCTCTCGTTTATACCCTTGTAAGAAAGCAAGGGAAGCAGTTCAGGCAGTTTTTGGGTTGTTTCCACTGGTTTCTGCAATTGTTCATGAGGAGTAGGAGCAGTGTCTTGACCCCAACGTTGACGGGTTTTCTGAATCAATTGCTCACCACGATTCTCCAAGTCGTTGGCAAACTTGTCTATTTTCGATTTTGAAGACAGAAAGTCAACGTTGGAAATTCGGTCCCGAAGCGAGTCCCATGCATCCCGGATTTCATCAATCGACCCGGTCTCGATCATGCGTAGAATTTCCTCGTAGAAAGGAGGCTGGTAGTCAATCACATAATCCATGACTTTTTCGTTTTTGGTGGCCACATAGAGTGTTCCACCATAGGCAAGCGATCCAATAAGTGTTGCCAGGAATAAAAATTTTGGCAAAGAAAATGACTTTTTTGGAGGCTTTACAGGTGGAGGAAGCACAGGAGGCACGACCGGTGGCGGCGTGACCACCTTGGTGAGTACGGATCGCAGGGTCGAGAATCGGGCTCTCAACATGAGTGTGATTGTTGATGAAACATTATTGGCGAATGAGAAGTGTACATCCACACACCACGAAATAAAAATGGATATGTGAGTGCAGCAAGAAAATTTACAAATCTAATTCAATTGGTCGTCACTCCTCTCTTTTCTACTTCTACCCTTTACTCCCTTGTTTTCTCGCTTTCTTCTTCTTTTCTCCTTTTTCTTTCTCTATCCTCTTCTTTTCTGTTTCTCCCGCACCCGTACACCACCTCTCCTTCACTGTGCCTCCCTGTCACTTCATCATGACTATTACTCCCAAATCGCTATTTCCTCCTCTTCCAGCTACTGCTCGGGCCCAAGCTGCTCAATTGGCATACGATGTCAAGAATAATCGTGTGGCGTATCCCAATGGAAAATCTATTGTAGTCAGACCTCTTGCTAGTTCTGATCCAACTGATACCATCCAATTTACCGGTCACATTTATAATACTACAGCGGCTGCTTTTTCGCCCTCGGGTAACTACATTGCTTCTGGAGATGCTAATGGTAACTTGAAGATCTGGAGTGCCGAAAAACTCTCACAAACTTTTGAACGACCTCCAATAAAGAGTGAATTTCAGGTGTTGCTGGGACCGGTTAGAGCTATAACCTGGGATGCGGATGGTACAAGAATCATTGCTGTTGGAGAGGGCAAGGAGAAGTTTGGTCATTGTTTTTCGTGGGATTCTGGCAATAGTATTGGTGATATTCAGGGCCATGCAGCCACGGTTACTGGAGTTGATATTCGCCAACAACGTCCTTATCGTGCTGCTACTGTGTCTGAGGACAAGGCAATGGTGTTCTTTAATGGACCTCCTTTCAAATTTGACAAGAGTGTGAGAGGTCACCATACAAATTCGATTCAGGCGGTGAAATTTCTGCCTGATGGAACACATCTAGTAAGCGTTGGCTCAGATAGACAGATTGTTTTGTACGACGGCAAGACGGGAGAGTACTTGAAAGCCACTCCTGCTCACCAGGGTGGAATTTACGGAGTAAGCTGGCGCGACAGTAACACTTTTGTTACTGCTAGTGCTGATAATACCGTCAAAGTATGGAACTCCCAATTGGAATGTTTAAAGACAATCGACATGCCTCTGTCCGGTTCTGTGGCTCAGCAAGTCGCCATAGTAGCCTCCGAAGACCAAATCATCACCTTTTCTGTCGATGGAACCATCAATGTGGTGAAGGAAGATGGTATATCTACGATCTACGGCCACCAAGGACAAATAACTTCTGTCACTGAAAATATCAGTGCTTCTTCCGACGGTAGTATTATCAAGTGGAATGGACCAGAAGCAGTGGTGGCAGGATCCCATTCAGGGTACGTGTGCCTGATAGTACTGGACTCTGCAAATTACTATTCTGCTGGATGGGATGATAAAGTGAAAAAATGGCAAGATGGAAAATTGGTGGGTGAAGTTCAATTGGATTCGCAGCCCAAGCAACTCATTTTGCGCAACAAGCTCACGGTGGTGTTTGAGTCAAAGGTGGAAATTTACGATTTGGACTTGAAAAAAGAACATAGCAATGATTTAGGATTTTCAACCAATGGTGGTGATATTTCCGAAAATGGCCTCATTCTCACCACTTCAAACACAGTTAAAAACATTGAAACTGGCAAGGAACTGGCTCCCTTGAGAGCGGCTCCTACACTCATCAGAGTATCTCCAAATGGAGAGCACATTGCCGTAGCTGACTCGGCAGGAAAATACACTTTATATGACAGCAACTTCAATGTGGTGACAACCAGATGGGCCTACCATTCGAGCAGAGTTCTCGATGCCCAATGGACTTCAGATTCCAAGTATTTGGCAAGTGGAGGATTGGATTCCGGCATATTCATCTACTCGGTCGACCGTCCGTCTAAAGTGCTCAAGTTCCCATTGGCTCACCAAAACGGAGTTACGGCGATCGGCTGGGCCAACTATGGTGATAGCGACTCTACATTGGTATCTGGAGGTGCCGATGGTGCTATCAAAAGGTGGTCGGTATCGTTTGCTTAGTGTAGTCTGGTTAGTATAGTCACGTGCCCAAATACAAAAATCTCACCAAAAAATAGGATCTCATCGCATCTTCCTCATCGCATCGACATGTCCTCTGTACGGCCCGGAGTAGCCACTGTAAGAAACCCGACGTTGCCGTCACAGACAACGCTGGAGCAGCGATATTGGCGAGGTTTCACCAGCCCATTATTGGTCAAGGAGAGCCACCCAATTCGCCATATCGATTTCAACCCAACCTCACCTCACGACTTTGCCGTTACCTCATCCACCAGAATCCAGATATTTTCTTCCAAAACACGCCAAGTGATCAAGACGTTCTCCCGGTTCAAAGATACGGTTTTCAGTGGCGAGTATCGATTCGATGGTAAGTTACTTGTGGCAGCTGATGCATCTGGATTGGTATCCATATTTGATGCTTATCAGCCACGGAATCTTCTCGTGAGTCTTCAACCATCATCGCATCCGACCCAGGTGGCAAAGTTCCATCCTTCTGTCGGCAATCAGCTCGTAACTGGTAGTGATGATCGAGTATTAAGGATATACGATATTTCTCAAACCACTACTGGACCAATTCATCAATTTGACGACTCTTTCCACAGCGATTATATCCGAAGTGCATGTTTCATTCCTGGAAACCCTAACTTGGTGGCCACGGCTTGTTACGACGGCATAGTGAGGGTGTTTGATACTCGTCAGCAGCAACTTGTTTCCAAGTTTAATCATACCAATCCCGTTGAAGATGTATTGGCAATTTCCCCCACCACATTAGTAAGTGCTGGAGGTCCTCAGGTCAAGGTATTTGACTTGTCACGGTCACAGCAGATTCATGAACTAAACAATTTCACAAAGACTACCACCTGCTTGCATGATACTGGCGATCGTGGACTTCTCGTGGGTTCCTTAGATGGCCATGTGAAGATATTTGACACCAACTCGCCTACGTGGGATGTCAAGTTTGGTTGGAAATATGGAAGCGGTGGTGTTTTATCGTGTGCTGTTTCCCCATCAAATCACAAGCATTTCGTAACTGGACTCACATCTGGATTACTCTCAATTCGAACCAGGAAAGACGCACGTCCAAACGTGGCCAAACTGGTGAAAACCTCTGCATTTTCCCGCATGATGCGTGGCTCAGAATACCATGGCGAAGACGAGGTAAGAATCGTCGAGACAGCCAAAGCATCAACCAAAAAGCCAAAGCAGTTTGAAAAACATCTTAATGCTTTTAGATGGTCCGAGGCATTGGACAGTGCCTTTGCTACGGGGCTTCCTAAAGAACATACTATAACCGTATTAAATGAGTTACGCAATAGGGGAAAAGTTCGGGTTTCTTTGGTAGGTCGTGATGAGATCTCGCTCTTGCCTATCCTACAATGGTTCATTAAAAATATTCAGGACGTAAGATCATTCAACTTGATATGTGACTATATTGGGGTTATTGTCGAGATGTATGGTTCTCTCATCAATAAGAGTGTGGTGTTGGAAGAAGTGTTTGCCAATCTAATGACAAAGGTGCAAACTGAAATCAATGTGTGTCGCGAGGCCAGCGAGATCAAGGGTATGCTAGAGTTGTTATCTGTATAACTAGACACCATCCAATTGAGCTTATCGCCGTCTTCGCCTTTTTTCTACTTTTTGGCGACAGTGCTCCGAACAATACCATGGTTTCTTGCCAGTGGTATATGGCAATGCTTGCACCCTATTCATAATACCCACACACTTGTAGTGAAACCAATCGCCATTGGGGCACGATGTTTCGTTATCACATCCGATCATATCTCCACTAGATGGCTGTTTACAGAAGCAGTATAACGTAGTATCGATGGGCTCTTCAATTGTGGGTGGAGGAACATACGGGACAAGTTTCTCTTTCTTTTGAGGTTTGGTTGTAGAATTCTTTTTCAGAACTTTGAGAACGAGTTTGATTGGTGCTTTTGGTTGTTTCTCGAAAGAGGCTAATGGGTGTTGTTTATAATGTTCTTCAAGTTGGTGTTTGAGTTTATCTGGTTGTACGATGGAAGTGTTCCGGTTTTTGGATAGCAGTTGAAGCTGTTCAAGCTCATCTTTCAAAGTGATTTTGTGTGTTACAAGCTGGTTATATAGTGCTTGAGCTTCCAGCGTTGCCTCGGCATATAGTCGTTCCAATTTCAGTTTCAAATCAGAAAATTCAAAAGTGCTTATTTGGTCTTTTCCCTTGAGTTCGTCTTCCAACTTGTTGATCTCGATATTACATGACTGTATTAGCCACAAGGAACGTATAATGTCCGTCGGTAGATGGTCCACAGTGGATATGAATGCATTGTTAATTGATGATAGGTGCTGTACACTCATTGTTGATAATTGACCGGTGCGCTGAGATGGGTGGGTTTATGCAGGAGAAACCTGATTTCAATTAAAATTTAATTAAAGTTCAATTACACTTGATCTCGCATCACATGCCAAATCTGACCTGTCAGAAAGCGATTTAATCTTTTAAGGGGTCGAAATCTGAGCCTGTACCAACAAGCTGGCTATATATCCCGTTTGGGAAAAGTATCCTATTTAGGGCATTAAGATGCATGAACATTCATGCATGTTATTGAAAATACGATGCGAAATCAGCATTGTGTGAGAAGAACGGAGCCAAAGAAACGAAGCCACATGGAGACCTTCGCATTCGTCGGCATATCAGACAATTATTCTTTGTTTGGTTTTTTTTCAAATCTGAATTGACCCATGCTCGATGTCTGACTATGGTTCTATGCATGTATATGCACGAGGACGCATCGTGCATAACTCCAAATCAAAAAATATATATGATTCAACTTTGTCTCTTCTTGTGATAATGCAATTGGAAACCATCGAAACCACTCACAAAGAAAAGCCTCAAGTTTCCAAACGAGATAGAGGGCGCCGCGTATGGTCATTGACAGCTAGCGAAGAAATCGTTCTCAAACAATGCACCGCTCACTATTTTAAACTTTGGGGATACGACCAAAAGTTGTCATTAAAAGATATTGAGAATCCCAAAACTTTTGTTAGTTCTCTCGAGGCTTCTGGGAATGGTCGTATAGGACATCTTACCAAGAGCATTTTCATGGATTGTGACACCGACGATTTGAACGATGTGGTGGAACCTATACCCCCAGAACTTCGTCGTAGTTTTCTGTCAGTTTATGATATGGAAGTATGGCTTGAAGGAACATCGACCAACGGTGAGTTTATTTCTGTGGAAAGAAAAGATTCAAACAGCTCGAACAAACCAGATCTTAAAGATATTCATCCCAAGCTTCGTCGGTATAATGCTGGTGGACTCCAGAGACAATTTATAACATGTCTAAGAAACGATTTACCCGACAATTTGCTTCTTCGGTTCGTCACTGCTAACAAGTTCAAAGTAGTTCCGACCATTGAAATGGGTGCAAAAACGTTATCATGGCGAGGAAAACTGCATCCAGTTGATTCTTGGTTGGTTTCTGGTGACGCTGAGCCAAGTTTGAACAATGAAAAGCCCCAATTTGTCTCTGCGTTCAAAAACGGTCAGGTTTACGTTCGAGGAGTTGACAAGAAAGGGTGTCCTATTTGTAACATTCAGGTGAAAATCCACTATCGCCAGGATTGTCCAGACCGTGATTTCGAGAGACTTGTGTGTGTCTATATTGAGTGGATGAGATTGATGGTATCTGCGTTTCAAGACGATGTGGACACAGGAACCATTCTCTTTGATATGACAGATATGTCCCTCAAGAATCTAGATTTGGCATTTGTCAAGTTTGCTGCGACTGCTTTCAATTACAAGTATCCCGAGTGTATCAATCTCATTATCATTCACAATGCCCCGATGGTATTTTATTTATTTTGGAAACTCATCAAATCTTGGGTTGGTCCTGATTTGGAGGCTAGGATCAAGTTCACTCGTACGTACCAAGATTTGACCGAATTTATCAATCCTGACAACATTCCTAAACGCTTGGGTGGTGAGGATGATTATGAATATCACTATATTGAACCAACTTTGGAGAACAGTGCTAAAAAACCAATCGATAGTAGACACCTGGGCCTCAGGGAGGAAAGAAAGGAACAACTTATGTTGTGGATCGTGGTTACTGTACAATGGCTCGAGGCACAAACGTCCAAAGACAGTTTGAAATACTTGAAACAAAAAGTAAAATTGGGGTTGGCTCTTGCAAAGAATTATAACAAACTTGATCCATATTATCGGTTCCGAGGAATATGTGACCGTTTAGGTGTACTTGACAAACTAAAGTATTAGGTTAAGAGTACAATTTACGGAAAGTCATAAACACTTTTCGCAGCCATAGGTCTGGCTTATGTAATGGATGAGAATTGATTTGCAGTCAACAGACCTAGAAAAATAATTCTGGTGTACTCTGTATCGGAGCATATAAACTGATACAGTGAAGGTGTGAGCCGTGTGAACTGTGTCGTTTCATATTGGTATTGGTTTCGTATCTTCCTCATACAATGTAAGTATCATCTATGGAAGTCACAACCAGGCTTCATCTAGAACAATACAAGAATAAGGATCCTTAAGCTTTTATAGCCTCAGAACGTTAAATAAACGAAAGAGCACTGAAGAAGAACAAATTGACTTGCAATGGGGAAAATAAGGGTTATCGCACCGGATATAGGTCAGGTGGAAAGATGAACTAATTCCTTGTATTCAGCCAAAAATCTACTAAAGCGTTTCATTGACTTTGGTTTACCTAAAAATCAAAAGTTCTTGAAAAAACCTTTGCAGGATTCCAAATGAAACAACTTACAGGAAGCAATTCTAAAACGTCATCGGCTGATCTTGTGCCGATATCCTAAAATGGAATCGCATCCTAAATGGAATCGCATCCTAAATGGAATCGCATCCTAAATGGAATCGCACCCGAAATATCGGCTCATACTCGAGCAACCATGAGATATAAATAGCTCTCCAAAAAGTCTTTTTTGCATGTCCTACCAACCACTTATTGGAGTCGACGCCGCTCAGGTTCCTCAGGAAGAATTTGACCAGGAATTGAAAAACAAGCATTTTCAGTACACTTATGATAATGGCTGGAAATACGAGTTCCATGTTCCCAATGACAAACGAATTGTATACTCGATTCATGGGGGGCCAATGGCTGGACGGCACAACTTTCAGACATGTTACTACCAGAGAGTGAGGAAAAATTTATGGCAAGTCAATTGGTTAGAAGAAACTGGAACCGTTGTGTCGTTGATTTTGGATATTGAAAATAAACGTATTACTACGTTCATGGCCTTTTCTCAGGGTCATTGGGAGCATCCAGAGCAAGCACACGGAGACAAGCGGGAAGATTTGGAGCGGTGGAGAGAGCTTTCTAGAATTGGAATTGCAACCAATAGGTACTTGATAACCGAACAAGCATCGATCGATGAGATTTTTGAAGGAAGAGGTGATTTACCTGATATTTCATTGGATCTACCAACGTTATAAGTATATATGTGAATTGAAGCGAATGAGGTTCTAAGAGATTGACGTTATGGTCTCAGCTGAGCGGCCGCGGCACATTTTCATTGAACAATTGACGAGTTTGTGCATCGGTGCTTCCGACAATATTACCTGCCGGTCGATACTCACAAATAGTATACTGGCTCCATTGGTTATGACAATCGACATAAGCACACCCCACCTCATTTGTTGCGTTCCAAATCACTTGAGTGAAATGGCCAGTTTCTTCTGCAAAACCTGGATTGTCATAGTCGTAAAGACTGATTTCATCATACCACACATCTACGGGCCGAAACCCTCCCTCGTAACCAGCAGCCAAATTTTCTCCATATGGTCCACCAGAATGTATAAGTTGCAAGTTATTGCAATCTAATGCTGAAGCGGCATAATCCGCAGCAAATTGTGCCAATTCCCAGTTCCATGTCAAATTTCCAACCCCGTGAAGAGCTCTTTTATTGTTGTGTTCTGTCAAGGAATCAAACTCTAGTTGATTGAGTTCTCCAGACGGTATACTTGAGGTCCGACTAAATGTAGTCAGAGGTGAACTTTGTGAACTTTGAGTTGAAGAATCAGCAAATGTCAGCGTACTAGTTGCACTAGACAGACTTGGTGAATTGTCGAATGAATCATTGGATGAATTCAAATTGACAAAATGAATCGAAAGTGGTACCACTATGGCAATCAATGATGCCAAAAGCACCAAGGCAACTATCCAAAACGTTCCAGAACCGCCACCCTGATGTCGCATGAAAAATGGAAGAGAATGAAGTTAAATAGAAGATGAGCGGAAAATCAATGAGGATACCAGTGATCTGCGACGTATTTAACCGTACGTGTGGCGCAGTGAAGTCATTGCTGTAAGGGACTCACATTTTCTTGTTTTCTTGGCGATGAGTTATACAGTCGGCTGTGTAAATTTAGCCTAATTACTCGCATGGAAATTCCTGCATTTCGCCGCGTTTGCAGCCGTAAGGAACAAAACCGAAAATAACCGGAGAGGTTATGACAAATCAAACAAAATTATAAAAGATGATCATAGAAAGATCATTCCTGAACAAACTTATTGTTAGACAATGTAGCTATACGTCGCCTCGATATATTGAAAGACCAGATCACCAAGCCCTTTGGCAATTTAATCTACACTAATTAACTGCTTAGTCAATTGAAATCCGTCCAGTATTATCAACTATACGAATGGCAATACGAATGGTAATCGAATTGCAATACAAATGGAACGTGTGAACTTAAGCTTTAGTCGGCAATTATTCTTTCAAAGCGCATAGTTGATCATTATTTGTTAGGGTATATCAGCCCCCTTCTCAGAATAATCTAAAAATAAGTTGATTCCGGTAAAAAAGATCATCGGGCTAGGCACTTTTAAAGCTGGGTAGGTGATCTTTTCAGCTGGATAGGTGTCTTTCAAGTGATCGGGTCCTCTTAAGCTATCTGTTGATTCTTACTTCACACCCAATATTAAGGTTTGAAGTCAAGGGGTAAGGGGTAAACCATGTCAATTCTAAATTTCACTTGAAATTGAAATCTCGATTCAAACTTGAATTTATTGTCGATTCTTGTTCTTGATGATTGACCCAATCAACAACCATGTTCTTAGCCCCCACTTTTCGTGGTTCCGTTCCATAAACATTTCCTGCAGAGTCGTGCGGCACTCTCAAAGATAAGATAAGTCGGCAAATGGCCGTTACCGATCAGGAAGGATGGTGCGGTAAGCGCCCGGATATGGTTTTGGATGATTGCGGTTCCAATATATAGGCGGGTCAGCCGATCAAGTCCTCAATTATGCTTCCAGCAAATACCCACAACTCCGCTGGTGTGTTATCCACCATGCGGTCGAGGACAGGAGAACATATCCATGCCATTACATCCAGCCGATCTGAAATTCGTAGTATCGAACATGTCGATGACGAGGTTGAACTTTTGGCTCAAATTGGATATAAGCAAGAGTTGAACAGAAACTATTCCACAATCCAGGTGTTTGGAATTGCATTCTCGATTATGGGGTTGCTTCCATCGATTGCAAGTACTATGGCTACTGGGTATGAAGCCGGGCCTGTTGGTTTGGTATGGGGTTGGATTGTGAGTTCGTTGTTCATTTTATGCGTGGGAACCTCAATGTCAGTATTGGCTTCGCTGCTTCCTACTTCCGGTGGATTGTACTACTGGACTAATTATTACTGCCCTGACAGCTTTAGAGTTCCATTGAGTTTCATGGTGGGATGCTCCAATACGCTCGCTCTCTGTGGAGGATTCTGCCTGATCAATTCTGGTTTTGCAACTGAGGTTCTTTCAGCTGTCTTTATCAGTAAAGATGGTGATTTTTCAATCACTAATGCAAAGAATTATGGGGTTTTCGCTGGTTGCACAGTTTCTCACGTTGTTTTGTGCTCTATTGCCAGCAGACATACGGCGTTCTTACAAGCGTTTTCCATCTATGCTAATGTGTTTTTGATCATTTTGTTCTTCATTGCTGTTCCTATTGGTGCCTCCAAGCACGGATTCAATGATGGTCTGTTCATCTTTGGTCAACTTGAAAATAATCTCACTTGGACCACTGGCTGGTCATTTATGCTTTCTTGGATGCCAGCAATTTGGACCATTGGTGCGTTCGACTCATGCGTGCACATGTCGGAAGAAGCCAAATCGAAAAAATCCATTCCAATTGGTATTATAGGTTCCATTAGTGTGTGTGGTATTCTTGGATGGTTCATTTGTATCTGTGCCACGGCATGTATCAAGAACGGTGATGTTGCCGCAGTTATGGAGTCCAGTACGGGGCTGGCCATGGCTTAAATCATTTATGATGCGTTGGGGAAACGATGGGCAGTTGCATTTATGTCTATTATTGCGTTTGCTCAATACCTTATGGGAGCATCGATTCTTATTGCTGCGTCAAGACAAATATGGGCGTTTAGTAGAGACGATGGTTTGCCGTTTTTCTATAATATTGTCAAGGTCGTGAACCCAAAGATAAAGGTTCCTGTTAGAGCTACCATATTTGGTGGTTGTCTTTCATTGCTCGTTGGTTTATTGATCTTGGTTGGCCCCACCGCCTCTGGTGCGTTATTCTCGTTGGCTGTGGCAGGAAACACATTTGCCTGGGGAATGCCTGTGTTTCTTGTATTGCTTCCTACGGGGAAACTGAGATTTGTTCCTGGACCATTTTATTTTGGTAAAACAATAACCACCATGATTCATTGTGTTACTGTGGCATGGACGCTGTATGTCATTGTCATGTCGATGTTTCCATCCAGTAAACTGGTCGATAAGGAATCCATGAACTATGCCAGTGTTATCAATGTGGGAGTTTGGATCTTATCGTTGGTTTACTACTATGTGTATGGCTACAAAGTCTACAGCGGTCCCAAATCCAACCTTGATGAACTGGCTTCTTCCATTGAGGGCCGGGAGATACATAACATTGACCAGACGTTGGATGAGAAAGTTTAGTAGTGGTATAAGATTATAGGATATTTACGAGAATTGGAATCTCGCAAATTGTAAAGACTTGAAAAGTACCATACTCAACCTATGACAAAGTCCTATGACAATTACTATGACGATTACCATGACATATTCAAATTTCGTCAACTCCATGTCAATTCTCAGATCCGATCTAACTTCTATCATTACGAAATACGAGCCTGTCAATGCAGTCTTATCCCCGTGGTTTTCTTGTCTCCGCGAAACAAGGGGCACTTTCTCGTAAATAGATGTCGAGATCCTTAATTATTTTCTTTGGTTATTTTCGATAAAATGGGCAGGTTCAGTAACTTGAAAGACAAGCTTGCAGATGCAAAGGATTCGGTACATATAAAGATCCTCGAGGCTCAATTGGACAGAGAAAAGAAAAAAGAAGAAAAGTTTGAAAAAAACAAAAAGGAATTCCTTGACCAAGTAGCCAAAGATGCTCATAAAAGTGGACAGCCAGCTACGGTATTTGAGGAAGGAGTGTGGTACATTTTATATCCTGATGGACGAAAGGAACCAATGGCTCAGCCAAAGGAATAGGTGAAAATATTAGTTTATGAAGATTTCAGCAAATTGGTCAGCGGGATGTCACCTTGAGAATATACTCAACAGAATGTAATCAATGGAACTGAATCAACAGATTGTGGTCACCAAAACATGTATTTACGAATCGTACTTTGAATCTCGCTTTGAATATTTCTTATCAGCCGCGGCTGCAAAATCGCGCGAAAATTAACTTTTCTCATTTGGTTTTTAGGAGGTTTTTGCATTATCTATTTAAGCAAATACGTCGTGGGTTCCATTGGCGCTAATGAACCTTCCGTTGGACATAGGACCATAGAACTCAACAGCTTCCATGAATCTGGTACATGCTTCTTCCACCTGCAAAATTCCCTTGAATGTAGGGTTGACTCTTCTGGCGGCATCAAAGAAAATTTTATAGTTTTCCTCGACTTCTTCGAGGGGTGCTCTACTGGAATTGACAATACCGGGACAGAGAGCAAGCACAGTGAATCCTTCGTGTCTAAGCGTAGCACCGAGTTGAGCAACCATGAGGTTAAGAGCAGCCTTACCCATTGAGTAAGCCGTCAAGCGTTGATGGCCAGCCTTATATACCCAGTCGCCATGGCCGAGACCAGAAGATACGAAAACAATCTTCTTTTTTTCTCCCTTGGAAAGCAAAGGATGAAACTTGTTGGCCACATAAAGTTGAGAATAGGTGTTGACATACATGATCTTGTTTGACTCTTCAACAAACTCCTTGAAAGCTTCCGGAGACTCTGTCAACTCCAATGGTGTCTTGAGGCTGATCTCAAGGAGGGCAGCACTCAAGATAATCACATCCAATGAGCTGGTCAATTTTTCAACTTGCTTAACAACCTCATCGACTTCAGAGGGGTTAGAAATGTCGGCAGTTACAATATGAAGTCTTGAAGACTTGATAGCTTTCAACTCGTCGATTTTGGAAGAGCCTCTAACAAGTGCAAAAACAGTAGTGTCAGGTTTTTTCAATATTTCCTTGACCAAACCCAAACCAATTCCTCTAGCAGCTCCAGTAACGAGATACGATGTCATTGGTAAGAAAGAGAGTATTTTGATCTATTTATACTACATTGGCTTAATAAGTGGCAAGCATTTTAGGTCGATGCTGTGAATCACAGAAGAATTTCCAGGAGAATTTGGGCCGCGAAATGTGATTCACACGGAGATAATCACACGGAGAATAGTGGTTTTTACCGAAATTGTGATTCACACGCGAAATTGTGATTCACACCGAAATTGTGATTCACACCGAAATTGTGATTCACATTACTAAGACATCCAAAATACTTCTGATACTATGCTAGATGAAAAGAGACAAAGGAGGTTGGAACAGATGCGGCAGTCGCAGCATAAGCTACGTTTGCGTAAAGCTGAACGTTTCAACTCTCTTGAATCAGAAATCGAATCTTTAAAAGTGAAAAATGCGGAACTTGAAAAAGAGATTGCAACACTAGTAGATTGCGATACTGTGGAACAGTACATTTTAACCAATGTTGATTTGAAAAAGATGATTGACGTTTACTCGCCCAATGTTGGTGAAACTATCCTGTTGAGCGAATTCATAATCAGAAACAATATTAATGATAAGCGGTTGTACCAAGATCAAGAGTTTATTTTGGTGAATATTTGCAAAACGATGATACATTGTTTAGAAGCCTTTGTATCTGACAAAGAGGTACTTCACATTGCCAATCACAGTTTCAAATATTTGGAAATGTATGGTCGAAGCTTACCCTTCAATCTACTATGCTCAGATGAAAGCCGTGGTGGAGAAGCGGATTCCTACGAATTGGCTCAAATGCACATTGCTTCCTCGAGATACTCTTGGAATAAGTGAAGTTCTCATTTACTTGAATATTCACCTAAAGCCAGACCATACAAACTTTCATGTCTTGACATTTGCATTGGCACGTTATATTTGTGGCACACCATTTGGACCGGCTATCACGAAAGAGCACCTTGTCAAAGCAATTGAACTATCTTACAATCCAAAATTGGACTTGTTCTATTTGCTCGGAACATTGAAGGTCCAATTGTGCGATGTACCCGAGTCTTTGGTTGATTCGTTAGTGAAGTGAAAAAAGCAAGAAACAAGTCTCTAATACTAGGGTCCACCATACTCAAACTTATCACTTCTAGCCTTAATGCCATTAACATAGTAGCGAAGAATAATTTTCAAGAACATTAACAGGGATACTAATTGGAACGAGAGCAAGTTCTTGGTAAGAAGTTCGTCTGTTTCTAGAATTACGCTAATTGACCACTTTTATTTGTCGGCACCAAAGATAAGGCCACGAATTGCTTGAAATTTACAGAAATTACTGTAATCCTGCCAGAACATGACTGAACACCAACGACGATTCGTCTCGGCTAATTCATCAGCTGCGGCTGCAAAAAATGAGAATTAATTTCTTACCTTAATTACATCTCTTTTAGCTCCGGCTTTATTCCTAGCTTCCTAAGCGAATACCTATGGTCTAAGCAAGTCTAAGCAAACACATCGTCGGTTCCGTTGGCGCTAATGAATCTTCCGTTGGACATTGGGCCGTAGAACTCAACCGCTTGCATGAATCTGGTACTTGCCTCTTCCAACAGCAAAATTCCCTTGAATGTAGGGTTGACTCTTCTGGCGCCCGAAAAGAAAATTCCGTAGGTTTGTTCGACTTCCTCATCGGCTAACCGACCGGAGTTGACAATTCCGGGACAGAGTCCAAGCACGGTGAATCCTTCGCTTCTGAGAACAGCACCGAGTTGAGCAACGATGAGGTTAAGAGCCGCTTTACTGGAAGCATAAGACGTCATGTAATGCTGACCTCCCTTATAAACCCAACCAGCATGGCCGAGACCAGAAGATACGAAAACAATCTTCTTTTTTTCTCCCTTGGAGAGCAAGGGACGAAACTTGTTGGCCACATAAAGTTGAGAATAGGTGTTGACATACATGATCTTGTTTGACTCTTCAACGAACTCCTTGAAAGCTTCTGGGGTCTCGGTTAATTGCAAAGGGGTTTTGAAGTCTGACATAGGGAACGCAGCGTTCAAGATAATCACATCCAACGAGCTGGTCATTTTTTCAACTTGCTTAACTACTTCATCGACTTCAGATGTGTTGGAAATATCAGCAGTCACAATGTGAAGTCTGGAAGACTTGATAGCTTTCAACTCGTCAGTGTTGGAAGAACCTCTAACAAGAGCAAAAACAGTAGCGTTTGGGCTTTTCAAGATTTCCTTGACCAAACCCAAACCAATTCCTCTGGAAGTTCCAGTCACAAAATACGAAGTCATTGGAGAGAACTGGGTTGTTCCATCTATTTATACTACAGGGGTTTATTAAGTGGGCTTATTAAGTGGAACCCATTTTTGCAGCAATCGCTCGTGGTACATCACCAGAACAGCGGATTGTGCTCCTCTTTGTTAGTCGGAGTTGATTCACATCCAAAAATCGTGATTCACACCCGAACATCGTGATTCATGCGCGAAAATGGTGATTCACATTACTAAGACATTCAAAAGTACAACTGAAAAACTACCATGATTGATGAAAAGAGAGAAAAGAGGTTGGAACGGATGCGCCAGTCGCAGCAGAAGCTACGTATGCGGAATGCTGAGCGTTTCAATCTTCTTGAAGCCAAAGTCGAAGCTTTAGAGCGAGAAAATGCACGGCTCGAAAATGAGATTGCAGCACTACATGGCTGCGAAATTTTGGAACATAACACATTAACTAATGTTGAATTGAAAAAAATGATTGAAGATTACTCGCCAAAAGTTGGTGAAACTATTCTGTTGAACGAATTTTTAACCAGATACAATATCAATGATAAACGATTGTACCAGGATCAAGAGTTCATTTTAGTGAGAATTTGCAAGAAGTTGATAGAATGTCTAGAATCTTTCATATCTGACAAGGAGGTACGTCACTCTCCCAATCATGATTTCGAATATTTGGAAATGTATGGCCGAACGTTACCATCACTTTACTATGCTCAGATGAAAGCCGTGGGGGAAGAAAGGATTCCCACGAGTTGGCTCAAATGCACATTGCTTCCTCGAGATACTCTTGGAATAAGTGAAGTTCTCATCTACTTGATTATTCACCTAAAGCCAGACCATGCAAACTTTCAAGTCTTGACATTTGCATTGGCACGCTATTTTTGTGCCACTCCATTTGGACCGGCTATTACGAAAGAGCACCTCGACAAAGCAATTGAACTATCTTACAATCCAAAGTTGGACCTGTTCTATTTGCTCGGAACGTTGGAGGTCCAATTGTGCGATGTCCCCGAATCGTTGGTTGATTCGTTGGTGAAATGAGAGATGGAAAATCAGATTAACGTGATCTACTTGCCAACAGAGAAATGAGTTTCAAGAAGCATTCTCATGTTCTTTTCTGCTCGCAAAAGAAATTTGATAGTCATGGTATCACCAGTTACATTTCAAACTCAATTCATCACACGGCCTCATAAGAGCCACACGCTCGGAAAAGCCTTTCTTCCGATGACTTCTGATCTAGATGTTTTTAGAACAGAACATCAGCTGTGACCACCGAATTGGCCGGCCACGTTGGTGAGTTCAATTCTAATACTGTGGCATCTTATAGTAACCTCATTATATCAGCATATTGCACCCGGCACTAAGAAATTGTTAAGGTTTTCAAAGTTTGTCAAAAAGGTACTTATGATGTTTTTCTCTCTGGCTAGTGCCAGTGCTACTCGTGTTTATAGACCTGGGCCCTCTATGGGCTCATTGTTCCGAAAATTCAAAATATCTAATTAGATTGCAAATCGCTAACTTCCCTTTTGAGACAAGCCGCTTATCGTATTTAATCGAGCGAAATCTCCGAAATTTCGCATTATGAAAAGTAACATTGTACTAATTGGTTCTGGAGGTGTTGGCACCATTGCAGCTTATGGGCTAGAGTTGGGAGGTAAAGCTTCCGTCACTGCGGTGGTTAGGTCTGATTATAATGTTGTGGTGAACAAAGGATACAAAATTGACTCATGTGATTATGGCCATGTTGAGTCGTTTAAACCTACTAATGTAGTTGATAGCGTTGAAAAAGCTGTGGAATATGGTCCTTTTGAGTATATTTTGGTCACCACGAAAAATCTCCCTGACATTTTCAAAGTGGAAGATTTGGTAGCACCACTTGTTTCCGAAACTTCCACCATAGTTTTGCTTCAAAATGGAGTTGATATTGGTGCTGACGTTATCAAGAGGTATCCGAAAAATGTTGTTTTGAGTGGAGTTAGTATGATTTCGTCTACAAACCACAATGGTTTCATTCATCACGAGGGTAAGGATTCGTTGAAAATTGGCTATTTTATAAACGAAAATTTGAGTATTGAATCTCAAAAAAATGCCAGTGAAAGGTTTGTGTCAATATACCTGAATGGAAAGAATGAATGCACCTACGATGAAGATGTCAAGTACACCAGATGGCGCAAGTTGGTATATAATGCTACCCTCAATTCAATTTGTACCTTGACTGGAGTCGATGTGGGAAGACTCGAACTTTTTGGAGGAGTTGATTCCATGGTCAGAAGCGCCATGAGAGAAGTGTTGGCAATTGCAAAATCTGATGGGGTTGATCTTCCAGAAGACATTATGGATTTTATGATTCGTTCAGACGACGGGATCTATTATTCTCCTTCCATGTTGGTTGACCTTCGTAAGGGAAACTATATCGAGTCAGAAGTCATCTGTGGAAATGCCGTTAGAACTGCGAAAAGGAACAATGTTTCTTGCCCCAATTTAGAATTGATTTATAACCTCCTTTGCGTTATTCAGATGAAAACCAAGGAGGCCAAGGGTCTTGTGACGGTGCCGAAGGAACGACCAATCCCACAGAATGGAGAGTGTTCATAAAATAATGAAATTTTCAAATTTTGCAACCATTCGTAAAGTTGCAAAAGTCAAAAGGTAGACAAGAAAAAAACCGAAGGAGCAGTAGACTAGCCAGCAAAAGGGGATCGAAGCTACGATATGCTGCTCTCCGCCCACTATTCGGATTTGCTCGACCTCTATGTACTATAAGTTGATGGACTGGTGCACTCGTGGGCTTGTCCGTACGGAATATCTTATTTTTTGAAAATTAGTAGCGCCTGGCCATCTACTTAAATCAATCTAAACAGCTCTATTAGAATATGAGCGACTCACCATACGCTATCCGTCTTTGTTCCTCGAGTAAAAACTCCTCAGACTGAACTCTTGCCTTGTCTTGATCCAAGAAACATGAGGACACCAACGACAAGATGCATATTGCCACAAGGAAGGAGAACCCAGTATTATTGTTTCCCGTGTCTTCAATGATGGCGGAGGAAACAAAAGGTCCAATTAAACTTGAGGTTTTGTTAATAGTGCTGAAAATGGCGAAAAACACAAATTCCCTTCCTCTTGGACAAACTTCACTCATCATTGTTGATGAATATACATAATACGGATTAATGAGCAAACCATAGTAGGCGTTGTAGAACCAATTTTCCCAAACGTTATGGAAACCAATTTTGTTTGTCCAGGTTCCAATCAATCCGTAAAGTGGAAACAACGTAATGAAAATAGAGCACAAAATGTACATGTTTCTCGTGGAAATTTTGAAGGTTTTCTGGAGCCACCAGAACATTAACACACCTACTATGCTGGTGCCACCGTTAAGAAAGTTCATGTACATGGAAGTGACCATATCGTAAGATATCACTTCGTTCTGAATAGTCGATTGAAGCCTTATAGAGGTGTTCAAGCCATCACCCAACAACCAGTAGGAGAACAAGTATAACGCAGTTTGCCTCAACTTCACAAAACTCTTGAACGCATATACCAATTGTCTAAAGGGTAAGGTCCAGTAGCTCACACCTTCGGGTAACTTTTCATTGACTCTTTTCTTTTCGGTGAAGAACCAAGGAGTACCAAATACGATCCACCACACTGTTGCAGTCATAATACAGATGGACATAGACCAATTGTTGTTCGCATCACTGGCGGTAGAATCCATGCCCTTCAAAATGCCAATTGAAATGGCACACACGAGCACGAAACCAACCATGGAAAATGCAAAACTGTAATTTGAGATTTTGTTACGATAGTAAGAGTCAACACTGTGATACTCAGATTCCAGAATTGTGCCATTGAGCATTTTTTCTTCTGCTTCTCTTGTCTTTGGCAAGTTTCTTGCCAAACGTGGAAACATGGCCGTCCAAAAAGATTGACATCCATGGTACCCTAACGAGGCAAGCACACTCAATGCAAAAGCTGCTTCGTGTTTGCTTCCATCATGAACACCCAAGAAGCCCAATTGAACTCCCCAACTCAACAACGAAAGGCCTATAAGTACCCAAGAACCATATTGGCCATAATCGGACAAACCTCCAAGAAACAAGAAAACCACCGATTGCAATGCAAAACCAATGCCCAGGTTAAGTAACACCACCGAATTCACTGTCTTGGTCGTACCGGCAAACGAAACCACACACAGTCCGTTGGGATCATCCGAACATGAAGCTTTCCGGTTTCCTTTTATCCAACCAGATTGACTCAACAAGTTCTGATACTGGGTGGGCGTGAAAGAAGAGGGGCCGGAAGAATTATTTCCAAAGTAGTAGAGTGCATACATGAAAACTTCCCATTTTGTAGTTGTTGGTTGATCTACAATATGAGCCCGCTTTAATTCTTCGCCGTCTTTATTTTGCACAACCAAAGCGGGAGCTTGAGAATTGACCTCCTCTATGTCCACCTCTACTTGCTGGTTCTTTTTTTCCTCTTCAAAACTCATTAGAGCATTCACCGGAGTGGTACCATTTTATAGTTTTTCCCTCATGACTCGGCCTTGCAATTGAGCGTCCACTCAGATGTGAGTACTGCATGTACCCTTATCAATGCGCTATCTGCAGCCAAATCCAGTTGGCTGCGAAATTCAGGTGGAGCAGAGATCTAGTTGAAACAATGGCAATTATCGCCCGAAATCCCTGGAGTCCGGCCCGGTCGCCTTCTCCTTCTGGGTCTGTACACCTTCAGGAACTCACCTACGGCCATCGGGGCAACTGAAGGCGAGATATAGAATAAGCCATAAGTTCTACCTTCAGTAAAAAGCTACCTTAGGTTCATTCCTTAGGTTTGTTCAATTACAAAGAGTGTGTATTCCTTCTCTTTCTTAGTCTACTTTCTTGTAGCTTTCTTCATATATTCACCTATTCAGTCTTGTACACCAGTACACTCTGGGAAGGAGAAATTGCCAATAAACAGCAGGATGTAATCTATACTCTATAGACTTCGGCATATTGATTAGTGAGAATTAATGTTAAAACGGATAAACCGTATCTAATCGAGTCGTATTAGCTGGTATGCATCGTATCACCTTCCGAATTAGGAAGCGCGCATAGTGAATATAAGATGGCCGCGGCACCTTGGAGGCATAAGAATGTCATTAGGTAGCAGTCCATTTCAGGAAAGAAGAATTGTCGTTTTAGGTGCTGGAATTATCGGTTGTGTCACCGCAAGAACCTTATTGCAGCAGGGATTTCAAGTCACGATTGTTGCCAAACATCTTCCTGGCGACGAAGATATATGGTATGCGTCAACCTGGGCTGGTGCATTGTGGCATGGTGCTCCAGACTTACCTAACGATCTCCATCGTTATCTAGAGGCAGTATCATACCGCCGGTTCAAGAGTGACAACTTCAATAGTCCTGAATGTGGAGTATGTGTTATTCAATTAGATGAATATTTTGAGAAAAAACCCAAGGATCTGGACCTATGGTTTAAGGGAGTAAATCCAAAGTTCAGAGATATGGAAAAATCAAAATATGAGGGTACTGGGTTTGAATATGGTTGTGAGTATGAAACATTAGCAATCGAGCCTCGTCGTTATCTCAAATTCATAAAACAAGAGATTGAAAACCTTGGCGGCCACTTTATTTGCAGATCAATTGCATCCATGGATGAGCTCTATCAAGACTACGAAGATAGTATCGTTTTTGTTAACGCATCTGGAATTGGACCTATGACAATCAAAGGGTTGGAAGATGATAAATGCTATCCCAATCGAGGACAAAATGTGCTTGTTCGGACGAAAACTGACAAAGGGTTTAGTCGTAGCGGTGAAGAGTATACATATGTAATACCTCGGCCACTCTCTGGGGTAGTGGTTTGTGGAGGTGTGAATGAACCCAATAAAACTCACGCTGACATTGATATGGAAATTGTTGAGGATGAAATCAGAAGAGCTCATAAGCTCGCACCTGAGGTGATTTCAAAAGCGCCTGATATTGCGGGTTATGTCGTTGGAATAAGACCTGCTAGAAAAGGAGGGTTTAGATTGGAAAAAGAACAGGTTGCGAAGAACAAGTACATCCTTCATGCTTATGGATTCAATGGTAAAGGCTATGCCTTTTCATATGGTGCAGCTTATATGGTAGGAACCTTGGTCGAAGAAATTGAAAAAGAGTATACCGCCAACACAAGAAAGAGGTAAGTGAGAAAAGACGAACATTTTAGATATAAAAAGGCAATAATAGTCCCTCGTGCTCACTTATTTCCGGCCATTGTACTGGTTTATTACCATTATCGTCCAAGGTCCACACTTTTTTAACCAATGTTTTAACAGTCAAAATTTTAGCAGTTTTTGTTTTCAAATAAATCCGGTCAATATTTTCAATGAACCACCTCCGATAAGAATGTTTATAAAGGTTACAACCAAGAACAAAAATAGGAAGTATTAAAAGTACTTGCGTGGAGTTTTGATTTGAATGATACAATTCAAACAATTCTCGAAGTAAAGGTATCATCTTCATAACTTGAAGCAAAGTTGTGGTTGTCCTAGATGAATTATTGTATATCAACTGATATATCAATAGGACTGTTGCCTCTTTTGAGAACTCTGCAATGCGTCTCATTATATGAGAATCGATTCTCATTATCTCAGAATCATCATCAGGAACATCTATTGAACTCAATTGTTTTAATAGAAACTTCGCATCTTTGATCACAGTTTCAATGTTCTGGTAATGGTTATATCCTAACAGCTCATTAAGATCATCGGCATTTATGGCGACCTTCTTCAAGTTGTAAAGATGTAAGGACTCACCAACAACAGAACAAATGCTCTTCATACACTTATAATATGAATTTGGATTGGAAGCGGCAGGTAACATGTATATCGATTGCATGTCTTGTATGTTAAACCTTTGCATTTCATGATCCAAGAGATTAAACCCGAATCTAGTAAAGAAATATGTTCCAAATAATCTCGCAAAGAAAAACCCATATTCGTTTTACTTAGTTGATCGACGCCTCCTCTCATTGAAAGTATTTTAATGGCCAAGCCCGTAAGCTTCAACCAAAATTTGGAGTCCACTTGCTGTTTCAAATTTTCCACTTCAAACAAAATACACACTATTGCGATCATATGATCACAACAGGCAGAAGATTTGTAAATCAATCTTTTGTTCATGTCTTGAACAATGTCGTTCATAAGCTTCGATAGAAGTGATTCTTCAACAGATTTCTCCTTCAGCTGGAAGTATGAGGCTGACCAATATAGGAGAGCCTTGAATACTGTAATATTGCTGAATGCAAGCGAAATATAAACCTTCAAAGATAGCTTGGTGAAATCACGATATGCAATTGAATTCTCATCACAAGTTGCATAGAATAGTTTGCAAGTTTCCTGAGGAAATTCCAAACAAAAGCTGTTGAATAATGCACTTGCAGATTGTAAAGAAATGTAATTGGGTACATGTAATTTTTGCAGTTTTAAAGCTGGCATTTGTATGAATAATTCATTGATAAAATTGCCAGTATCGATATCACGTAAATCGTGATTCAGAATATCCGCAGGTACTTTGTCAGACACAAATTCAATTCTAGGTTCCAGGTAAATCCTCTTCTTAGAAGTTGCTATCCTATGAGGTAGTTCGTTTGCACTTTGAATGCCAAATGCGGTTTTGGTAGACCTTTCGATAGACGTTTTATCATCAACAAGAGGAATTTCTCTAGTTTTTTCATACAAAATCAAATGTTCGGAGAATGTTAAACTTCTTTCGTAGATACTTTCGATGCCCGGGGTTATTATGGTAAATGAAGTTAAATCACACCGATTGGCTGAAGATAAATAATCGCTAATGATTTCATTGCAAAGCTCAAAATTTATTCTTTGCTGATTATTTAGCGGGTTGAACTTGAGACTAATTGGCTCCTTCTTTTTGTTTCCATTGTATGCAATTACACTAAAGCCAGGTCTTTCGCATGGAATGTTAACTCGCAAACAAAAGGAACAAGCATTTTTTTTCGTATTGTAGTCACATTGTTTACTGTAAGGTTAAAATCCACATTCTTAAAGACATAACACTATACCTACTTTCGTTTCTTGCAAGCCAAGCATCCTCCGCGTTTGGTTCCTCGACGTATTCTTTTCATTATGAAACAATCGAGTAGTTTTCACTTGCGTAGGCAAGTTCCCAAATAGGAAGGTGATACGACAAACTGAGAACCTATCAAGGTTGCGAATTTGGAACCAAAAGAGTCCAGAAACAAATCCAGCAATTGCACAAGCTGCAAATGAAGTAGGAGTCTTTCAGCGCTTGAGATATTGCAACCGAAGTGGCGGATGCGAATAACAATAATGACATTACGTGACCTTTCATTTGCGGAGAGCTCGTATATGATATCTAATACCAGAGGCACCTAGGATGTAAAGGGTAACTTCTTTCCAAGCGTGATGAAACTTAATCACAGGTAGTAGCATAGACTCCACATAGAGAAGTGGTAAAAACCTGATGTTGAAATATAGCACCTGCTAATTCAGGCGATGATGCAACCACAAATCCCAATGTTATTCTGTAGGAAACAGAATTCTGTATTTTCGTAGCTGTTTCTTGCCCCAATTTAGAATTGATTTATAGCCTCCTTTGCGTTACTCAGATGAAAACCAAGGAGGACAAGGGACTTATATAATCCCACAGAATGGTGTTCGTAGAATTATGAAATTAGCAAATTTTGCAGCCATTCGTAGAGTTGCAAATGACACAGTGATAGAAGAGGAAAGCACATGGAAGGAGAATTGGCACCGACCAGCAATCCCTCAGAGCGCAGAATAACAAGCAAACATTATAATTGTGCTATAATCAGCACCTCTTACAGTTCCTCTGCAACGTATCAGATGCTGGTGCACTGGTGCATTGAATCGGTTGCAACCTGGTGAATTGTAAGAATAGTACTGAAGTCTAAAGTGTTGTTCATCCACCATAAAGGTGAGATGCACCAGTGTAATCAATTGAAAATAACTATATAAATCAGAACACGAGCGATTCACCATTCGCTATGCGCTTTTTCTCTTCAAGTAAGAACTCCTCAGCTTGAACTCTTGCATTGTCTTCGTTCAAGAAAAATGAAGATGCCAATGACACACAGCAAAGGGCCACTAGGAATGAAAATCCACTATTATTATTTCCTGTGTCGTCAATGATGGCGGAAGAAACAAAAGGTCCAATGAAGCTGGAAGTCTTGTTAATGGTGCTAAAAATAGCAAAAAACACAAATTCTTTACCTCTTGGACAAACTTCACTCATCATCGTAGATGAGTATGCATAATAGGGACCAATGAATATACCAAAGTAAGCGTTATAAAACCAAACTTCCCATATGTTGTGGAAACCAATCTTGTTTGTCCACGTTCCAATCAATCCATAAATTGGGAACAAAGTGATGAAAACGGAACAAATAATGTACATGTTTCTTGTGGAGACTTTAAAAGTTTTCTGGAACCACCAAAACAATATCGTACCTAAAATATTGGTACCACCATTGATCATATTCAAATACATGGAAGTGACCATATCGTAAGAAATCACTTCGTTTTGAATAGTTGATTGAAGACTAATAGCAGTATTCAAACCGTCACCTAACATCCAGTAAGAGAACAAGTATAACGCAGTTTGCTTCAATTTCAGAAAGCTCTTGAATGCATATCCCAATTGTTTGAATGGCAAGCTCAAGTAGCTCACACCTTCAGGTAACTTTTCATTGACTCTTTTCTTTTCGGCGAAAAACCACGGAATACCAAACACCATCCACCAAACGGTTGCAAACATTATACACACAGACATAGCCCAATTATTATTTGCTTGATTGGCAGTAGAATCCAACGACTTTAAGATTCCAACAGAAATGGCACTCACGAGGGTGAAACCCAACATGGAAAAAGCAAGACTGTAGTTTGTGATTTTGTTACGATAGTATGAGTCCACCTTATGGTATTCAGATTCCAGGATTGAACCGTTAAGCATTTTTTCTTCAGCGGCTCTTGTCTTGGGCAAATTTCTTGCCAACCGTGGAAACATCGCAGTCCAAAATGATTGACATCCTTGATACCCTAAAGCAGAAAGTATACTCAATGCGAAAGCTGCTTGATGTTTGCTTCCGTCATGTACACCCAAGAAACCAAATTGAACTCCCCAGCTCAAAACAGAAAGGGCAACGAGTACCCATGAACCGAACTGGGCCATAATCAGACAACCCTCCAAGGAACAAGAAAACCACCGACTGTAACGCAAATCCGATGCCCAGATTTATCAAGACAACCGAATTCACCGTCTTGACTGTGCCGGCAAAAGATACCACACACAGTCCATTTGGATCATCCGAGCATGAAACATTTGATTTTCCTTTTATCCAACCAGATTGACTCAACAAGTTTTGATATTGCGTAGGAGTAAAGTGATTAGGACCAGTAGCATTATTTCCAAAGTAGTAGAGTGCATACATGAAAACTTCCCATTTTGTAGTTGTTGGTTGATCGACAATTTGGGCACGCTTCAATTCTTCTCCGTCTTTATTTTGCACAACCAAAGCGGGAGCTTGGGAATTTATTTCTTCTATATCAACCTCTACCAGCTGGTTCTTTTTTTCCGTTTCAAAGCTCATTAGAGCAACCACCAAAGTTGGTCCATTTTATACTGGAAGTGTCAATTCCGCGCTCGCGACTCGACCTTCCTAACGAACCTCCGCCCAATTCGATGTACTGCATGTATCCTTATCAATGCGCAATCGGCTGCGAATTCAATTGGTTGCGAAATCAGCAGAAGGTGGAGGAGAGCCGAAACGGATGGCAGTGCCAATTATCTCCAAGAATGAACATAATTGGCAAGAATTATCGACCTTCTAGCTTTGCATTAGTAAGAACCCCACATCATTTAAAGGCAACTGACGCCGAGATAAGTATAGATAATTTACTAATTGATTGTGCTAAATAGTACCAAAAAGATATCACCATTTACCCAGAAGGAATCATAAATCGAGATAATTATTGTTTGTAGAGATCTATTGTTGGTAGACATATATTGATTTTAGACATGTATGTTGTAATCTTGTTTTTATTCTAGTTTGTGTGGTGTGGGATTTTCAACAGAAACCCATTCTTCAATTTCGTTCAAATCCGCAACACGGTATCGACCACCCCAGCGGACCTGCCCCCGCTTGTCCCAAGTCTCAGGACGCCATTTCCAGCATTCTTTATCTTCCGGATCCAATCCTTTATCACCTTTGGTAACAACCTTGCTGACATATTTGCCAATGATTGGCATGATCTTGAACGAATTTCCAGAGTCACCCGATGCTACAATAAGGTTGGTGTATTCTGGGTGAGTACACAAGATCAATTGCATGTCGGGAGAGTCGGTACACCAACAAATTCTTGTCTTGGTGAAAGGTCTATCAGCAAACTGAGGCATGGTTTCTTTCAAGTATTGTCTAATTTCAAGTGCTGACTCGAGTGGAATCTCCATCCGGTAGAGTGGGATAGACTCTCCGGATTCATTTGTGTGGGTAAATCCAGGGTACTCGTTGCAAATTTTGATTTCGTTATTTTCATCAGCCTCGAAAAAAAACCCTTTTTCGGCATTGAAAAGGACCGGCAAGCTTTTAAATGCTTTAGCTTCTTCATCCGTCACTTTGAAATGTGCCAAAGTGAAACATTTACCTTCTAGCTGTCTCTGGAAATTTAACAACGTTACTGCATTTGCACCAGAGCTGAGAACATATTTTTGTGCCGAGAATATGGCACCAGATCTGGCCCTAATTCCCGTCAACTTTCCATTTTCGTTAAGTAATTCGACAATTTCCCCATCGTCTCCAAACACAAATTCCACTCCCAATCGTTTGCATTCTTCGTATGCACTTTTCAATGAGTCTCGAGCATGCAACCATCCGTTATCTCCGTCGAGAACATATCCTCTCCAGTTGGGTAACGGGCCCTTTAAAATGGGCAAATACTCACGAAACTCCTCGGGAGTTGAAATATAACGATAATTGCGAAGTCCGTTTTTTTGCAACTCTTCATAGTATTCCTTATCATGCAGTAATGGAGCATCGGAACTTGCAGCCAGGATAAATCCTACCGGATGATAGTACGGTTTGTACACCGGATCTGTCTTCCAAAGGTGTAATGCTTCGAGACTCAACCGTTCTTTTGAATTGGGTTTAGCCAGGGGAGCAACATAATCGTAGTGAAAAATCTTGTTACTGTCGTTTCCAGCAGCTATCTCAGATGGAACCGGAAACTTGTCAAAACATTTTATGTTCTTGTATCCATCTCTGGCAAGCTGTAAGGCTGTGGAAAGCCCAAAAGTACCGGCACCAACTATAATTATCGACTCCATGATGATCCAGAGCCATGGACTTCTTTTATATACCCTACCAAAGTGACGAGGAAGGTGGATCCGGTGCGGTGCGGGTAGCTTCCTGTATGGGGAACATCCCAAACAAAATCTGCCGCAAACCGCTCCAAACCGCCCCGCCGCAGTTTTCGAAACTTAGAAATTAGATTAAATTAGTCAAGGTAATTTGAGTTGACTGAGACTTGTTTTTCAATGAGAATTGGCTTTACTTTTGAGTTATTGAATTTTGCAGCCAACGATTGTGAGGTTAATTTTGAAAATTATCGATATTGAATAACTATTTTTGAATTCATGTCCCAAAATGTGTACCCCTCAATCCGAAGTGACCCCACATCATAAGATTCAAGTAGATTCGGCTTACAAATACCACTGACTAGATCTGCCTAGATCTCAGATCTCAGATCTACTCGCTCAATTAGGCAAGCGCGACTATTCAGATTTAGTTCCCGATTAGGTTTTCGATTTTGCGATTTTGGTGCGGCATCTTATCGTAATTCTTCTCATATGGTTATTTCAAAGAATAGTGGCACCAAAAAAAGAGCTTGCTTCACAAAAAGATCACATTTTGGATGTGCCAACTGCAAAGCAAAACGAACCAAATGTGATGAAAAAAAACCGGTTTGTTCACGATGCCTAACTAAAGGCCTTGAATGTCGATATGGAGTTAAACTCCACTTTCGAGAAGATTATGAAAGTATTGGTAAAAAATTCGGACGGGAAGGTGTATGGAAGAAGAACTCGTCACCCAAACCAACTTCAAAACAACTTGCCTTGCAATTTCGTGCCGCATACTATGTCAATATAACAAATGCCAATCTTCAATTCATCAACTTTCGGCCACAGGATTTCATTAGTGGACTGCCTAGGGTTCGAATAAGACACAAGATTTTGGACGGGATCGAAGATGGTTCTGGATACATAGCGGACTGGCAACTTTGGAGCTATGCCCTAAACTACTACATTGAATTCGTGTCTCCAATACTCAATCCAGCTTCCACTATTTCCTCCTCCAAGACTTCGGCGTTTAGCTCGGTGCTCTTACAGGGAGTGGTGTTTGAACAGGGACTCAATCTAAAGTTTTTGATCCAGTATGCCCATCAAAAACCAGATATTCTAGTTCTTGTTTTGGCATTGGGATCCAAGTACATTTCCAGAATTGCTCAGGAAGACCAGAAACATGTATGGACAGAATTAGCTTCAGCATTCAAGCTGATTGGATGTGCAAATATCTGCCCGTCAACTTCAGTTGGAACAGATACTCTTTTTTCCTTGGTTCTACTCATGCTATATGAGCTAGCTGATGGGCGCCAAGAACTCTGGCGTGCTAACTTGAAGCACTGTAAGCAAATTTTGTCATGCCAGACATTCAAGAGACCGAATAATGAACTCGAACTTTCACTTTTATCGTTTTCACTTGAGTTGTTGAACTATCAAGAGAGTATGGGGCGCACGGCTTGTAAGGACGATAATAGTTTCTTCGCTTTAGAAGACATAATTGAAGACACAGCCCCATCGAAAGTGTCGTGGATGGGCTGTAACAAGATTCTCGTCGATACAATCTCGGATATCACCGACTTGTCTTTCGAAAGGAATCAAATGAAACCTGGGGACTATTCCGTCTTGTGCAATACTATTGGCCAAAATCTTCAAGCTGCAGACCTTGGGTTCAAATTAGAACATCATCTATGTGACTTGGGTCAGGGAAAGTGCTTATATGTCCCCATTGATCCGACAATCAATATTGAAGAATTGGGGTTTCTTTTAGCTTGCGACGCTAAACGACTCTCTACATTACTATACTTTAAATGTTGCCTCTTGGATGCTCATCCAGAACAAATAGAGGTGCAAATTCTTGTTAAGGAGATCTTCTGTATATTGGACTACACAATTTTGCAGAATGACTTCAAATGGGTCTCAACTCTTCTTTGGACAGTGTTCATTGCTGGCTCGCAAATTTCACCTAATATGCCCGAAAGTGACGACTTTAGATACCAAACTATGCAAATGTTGGACCGTATAGAGGCGTATTGTTTGGGGAAAGTTGAAGATGTTAAGGAAATCTTGATGCATATATGGAAAAAGAGAGATCTTTTCAACGCTGATGAAACAAGTATGGGTGACTTGAAGATTTCTGGAAAATCCTCAAACAGGCTAAATGATTGGGACACATTTGTTTCTAACAAATCATACAACATCTCATTGGCATGAACTCAAATTAAACGTTCAGCTCAAGTACTGTGAGCTTGGTATAGAGTAGGAGTCGATCCAGCCATTAGACTACATTTACGTCAAACCTATAAAATATTGCACATATGTTGCAGCTTGATAAAAATAGTTTGAGCTTCAGAAAAGGAACTTGGCCGCCAGGAAAGTCTATCATGTATTCTATACGTCAAATAAGGGAAAAACTCAGTAACACAAGTCATTCCGGATATTACTATCTGGACGTAATGTGCCATTTTAAAGTTGGCCACAGTTTCATTTTTTTAATTCTTCTAAATTCCAATATTGCATTCATTTGGTCCAGAATGGGTGTGAAGACTTATTTTCTAGCCGAGTTCTCGTCTAGATACGTGGTTTTGATTCTATATCATTTTGATTCGACAATCTGGTATTGTATAATTTGAAGAAAGATTTGACAGACTCTTCTTGAAAGTTTCATATATCGTCACTAAATAGATTTACTTGAAAATTGTAATTTCAGAAAATTCCGGCATTTCTTTCGTTCAGTTGAAACAGCGGTGGGAGAACAGAGAATATCAATTGCATCTGACGCTGGAAGCAGCAGAACTCGGTGATTTGACTAGTTCGGTTTCAAGTACGAGAACCGAAACCAAAAACGGCATTTTGCAGCCAAATATCTTGCATATTGCCAAGTTCGTACATCGATTCCGATTTGAAACCACTTAAGTCGATTCGGGAAAAATTGATCTCTGTTCTAAGTGTATTTGCCAGTCAGAGATAAAGTGTGGTAAAAACCGAGAAAACTTTCACATCTAGGTAGACTGTATGCACCGAATTTTGCGGCCATGATAAATTTGTCCAAAAGTCAAACGACAAGCTGTCACTCCTATACTTCATTTGGACGCTACCAGATAGCAAGCGAATTTACGGATCATTCGAATCAATCCTCAAGTTAAGCAAAGTCTTAGATGCTGAGGGTGCATACGCCTGCGTCGAGATATGCACGTCAAAAATCGTGCATCGAGCCGTAGAAGACGCTCACAACCGAATTCAGCGTAGCGTTACGAATGGAGTACACATGACTGGCCTGGGCTTAAAATTCACGTAGTGGTTTTGAGTATCCAAAAAATTCCCTTTTTTCCCTCTTATTTCTGCAGTTGCATTTTTTGGGTGCGAAAATTATCGGCTCGGCCGACTTTGTGGGGTATTCTAAAAAGCATACATTTAATCTATTAATGGTATTAGTTTAGTTTTCTTCTTCTTTTCTCTGTTACCCTTGGGCACTCTAGCCAAGTAGTAGAAGAAAATCGTTAAAAGAATATTAATTGCAATGAATGCAATGTAGATTCCAAAGTTTCTCCATCTTTCGCTGTAAAGAGCGTTGATAGACTTCAAGAAAGTGTTGGTCGACGACGTAGGACAAAATTCACACATGAAGGTCGATCCGCCGTCAAGCAAGTATCCTCCTGCTTTTTGAATGTAGGGTGCCATGTAATCCTTACAACTTTGACCATTGGCTGGCTTGAATTTAAGAAGTTCTTGACTTGCACAAACCACGTCTGAGTTGGCCAATGCTGTGGAAAGAATACCCTGGATCAAGTATGTGAATGGGTTACATCTGTACATGAAGATCCAGAATCTAGGCATGGCTTCGGGAGTAGCCAAAACACCACAGAAAGTCAAACACATGCTGAACAACAATGTTGCAAGATTAGCGGCATTGTCAGCAAGTTCGATGAAAGAAATACACATCTGACCCATGGTGGAAGTGTAAACGAAGAAAGATGTCAAGAGTAGCCACATCAAGGCACCACGTTCGTTCACAGTGTCAGTAGGAACAGCATTTTGATAAAGACCAACTGGGTAGTACCAACAGAAAAATGCTATGGTACCAACAACAACTTGGAAAGGAATTTCAGAAGTGATTTGACCTGTGATAAATGCGAACCAACTAAACGTCTTGGAGGGTGCTTCTCTTACTTCATAAACCTCTCTTTGTCTCACAAAGTAAGTTAACATTTGTTGAACCAAGGTGTTGAATGGAACCATGTACATGAAAACCGCAAACATTTGATTGTTCAAACCTTGAATCGACTTGTTAGCCTTGAAAAACGAGAAACCATTGAATAAAGCGGACGAAAGAGCCAAGAACAATTTCGAGTAAATGTAACCGGGAGTTCTCCAATTTTGAATAATGACTCTCCAGGTGACATACCAGTATTGGGTCCAGATTGGAGCGGCATACGATTTGCGGGCTTCGGGAGATTCGTCTCTTGGGAGCTTAGACAATTCAGTTTCCATGTGGTCCAATTCACTGTTAACTTCCTGGTACTCGGTAGAGTTTCTCCACACCTCGTAATAGTCTTGCTTGGCATGCGAACCTGGAGCAGCACCGACAACTTGCAACATCCATTCGGCGGGATTTGCTTCCTTTGGACAAGGATCAGCTCCGTACTTTTCAAAGTAGTTGATCAAAGTCGAACAGTTTTCTCCCAAATCACCAAAGTAGACGGTTCTTCCACCCTTTTGCAAGAAAAGCAAACGGTCAAACTCCTTCAACAAGATAGCAGATGGTTGATGAATAGTACACAAAATGGCTTGTCCGCGATCAGCAAGCTTTCTCATCAATTGACAGATAGACCAGGCAGTTTGGGAATCAAGACCAGAGGTAGGTTCATCCAAGAACAACAACAATTTAGGCTTTGCAACCAACTCGACACCAATGGTCAAACGTTTACGTTGCTCCACATTCAAACCTTCACCAGCAACACCAACTAAAGCGTCAGCATAGGTGGTCATATCCAACAAATCGATAATGTACTCCACATAGTCGCTCTTTTCAGCTTTGGATAACAGAATTTGGTTGTCTCAAGTAGGCAGAGAAACGCAAAGCTTCACGGAACTGTAGATGTTGGCAAGTGCAAATCTTGTTGTTGAACATAACCAATGGATCTCTGGAACGAGGAATCCAATGAGTGACCATTGACCATTCTAACACCATCAGAAATAACACCAGTGGTCACACGTTCGGACAAACAGTTCAAGAGAGTGGTCTTACCAGCTCCGGAAGATCCCATTAACGCAGTCAACTGACCAGGCTTGACCCATCCGTCAACGTGATCCAAAATCACCCTGGTTTCAGACTTGATTTTAACTTCGTAGGTGAGATTTCTCCAGTGGAAAATGTTGGCGTTTTCTGGTAAGATGTTAGAAGAAGAGTGGTCAGTACTGTACTTCTGGGAGTCCAAATGATCCTTCATTTCCACTTTTTCGTCGGTTGGGGCAGCCTCAATATCTTTAGCATGGCTTGCTTTAGCAGCGTTCTCTCTCTTGTGTTTCTTCAAGGATCCTCTCAAGAACAAAACAACTTCACCCTTCTGCATAGCACCCTTGTTAATCTCAGTCAACAAAATGTAGACAAACAAAAAGACAATCGCAAATGCAACAGCAATACCAAAGTTTCTCCACTTGTGGCTGTTATAGTACTCATATTGTTCAGCAAGATATTGGGTTCCCAGCACGAGAGTTGTACCAGCACGCAGTCCAACAGTGTTACAAACTCTTTCTTCCAATGATACACTATCGTATGGTCCACCTGCGGGAACAAACTGAGCACACTCAAAATCACGTCCACTGAACTCATTAGCCATCAATGCTTCGAAAACATAACCGACAGGATTGATGTAATTGATCCATCTACTCCATCCCAACATTTTAGGGGTAGGAATGACAAAACCAGTGTAGATAACCATGGCTAACAAAATGACAGTTGCTGGAGTCATAGCTCCTGCCAAAGAAGTGGAAACGGCACCCAAAGAACGGAACATATGAGACATAACCAAGGTACAAACACCACACATTAACCAGTAGAAGAAGAAACGACCTGGGTTCCGTCTAAAGTTGACCATAAAGTAAAAGACAAAGTTGAATGACATGGACATCGTCAACTTCACAGGCAACTCGGTAATAATACTCGCTAGAGCATCTGCAGCTGGACGGTATAAAGCGTATTTCTTATGCTTCTCGACGATGGGTCTAGCCTCGAAAAGAGACATAATCTCAAGTAAGGAAGCAAAGGCATTGAACAACACAGCGAAGAACATAGCGGCACCACGGTAATAAAAGGAGGAAGTAGTTTGGTTAAGATTGTAAAACACGGAAGAAATAATCAAACCCATAACCAACTGACCAAAAACGGAGAAAATAGGAATCGAAGGATCACCCTTGAATCTCATGATGTTTCTTTGCATGATATATTTGGTTTGCATGAAGAAAGAAACAGTGTAAGGAGATCTTGGAGAAATGTGATTAGATTGTCTGGCAACATGCGAGTTGTGGTAGACCTCTTTATGGTTGTTACCTTCAATTTTAGCCATATGTTCATCAATTTCTTTGATCAAAGCAGCGTATTGTGGAGACTTTTTCCAGTATTCCTCAAATTCTACTGATGTTCTTGGAACCTTATCTTCGTAACCTGGGAACACCACTCTTTCTTCAGGATTGGTCAATGATGTCAAGTAATCAGCGGTGGTTTGACGTTGAGGACAATCGTATCCCATTTCCATAAAGTAGCTCTTTGCAACATCTGCCTTACCGAAGAAAATTTGTCTACCTTCATACAACACAACCACATTGTCAAACAAGTCGTATGCGTCTTGCGAACATTGGTAAATAGCAATCAAAGGTGTAGAGTCAAGAATGGTGGCAGAAGTCTTCAATGCTCTAATAAATTCAAGAGCTGTGGCAGAGTCCAAACCTCTGGTAGCGTTATCCCAACATTGTAAGTTAGCACCACTCAAAGAAACCTCGGCAATCGACACACGCTTACGTTCACCACCCGAGACACCTCTGATGAAATCGTTACCAACGTGAGTGTTACGAGTGTGGGACAAACCGTAGGTGGCCATGTAGACGCTAGCCATGTGCTTAGCATAGGTTTCTCTATCGACATTACCTCTGTTCTGAGGGGTTCTCAAACGAGAAGCAAACTCCAAAGTATCTCCCACCGACAAATGAGGAAAATGAACATCGGTTTCTGCAGAGTAGATCACATCACCTCGGAAATTGTTCTCGATATCCTTCATGGTCAAACCATCATAGGTGATTTTACTCTCTTCTCCAAGATGGAAACCGTAGGTGTGGGCAGCAATTGTCTTCAACAAGGTGGAACAACCCGAACCAGGTCTACCAAGTACAACGGTGACTTCACCAGGCTTCATTATAGCGTCCATATTTTTCAAGATATCAAAGTAGATCGAAGGATCTTGCTTTCTCAACGATCTGATGTAATCTTTACCAAGCTTGAACAAAGCAGAAGTAACGGTGGGTTGGTAATCGGAGTCGGTAGCAATACCATAGGCTCTCAAGTCACGGTAAGCCACTCCCAACGATGTGGGCTTGTAATAATCTGGGTCGGAATCAAACAACTTTCTGACATTTTTCACCCAAAATTTGGCATTAAACATATCAGATTCTGGGTTGAGACTTTCCTCAATTTCTTCATGATTGTAGGGTTCAACACCAGGAACCTGGGACATATGACTCAAGTATCTAATGAGGTCCTCACTGCTTTTTGTTTTAGACATGTTAATACTGGTATTGGTGATGGTACGAGCCAATTCTCTAATCGACTTGTCAGCAGCATCATCAAAACCCTGATACTCCTCTACCTCTTCGTTAGCATTCGAGTACCTGGAATCCTTGTACTCTTTGCTCGGTGACATCCTTTTTTAGCGTTTGGTGTACACCTGCAGTTGACAGATATATTTATACTGAAAGTGCACGAGTGGCGCTACTTTTAAATGCAACTCACACATAGTAATCATTCTATGAAATACGATGGAAAAGAAAATTGCAATCAGCCGAACATAAGTTCCGAAAGCCGATAGCATGTTAAGTGCGGTGGTTGGATGCGGTTGCAGCAATATGTTTAGGTTTAGTGCGCATGCGTACACAACTTGCATAATAATGCGGCGCACTCAAGCCTTCTTTCGATGAGACATCTTTGTGGGGACGAAGAGAACAAAATAATTAATAGCAAATACAAATTTTTGTAGCCGTTTCAACCAGAGCTAGTTACATGGTCCACATAGTATCTACCATGTGTTTCACTAGCCCTGCAATGACCATTCCTAGTGGTTATTTTGGGCTAGCCAAAGCCAACACCATCGCTGTCCTGCAGGTGGTGTGTCCAAGGGACAGTTTACGGATCTTCGGAAGGTGCCCATGCCGCGCATTGGTGAGGCTGAAGATTAAAAAGACGTCAGGGACAGTGGATCTTCCGAACCCGAGTGGCTGAGCCTCAAAACCAATTAATTCATTTCGTAGATCAGTATACTGAAAACTTACTTGCTACTTTCTACTTGATATTTCCATTACGGTTTGCATTCATTTCTTATCATTTTCATCTATCGCACGGAGATTATGGGATCTCTCAAATTATGATAGCGTAAGCGCAACCCATCGGATACTAAGTAACTTCCGGACCCTACATGATCTGACCAGCTGTGGCTGTACTGTATGTTTTAGCGAGCACTTCCACATTATCTCTGTCGGTCGCCGCGCGTATCGTCTGTCGGTTCGGATGCCACTACAACCCGAACCGTATGATACTTCCGAAACGGCTGTATGTTCCGGAACTATACGCAGTAACTATTTACGAGACAACGAATATCGCACTAAGAATATCATATAAGAATGATATTGTTGATTGATACAATTGTACACTAGTTAGATTATTGTATAGTTGCAATATGGCACTAGATGAAATTTAATGTCATGAGTACCGGATACGCTGCGGTTGCATTTTGTTCGCTGCATATATCTGCAGCTGCGCTTCTAAACCATTGGAGATCCGAGGGTCCTGGAGCCATTAACGGCATTTATGTGAGCAGAAGCAAGGAACATGTATATATGAGCGCAAGACGAGAATTCACCCAAAAAAATTTTTGCAACAATCCAAGCGAGGAACACTGTTCTACATTCTAAGTCAAGTCTATTTCGTGATTTAATAATTTTGACATTCATTACATTAAACTCTCTTGCTGTCGTGAGACACACTTGGCTTGGGAATTGTGTCGTCGATGCCATAATGAAGAGCATTCTCGCCAGCTGCATAGCCGTCGGAAATATCCTCACCAAACACCTGGGCAACTTCCTCCAAACCCAATCCTCTGGTTTCAGGGAAAATAAAGTAGACTATACCCATCTGGACCACCAACCAAACACACCACACAATATAGTATTTCCACTTTATTGCCTCCATGGCAATGTTGTTCACGTAATTGTTGAAGAAGCCAATGACATTACCAGCAAGTTGGTATATTGTTGAGCCTTGGGCTCTCAAGTGATAGGGACAAACTTCCATCACATAAGTGGAGGAGACAGGTGAGGCAATGTGGTAGAATCCTGAAAATAGGTAGATCATTGCAACCACACCTTTGCCCAAACCTTTGTTCTTAAAGTCTTGTTGCTGGTTGATGGCTGAAAGAATTGTCCAAATGACATAGGTTATGCACATCAAGATGTAGCCTCCAATGAACATGGTTTTTCTTGGGAACCTGTCAACATTTATCCCGACAACAACTGCCCAAACAAGACCATAAACTGTCATACCAATGTTGATTTTGAGCTGGTCGTTAGCGTCGGTAATGCCGATGTTTCTCAACACAATGGACAAGTAATAAGAAATAAGAGCATTTCCACACAATTGGGCCATCATGGGAACGGCACAGACAATGAAAAATCTTCTAAGACGTTGTTTGGATCTGAACCATTGGGTGAAATTGCTCAGAATTTGAACTTTTTCCTTTTCAATGATCGCCTTGATCTCTGCTAGCTCAAATGCAACCAAGGCTGACGCTTCGTCTCCACCAGCATGGTACTTGACAAAAAACTTGCGGGCTTCTTCTTCCCGTCCTTTGTTAATCAACCACCTTGGAGATTCGGGTCCAAAGATAGAAATAACCAATTGAATAGCTGGGTAGAAGCACTGGATCAAACTGGGGATTCTCCACGACCAATTGTTCGTTTTCATGGAAGAATGGTATGGGCCCCAGGTGACCAAGGCAGCCGTGAAAGAACCTAATGGCCAAGATGCGAGCAATAATGCTGTGACTGCTGGACGATGTTTAGGGTAAGCTGTTTCTGCTAATAATGGCGACGCCGCAGCGGAAGCTAAACATGAACCAACCCCTAATAAAATTCTGGCTCCGGTGAACATTCCAAAATTCTTCGCTACACCCTGGATAATGGCGCCTATGATGACCACAGTACAACCCATTATTATAGTAATTCTTCTTCCAAAGAAATCACACAACCACCACGTGAATGGAATCGATACCAATGTACCAATTGCAATACCATTACTCATAGTAGACAACTTGGAACCAGTAGGATGGTTGAAATACTCTTGCCAACTAGGTAATGATTGCAACGAGTTCATCATCGAACCGTCGTATCCCGAAGTAACTTGAGCCAAAATACCACCCAAAAGGAATATGTTCAACTGTAGCAACCATCCGTAGCGATACCACGGCTTATCAAGTTGTGGAATGACATCTTCCAATCTGGTAGCCCCAGCAGGATTCAGATCAGTAGGGGAAGCAACGGAAACCATAACTTGAGCTTTATCAGCAGTAGAAGACTGGGACATTGTATTGGAATTGGGACCATTATCCATCGCTTTATAATTGCAACTAATGAGGAGACCAGCATGAATTGTCGTAGTTTTGGTGCAATTGTAATTTTTGGTGGGGGTGGGGTAAATACGAGCGCCGATGCACCCCGCAGACCTCGAGTATGCAACCGCTAATTTTGGTGGGGGAGACGAGCAAAGGATCTGGAAGCCGGAGCTTGATCACCGTAGTCATTCATTCTCGAATTGCAAGCTGCAAATCAGGTTTGTAAATTTTGAAAATTAAAAAAGCTCTTAAAAAATATGAGTATCTAACTCTCTACATACCGAATGGTGGTCGTAAACTCTATGGGTCCCTCGAGCTTGAACTGGAATTTCTCCAAAACTCCTGGTCCACATGCAGCTGTTCCAACACCGTGTTGTTGGTAGTCCACTCTCACGTACTTTTGACCTCTCTTAATTTCATGAGGGTGCAAAGCTTGTTGAACGTCGTATTCACTCGAACACTTGAAACCGAAATTTCTATTCTTCATGGTAATTACAAAACCACCATCACCGTCCTTTAGTGCCAACCAAGTAACGTCTTCATGGTTTCCATTTTCCTGAGGATAGTCATATGAGTAATCCGAATCTCCAAATTTTTTTTTGTAAAGTCCTATTTTCTGGGATTCTTTCTTGTCAGCGTAGCTCTCTCCGGATCCACGACCAAGCCACAGTATTTCATTTACTGTTTCAGGCACAGCAAATTCGTATCCCAATCTGGGTAATGTCAGCGGAACGCAACACTTGTTGAATCCTATAGCGGTGAGAAGAGTACCAATTTCAAGTCTATCAGCATAAATGGAATACTTTTGAATACAGTCAAAACCCCACGAGAGAATAGGAGGTCCAATGAAAGATTCTACCTCCAAAGTAGCCAAAAGATTGCTCCGTTCGCCATTAGCGATAGGCGTTACTTTCACATTTCTTACCTGGATTTCCATCATGTCTAACCCAAACTTCTTCCAATAAGGACCGTCGAAATTATCGTCGTTATTGGTTGTTGGTCGCCAGAAAGTAAGATTGTTTAAACCAGCAACAATTATGGGTTTGTCTTGGTTGTATTTTTCGACACATCCGGTGATTTTGTTAAACTGAAATTCTAGAGCCTTGGACCTCACGGTGATGCGGTGATTTGTTTCCTCAACATTGACGTTGGAAATGGTTTTATTGAACTCAGTTTTTGTGGAAGCTTTGAAAACTTTTTGACCAAATGCTACTGTGTGGTCCTTTGGAACTGCCTCAGAAGAATTTAACGTCTTGACATCCACATCGAGTATAACAGTGTTTGAGCTAGATGGAATTTCACAAGGAAATAAAATTGAGTAAGAAGAATGTGGAGGAACACTGGGAAAGTGCAATTGACGCAGTGCTAATATTTCTTCCGAAAAAACCAGCTCGTACTCCACTAACCTGAATGTTGCATAGTATGCATCAAGATCACTAAAATCAAACATATTTTTAAATTCAATTTCACCATCGTGGAATCTGACTTCAACAGGTTCAATGACTTTTTTGTATTCCAAGAGTCCTGGCGTAGGTTCATGACGAGAATCGACTAGCCCGTCCATACAAAAAACCCCATCGTGAACTTTTTCTCCAAAGTCACCTCCATAACCATAAAATTTCAGACCATTTGCTTCAGTTTCGAGTCCATGGTTATTCCACTCCCACACAAATCCTCCCTGGAAATGTGGAACAGTGTAGAAAAGTTCCTGGTACTGGCGCAAAAGACCAGGACCATTACCCATGGCATGGGCATATTCACACAAGACTAGTGGTTTGTCATTTTTTTTGATAAACTCTTGCATAGTCTCGAACAGAGGGTACATTCTGCTGTACATGTCTGTGACCGTAGCGTCCATATCGGGTTCGTAGTGAACTAACCGAGTGGGATCAGCATGTCTGATAAAGTCAGCCATCGCAACATGATTCTGTCCAAAAAATGCTTCATTTCCAAGAGACCACACTATGATGCAAGGCTGGTTGATATCCCGAAGAACCAAACCACGAGCTCTGTCAACATATGTATTTTTCCATTCGGGATTATCAGAGGTAAATTTCTTGGCTCTTCCAAAAAGTTCGAGTTTCCCATTCTTGTACTCAGGGTCATCTGACCCATCTATGGGCCTCCTCACACACTCAAAGAAACCATGGCATTCCAAGTCTGCTTCAGCAAACACCCAAAAGCCATATTCGTTTGCCAATTCGTACAATTGTGGAGTATTTGGATAGTGGGAAGTCCGTACGGCATTTATGTTGTGCTGCTTCATGAGCTGAAGATCCCGCTTGATAAAGTCCAACGGAACAGCTCGCCCAAATTGTGGATGGTGATCATGACGGTTTACTCCACGAAGGAGAATGGGCTGTCCGTTAACCTTGATCTGACCATCTGACATTTCCACCTTTCTAAACCCAACTTTTTGAACAACTTTCGATAAGACAAAACCAGTTGAATCTCTCAACTCTAAAGTGAGCTTGTGAAGTGTAGGAGTTTCAGCAGTCCAAGGCTTCACATTTGGAACTTTAATTCCAAGATTTGTAACGCTGGAGTTGACTTCAGCAAGATTCTCACTACCCAGTAAATTTACATAAAGTTTTAATCCTTCAAATTTCTGGAAAGAATGGTTTTCTCCACCGACTTGTACCTTTAACCCACATACACCATCTGTATTTTTCAAATCTGTAGTAACCACAAAGTTTTCAATATGACCTTGCTTGTGAAAACCCAAAAGCCACACATCACGAAAAATACCACTGAGCCACCATTGGTCCTGGTCCTCAATATAGGTTGAACTGGACCATTGATATACTCGAACCCAGAGGTGGTTAACTTGATCTCTTTTTATTGCGGGTTCCAAATCAAACTCAGCACAGTTTCTGCTTCCTTCGTGGTAGCCAATGAGTTTACCATTCAAGAACACATGGTAGGAATTATCTACACCTTCAAACCGAATCCTACACTGGTGCAGCTCCCACGTTTTAGGCACTGTGAACTGCCTATGATAAGTGCCGGTGGGGTTTCTTGTTGGAGGATTGGGAACGTCAACCACGAACGGGTACACCACATTAGTATACTGTGGAGAACCATAGCCTTGCAATTGCCAATGACCCGGCACAACCAACTTTTTTTCAAACGTAAAATCTTCACTTGGAAGAAGGAGCAAGTTCGGGAGCGGCAGCATAATGGAAGTCCCATTGACCATTCAAGTTGATATTTTCCTCAGGGATGTAGTATGATCTACCAGCAAGCCTATTGATCTCGTATGTACCTGGATCTGAAAGCACTTTTTTGAGTGACTCAATTGAGTAATTCATCGTGAAGAAGTTGAGCTTTGAGTTCGCAATGGCTGCAACTCATGAGGGGCATCACATACAGGTAATGGGGGCGGTGGAATAACTTTCCGCACTCCCCCACCATTTTCTGCTCATGCGGCTGCATCATGCGGCGCATTGTTATCGTGCATACTCGACAAATTGAAGAAGTCCCACTTTAAAGTCCCACTTCTTCAACTCACTTCTTCAATCTCATGAATATCGAACTAACCAGACTTGCTGTCGATCCAAACGGGTGGAGAATCAACTGTTGTTCATTTCAGCAGGATGCTATCATGACATATAACGGTTTCCAGTATGTGGTTTTATACCAACCAAAAGACCAAACTGATCCTGATGGGCCCAGGGTTACTTCAATTGGAAGAAGAAACCCCAAAACAAAACTGCCGTGGAGTTTCATAATTTTCAAAGATTACATTCAAACTAAAGATGATGGCCACAATATAATATCTTTGGGAATCAGTGGAGATGGAATCATTCATATGGCTTGGGACATGCATGGCGATGAGATACATTATAGACAGTCTAAAGTGGATGTAGCCAACAATCCCCTTAAGCTTGAATGGACCACGGATTTATTTGGTCCAGTATTGACAGAACTTGAAGGTGAAAACATGGCCTTTCAATTTGGGGAAATAACCTATCCTAGGTTTCAAACCTTGGAAAGTGGAGATTTGCTCTTGGAATTCAGATCGGGAAGATCAGGTCTTGGTGACTGTTGTATATATCGCTTCAGCAGAGATACACACAAGTGGAGCGAGATTGGCATTTACATCAAAGGAGTTGAAAATAATGCATATTTGCATGGGTTTGACTATAAGAACAAAATTCTACATGTTACTTGGACTTACAGAGATTATGTTGATGATAGAAGTGATGACAAAACAACTCTGCAAGCTGGACCCAATGGTCCCGAAAATAACCATGATCTCCACTACATGTATTCTGTAGATGAAAGGAGTCACCTGGTACAATTCTGTAGGGAAGAAATTGTCCGTTCCAGTTGACGTTTCGCAAGATACTCTTGTGGTGGAGATTCCAAAGTTTTCTGGTATTATGAACCAGGAAGGTCAATTTGTCGATACGAAAAATCGGGTACATGTTCTAGGGCGAGAGAATGGTTACTACTATCATTATTTCAAAGATGGAGTATGGGCGAAACGTAGAATCAATGATTATGCTGCGGTCCTCTTTGGTGCTCGGGGGAAATTGTTGGTCAAAGAAGACACTGTATATGCATTTCTGCCCCTTCAAAACCACAAGTTTGTGATTGTTAAATCAAATATTCAAGATTTGGGTGCTCAGTGGACCGTCGTTGCATCGTTTGACAAGCTTGATGGGGAACCATTGATTGACAGGTACTCCGAAAACATCCACATTTTGCAAAGAGAAGCTCCCGAAGAAAACACCGGTGACGGCCGTGCCACCGGAACGAACACTAGATACGTTATTCTCTTACATATCCAACCTTGACTGATTAATCTATTTGCAGCTAAAATTGTGCGACCCCGCCCCCACCAAAATCTTGCATGAAAAAAGTGTGGGGTACACCAGCCAATTTTCACTAGTTATTAATGCGTCAATTTGGATTCTCACAATAACCCATGTCACCTTTTACCATATGGAACGAAAATAAACTTGCTGGACCCAGCGACCTTCGCAAAGCATTTGATGAACTCACGGAACCTTTGATCTCCACATTCCTGCCGGGCGGAGCAAGATCGAGAGTTAGCGAGCTGGGGTCAACTTGCCTGGAAGCTGCTGCCGAGTTTGAAGGCTATCTGAGGCCGTTGTGGGGAATTGTGCCTTACCAGTACGGTGGAGGAAATTTTGGCCATTGGGACTTGTATCGTCGAGGACTAGTGAATGGAACAAATCCTCATCACAAAGAGTTCTGGGGATACCCCAATGACTACGACCAATTGTTGGTGGACCTTGCGGCGATTGGATTTGCCTTGTGTTTTGTGCCTGAGCATATTTGGGAGCCATTGAACGAAAATGAAAAATTGGGAGTTGGAGACTACCTTTTGAAAGCAAGGTCAAAGACATATTGCCATAACAATTGGAAGTTTTTCCGTGTGATAGTCGATCTAGGTCTCGATAGTGTTGGTGTAAAGTACGACAAGAGGGGCACAACAAATTATCTCGAAGATTTGGATCTGCTTTATCTTGGCGACGGCTGGTATGGAGATGGAAAACCACACAGAATCGACAACTACAACGCATTGGCGTTCCATTTCTATGGACTAATCTACACCATAGTCATGAAAGACAAAGATCCCGAAAGGTGCAACAACTACCTAGAACGTGCAACTCTTTTTGCTCAGCAGTATATCCACTGGTTTGATGATAATGGCGCATGTATTCCATATGGAAGATCATTGATTTACCGCTTTGCTACTTCTGGCTTCTGGGGGTTGTTACCTCTAGCTTTGGACCCTCAGAAAGAGCCTGAAATTCCTTGGGGTGTAATGAAAAGTTTGTACCTTAAGAGTCTTCAATGGTGGTCCACACAACCTATCAACGAATTTGGTGCAAATTTTCTTTCACTTGGATATTCTTATCCCAACGGTTATATGATGGAAAGGTACAATTCTCCACAATCTCCATACTGGTCGTTCAAGGGCTTTTCAGGACTTATGCTCAGTGAAGATCATCCATTTTGGAAATCGGAACCTGTTGAATTGAATTGGTATTTTACCCAAAATAATACAAAATTGCTCTCTGTGGCCGGAATGTCAATTAGCCATTCTCCAGGTAATACGATTGCACTTATAAATGGACCTTGGCATGATGAGTACCAGAACGAAAAGTACACAAAATTTGCATACTCAACCCGATTTGGTTTCGGGGTTGTTAGCAACTCAAGAACATTCCAACTAGCTCATTTGGATAATTCTCTCGGCTTCAGCTTCAACAACCAAGACTTCTTAGTGAGACAGAATTATAGAGCTTTTGTGAGTAATAATCTCCTAAAATCCGAGTGGATTCCTACAGAAGGAATCACAGTGGAGTCCTGGATTATTCCTAAGGAACTGTATCATATCAGAATACACTATATTGAGAATCAGACGAGTTCCATAGTCAACACTAGAGAAGGAGGTTTTGCAATCTCAGTGAACAAGAAGAACTCTGTCAAACAAGTCGCTGAAGAAAATGTCGCTACGGCTAGTACAGAAGATGATTTCAGCGAGATTGTTGATTTGGGTAATAATAGAGAGGCTCTTGTTTGCACTCCAGAGCCAAACACGAATATATTGTCGTCGAAGGTTCTCCTCCCAGAATTGGTGGGTCGTATTGGCGCAAATTCCAAGGTCAAATATGCATGCCTTGTATTCGGTCAATCTGTGAAAGTTCAAAAACCAGATATGAAGGTGGAATTACCGCTGGACGCAGAGTTGACCAAATTGCTGCAAAAAAGCAGAGAGGGTGTGCTGCAATGAACTTGAATAGTCCTGGCCAAGTTTCCAAAAATGAGAAGTAACAGATTAAAATTAAGTAACGAAGGGTGGACTAAACATCAAAGTTACTTTCTTTTATGCTGATTCCTTTGGTTGCAACCTCAGGACGAGCGTTTCCGCCGTGCATAATCTTGCATCATGTCATACCCAATGCGGAAAACTATAAAATATGTCAATTTGACACCTTCGGTAATCAAGTTATATTAGAAAAATTAGCATGGATCACTAGACCTTTGTTCACTTTTAAACAAGAGGTGACGGACTCTCTCATCAACCAAAGAGCCAAGAGTCAACAAGGAAGTTCAAATTCAGGAATCACTCTGCTACTTTTCTTCCTCAGATTGCAAAGTGATGACGACGAATTAATGCTGCGATTCTACGACGAGAAACGTTCCGGCGAAACAAAAGTCTCGACTTGAATTTTAATGATAATGGCATTTCCTGTTTTGTGCCAGATTTGCACCCAATAGGGTAGCGGAAGACATGCAATGCTTGGATATATTGAGACGGGAAGTTTATGCAATATAGAATGATGCTAGTACAATGTCTCTTACTCACCGAACTCACAATTCGATACCAATACTGTTGCTATTTTAATTCAAAATGCTCAGCTCGTCAAAACGAGAACTGAATAATACAAGTTGCTTGACTACTGGACTTTCTATAATCTGCATTTATCTCTTTGAGCAATTTCGTAGCCATTTCAAGGCTGAAACTGGCAAAAGGTAACACACTTCTGTTGGGACGTACTGGAAATTTTCGGTGGTAAGATGTTTAGTATATAATTATAGTCAAAAAATGATATTTTTGAATTCTACAAAATTTTGCAATTTTGATATATTGTCCCCTCCTGAGTAATCATTGCAAGAAAACATAACCAAACAATCCTATTCCGATGTGACCTGGAAACCACCTATGATGTATTAGAAGTGCACCAACCACCGTCACGAAACCAAGGCATTTCCAAACTGAAATTGCGTCC